TTCTCTTAGCAGAAGAGTGGGCTGTCTTACCCATGCTTACATATTGTCCGAGTCTGGCCTTGTCAGCGATTTTTATTTTGGTTAAACTTTGCTATACCAACACAAACATAACATGTTTCAATATCTTATGAAAGAGCTGCACACGGACTTGTGCTTCAAATATCGACATTTGGGACCCATGAATATGTACTATGCAATACCAGTGGACACAGTCTAAAAAAAAAAAAATAAGGTTGGTTGGTTTAAACAACTTTCATTCATGTTCTTTTCTCTACATTTTTCCAGTGCGCATACAAATAACCTCAAAACTTGAGACTTAAATCTCTGTGGAGAGATCTGGAGCCAAATATGTGATGTGCATATTGAAGTAGAAAAAGCAGACAGGCCGCTCTCAAAATCTGTCCATGATGTCATCTTTCAGTGCTACAGATATAAAAGTGTAATTCTGTTTAACAGCTGGAAGGAGGCACGGCTCACTCTTGTGGATGAAATGCATTATTCAGAATCATCTTTTGTGCCAAAATCAGACTGTTATAAATGTCATGGGACATAATACAGAATGTCCAGGGCTCCTCTTCCATGCAAGCTATCATTTATTTGTAAGTACACATCAGCAGTGATAATGTGTACTTACAAATAAAAGATGATTACATGACAAAAGGCATAATGGACCTACTTTCTTATATGCTTTATGGTATTCTGACTTTGTTTGCTCATCCAGGGTCCATGCATTACCCTACTTTAGGTATGTGAGTGCTCACCGCTAAGCACTAGGTATCGCAATGAATACAGAGGAAGCAGAATCTTATAATTTAAGCCAGTGTATAATATTTCTAAATGGATTAAATTATAGAATGGTCCCTGCAATTAAAGGGACCAATGCAACTTTAAAGGGACACTATAGTCACCAGAACAACTACAGTTTATTGTATTTGTTCTGGTGAGTAGAATCACTCCCTTCAGGCTTTTTGCAGAGAAAATGCAGTGTTTACATTACAGCCTAGTGATAACTCCACTGGCCACTCCTCAGATAGCTGCTAGAGTTGCTTTCTGCGGTTCTGAGGTATTGCCATTCAGTCTTTCCTCCTTCTGCATGGAGACACAGAACTCTCCTCATAGAGATGCATTGCTTCAATACATCTCTATGAGGAGATGCTGATTGGCCAGGGCTGTGTGGCTCTACCCCTGATCTGCATCCTTGACAGTCTCAGCCAATCCTATCGGAAAGTATTGTAATTGACTCAGAACACCACTTTTGATGATGTCAGTCAAGCAGGCAAATCAGGGGCAGAGGCAGCCCCTGATTACAACTATATTTAGAGACGGAAGGTGGGTTGGGGGGAAGGGGTGGGGTGGCTAGATGGCGGTTTTAACACTATAGGATCAGGAATACATGTTTGTTCCTTTAGTGCATTTTATTTTTTTGGTTTCTGCCTCATTGATATGCTGTATTTTTTGCATGCTCAAATCTTTATACTTTTTGCATAAAAAATAATGTTTTGCAGAATTCTGCACCGTAAGCCTTTCTCCTCAGCCACACCCCCTCACTCTAAAAAACACTTAATTATCAAATATGGGCACACAGTTTAGCTTCTGACAGTACTGAATGATCTGAGCTACAAACAACCTGCATTAGAAGGACAGGACACAACCGTGGAAGCATATAGTAAAAATATCACTACCTGTTTGCAGTTTCTCTGACTGTCTGCAGCCAGGTAGTGAATTTAAAACAGCTGTCTTAGTGCTGATGTGGCAGAACCTGTGTGCATACATTTGATAAGGAAGTCTTTCTGGCATGAGGGGGCGTGGCTAAGGAGGCAGGCGATGTTGAAGTATTCTGCAAAAAATTTACTTATTTTATGCAAAAACTGTAAAGATTCAATCATGTAAAAAATACAGCATATTAATGAGGCCAAAATATATCAAATGCATTATAGTTGTATTGGTGCTTTGAATGTCCCTTTAACTGTATTTGTCTCCTTACCTTCCAATAATTAAGTCACTCACCATAAAACTCTTATTTAGATACTAAACACTTGTAGCTTAAAAATTAAAATTATAAAATTATATATCACTACTTTAGGTTGAAGTAGATATAAACCCTCCTGCCCTTCTCTTTGTTAAATCTAAATATAATACATTTTAATTTCTTTTAAAGAAAACTCGAAAACATTATTCACCTTTGAATTTCTCACCTTCGCTACAAACTTGGTGTTTTTCCATAGGCCTTTAGCTGAGATTCTCAACCAATCCTACACTTCACATTGCTCTAAACGTGGACATACTTGAAAACGAGAGAAATCTCAATGTATCTTTCCTGGTAAAATAGTTTATAAATAAATAAATAAAGCAATAGTTCCAAAAACAGGAGTTCAGGATTTGTGTATTTCTCTTTTCTATTACAGTAGAGATAAGGACAAAACCTAGGCAGTTGCTGAGTTATGAGGACTGGTTTCAAAACTCTAAGTACTCTAAGTTATATGTTTCTAACAGAATTTAAGGCTCTTAAAGGGACACTGTAGGCACTATAACCACTACAGCTCTCTGTAGTGCTTGCATGTCCATGGCATTTGCAGAAGTTACACTAACACATTAGTAATATCATTTTTGTCTGCGACTGGACAGCATTTATCTGCTGACTGTTGTGGTTATTATGTTAGAGTGCACCTTTAAAGAAGCAGTGTCGGCACTCTTGCATGCCAATATAGTGGTCATGGTCCCATTACTATTAGGCCATGAACATAGTCTCCTTGGTTGTTGGTCAAATGATTTTTAAGTGGTTTATTAAAATTGGGGGTTTGCCGAGACATCCACAGCCCAGTCCTCAGTGGAACTGCTAAGTCATGTTCCATGTCTGCATTAGCAATGTCAATTCCATCCATAATTTATCACCATTTGTTAACTTGGCATGTCGGGTGTTGTTTTTTATTGAAAGAATTTAGTGATGAAGAGGTTAACATAAGAGGGAATGAGACAAAAGGGATGCCAAGATACATCTCACAGTTTCCTCTAAACAACCAACACCCAAAAACACTGAGATCACTAAATCACACTGCAAATGTCATGTTAGTACATTGCACTGCATACAGAAGGTGCTCTTTTGATGTATGCTACCATATCAATGTGTTCATTTTATTACAGGAAACCTTCCCTTGTGGGCAGATCAACCGTGTTCCCTAGGCACTTATCACACTTCCATGCTGGCAATTCATTAAAAGTACTGCGTTAACTTACAGCCTGTTGAAGTTATAGAAGTGTGGGAACACATTGTTAATCTGGCAAGCTTGCATACAGCAGAAAGTGCCCCAAGGTCTTTCTTTGCAGTAACTTGATAAATGCCAAGTTATACGCAATTAAAATGATTTACCAGAATGCCTTGGGAAGCATTTTTTTTTTATTAACCCTTGCAAAGGAACTCTTCTTCTGCTCTGGTAATTGAACTAATCACACACAGGAGCCCCGGCACGCTCTAGCAGGTTGTGGACAGAGCAGGAGATAAGAAACTTTAAATTAAACAGGATGTGCAATAAAGGAAGTTTAAAAATTAGATCTATGATTACAGGAAATTTATAGTAAGACTGTGTAGGTCACATACAGGGAGGTGTGGCTAGGCTTTCATAAACAAAGTGATGTAACTCTTAAAGGACCACTATAGTGCCAGGAAAACATACTCGCCTTCCCCTCTGGAAGGGGGAAAGGTGTTAAAACTTACCTTTTTCCAGCGCTGGGCATGGAGCTCTCCTCCTCCGATCCTCCTCTTCTCCTCCCATGCGGCTGAATGTGCACGCGCGGCAAAAGCTGCGCGCGCATTCAGCCGGTCACATAGGAAAGCATTCATAATGCTTTCCTATGGACGCTTGCGTGCTCTCACTGTGAAAATCACAGTGAGAAGCACGCAAGCGCCTCTAGTGGCTGTCAATGAGACATCCACTAGAGGATTAGGGGGAAGGCTTAACCCATTCATAAACATAGCAGTTTCTCTGAAACTGCTATGTTTATGAAAAAATGGGTTAACCCTACCTGGACCTTGCACCCAGACCACTTCATTAAGCTGAAGTGGTCTGGGTGCCTAGAGTGGTCCTTTAAATGGCAGAGAAATTATCAATTGGACTGCATTGGCATGGCCTATAAGTTAAAGTAGTCTTAGTGCTTAGTGTAACTTTAATAAATGTTTCACTCTGCACCGCAAGATGACTTTCAATGGTATGGAAGGCTGCCAGATGACCCAAATACGTGGGGGACATATGATTATCTCCCCTGGAGCTGACATATCATGGTCCCAGTGGCAGCTGATCAGATATTTGCTATTACCAACTGACAGTTCCACACTGACAGTGTTTGCAGCAGGTTTTCTGGGGCAGTCCGCAATTTACTCACTGAAGCACTTTGAGGAGAAGACGCACTCAAGGGCAGCAGCCTGCAGTCCCTACTCTTGATGTGTACCTGGCCAACCTGAGTCACCCTATATCCCAGGGAAGCCAATCATACAGCCAGACATCTACATACAGCTGCAGAAGTTCTCCCACGTGCAAATAATACAAACAGCTCATGCGCAAAGACAGCCCCCACAAACATTCCTCTACTGACAACACACATACATGCACACAATCCCACAAGCAGCCTCCCGCAAACAATGCCTTAAGCAGCCCCAAAACGTACATACAATATACACACACCACCACATACAATATGACATTTCACCCACACACAATCCCACAAGCAAGCAGCCCCCCAAACACAGCCTACATTCACACACATAACATGACACACAGCTCACATACATGAGTAACACATAATAATACTAACTGCTCGTGCACCTTCACACTATACAACACAGCCCACAATGCACAAATACAACCTTACAGCTGCAGCACCCACACATAACAGCAGACAAACATGTTAAAACTAGGGACTTCAAAGTCTTGTTTTGGCACAGTAAAAGGTTGCCTAACCCTGATTCAGATGGAGAGCTGACAAACCGAAAAAAAAACCCCACAAAACTTTTTTTCACCTATCACTCTTAGGATGTGAAACATTTTGTTCCTGTAGCAAACTTTACCTGACATTCAAAGCCAAACATTCCATGGCATGACAGAGCCCTAAAGGGATTCCTTATTAGCCATTGGCTGCTAGCCCCCATTTTCTGCATGCAACTGGCTTTTTTTTCTATTGAAACTTTAAGCCCCCTGTGCAAAACCCCGTGTTCTCATATTACAGCTCCATCCCCCCATGCAGTGCGAGTGGAGTGTCTTCAGACAGTACATTGAGAGCAGTGTGTTCCTCTGCTGGCTGGGTGGAACATGGCCGCTGCTGTCTATGCTGGATATACCTCTTTGCTCCTGTTTCCCCTGTATTGCTCCCTGCTATGTGCAGCTGGAGAGGAGCTCAGTATAGAAGAAGTCATTCTCCCTGAGTCCTCCCTGCAGAAGCCCAGTGTCCTGATCGCCATCATTGCCAGGAATGCAGCCCACACACTGCCCTATTATCTGGGCTGCATTGATAAATTGGATTACCCCAAGAACAGGCTTGCTATTTGGTAAGTGGACATTACATCATGTGATTTAGGTAAGTTGTGGGTCCCCCACCCCAGCAATACCCACATTGAGTTAATGCTGCAGTGGCATTGCTCAGCAGTGAGAATGGAGTCTGATACTGACACATTGTTACAGTTCTGGAGTGTCTAAAAGCTATATCCTCACCTAAACTCTAGATCCTTGGCTAAATTCTCAATGAGGCTGGCTAAGCATAATGAGAGTTGGAGCTGCAGCAGGGGATCTATGTTTCAGACACCTTTGCTTTGGGCGTTTGGTATGTATTTACTTGCCTATGTTGTATATATCCCATTGAATTAGTGCACATGTTGAGTTTGAAGTTATAAGTTATGCAATAGCAATGTATGCTGCCCTACATCAGTACCACTGTCTGGCATCACATTCTGGTATTGTGTTTAACTGATATCACTCTATTGCTCATTGCAAGTTGATAGTACAAGGTATGTAACACGTGTGGTTTATTTACTAAAGAGTGCATTGTGGAAGAAAACTGTAGTGGCAAAAAATAGCTGAATTAAATAATTTTCCAACTCAGTTATAGTTAGAGCTTAGCAATTGTAGCTTACATTTCACAATGCAGTTATCACTTCACTACAATGTTGTGTTTAGTGTACAAACACCAAGCTTCTAAACTGTGCATTGTGAATTGTGTGCTGCAATAAAGTACATGAAATTGGTGCAGTGTAACACTGCAACAGTGTGACTGGAATATCCTAGCACCCCTCTCCCCACATTATATACTTTATTGAAAGAGCATATACAAATATACAATCAAAATATTACTTGGAATTTTTTAAACAAGTGTAAGTGTTGCAAACATCACATCCATTAATGGGACAAATTTAAACAGTAGAAGAACACAATAAATAGGAAATGATGATTTTGGGAGAGAGCAATAAACAAAACTCTGTAGGAGTGTCAGAAAGCAGAGTTTGTAAAAAAAATAAAAAAAAAAAAAATAATAATTTCGAACTTTTCTATATCTTCCAAAGGCTTTGAAAACATTTTATTATCCTATATATCTAACATTGTGTTACTTACAGTGATTTTATGTTTAAGGGTCTTTAATGCCATGTCACATATGTGGTAAATGTGAGACAAATTCTATTCTAAATTTTAATTAGAATTTTTTTATATAGGAAACATAGAAACATAGAATGTGAGGCAGATAAGAACCATTCGGCCCATCTAGTCTGCCCAATTTTCTAAAAACTTTCATTAGTCCCTGGCTTTATCTTATAGTTAGGATAGCCTTATGCCTATCCCACACATGCTTAAACTCCTTTACTGTGTTAACCTCTACCACTTCAGCTGGAAGGCTATTCCATGCATCTACCATATTCCACAGCTCTGTACATTGGGCATCATTCCATCACACTCTATATGGGTTTTTCATCAGATGCTTAGTTTATCCAAAAGTGATTTAAAAAACAAAAACAAAAAATCTTTCATAGACCAGACAGATTAAAAAAACCCCCAAAAAACATAAATAGAAAAATCCATCTGTTTCACGTACAGACTTGACTTTTTAATTTCTCACATTTACTGAAGCTTCCGGTTGCTGTGAAATTCACTCATTTGGATTCTTAAGTCTTGTTGAATGTGCCTGTTTGTTTCTATTTGTCAAATAAAGATTCTGATGATACTTTTATATAGAGCGTGACAAACTGCAACCTAATAGGCCACATTCTGCCAGGCAGTTATGGGAGTGTTGGGAGTAGGCTCCTGTTTTGTGAACTAAAAATAAGAGCTACTTACATTGTTGGAAGTAAATAAATCAAATATTGACTTATATTGAAACTTTAATAGAGATAATAAGTACTCAAAAAATATAAAAAAGCACCATGTACTTTCCCACTGTCCCGATTTTCCATGGAAAGTCACAATTTGTGACTTGTATGCTGCTGCTTGGAATTTTGTACCAGCACCTATTTTTGTTTTTAAAAAAGACTCAAATTTTGCTAATGTGCTAGTAAAAACGACTTACTTATCAGGTATTTAATGATTTAGTTATTATTTAGCATTTTTTTTTTATGTTCGTTTTTTTTCCGCAGGAACATCTCTAAATGTATTCTGATATAGGATCCAGTGCCCAAAAACAAAATATATGGAATTTTTTTTACAAATGTTGCCAAATGGCAGGAGAGGAGAAAGTAATTCCACTAAAACTTTCCAACACTGTATAGCTTTGTGAAGAATCTGTACTCTTTAGAACAGCGAGTAATATTCAGGCTAATATATCAATGAAACAAAAAAAGACACAAAAAGTAAACCCTGTGAAGCCCCTCTTTCTGCAGACATGTTTTTTCAATTTCACAGATGTCAAAATTCTTAAAAGAGGTGCTCACACATTTTCCACTTATAAGACATATGTATTATTTGTAGCCCTGATTACAACAACCAGGGAGCAAGAAAAGAGACCGCTCCAAGTCTGTCTAATTATCGTCTCTAACAATATATAATTATAATAAAATATAACTTGATGGTTATAAAGATTGCTGATACTGCTAAAAGTTTGAAAAGTATCCTAGCTGAAAAGGAAGCTGACTTAGAATTGTTCCATTTCAGCAATTTTGGTCTATATTTTGGAATTTGGTTTTCCACTTACCAAAATTCACAGTTTAATGGTAATTTAAATGTTTAATTGGGCAAGGCACTAGAACCCTACTGGTAACACCAATCGCAAGATCTCTAAACCACCGGCTCACAATCTATGGAGGTTCCATTTCGTTTACCCATTAAACATTGCTGTGGAGTTTTTGGGCGCTTTAAATTGGATCTGTCACTTTTGGGGGTCTTTACCCATTTGCAAAGACTTTCAAAAGTGACAGATTTGATGTGGGTTCCGTGGCCACGGGTTGCAGGGTAGGTAATGCCTCACGGATGCCACCATCTTTGTCCATGTCAGCTCTGTACTCTCTTTGTACAGGATCCTACAGGCTGGGATCATTGGTGACCTCAGGATTGGTGAAGTTGGCTATATTTTTATTTTATTTGTTTTTAAGTCATGTATAAATAAATGCGCTGTTAAGTTTTATTGTATTGGCGTCCTGCACTATTTGCCTCCATCTTTATTATACAGAGGTTCTCCCTTGGCATTTGAAAATGCCAACCTCAGATTTGTCCATAAGACAAAGTAGTCCATACTTTGTCTTATGGTATCTTTGGATTGCGTTGGAATCTTGATCAGTATTTCATAAAGAATATATATTTATGATATACTGAAATGTGACAGATCCACTTTAAAGGACCTCTAAGGTCACCCAGGCCATTTAATCTACTTGGTGCAGAGGTGCAGTCATTTTAACCCTGCAATCTAAAACATTGCAGTTTTTTTTTTAGAAACTGCAATGTTTACATAGCAGGATTAAAGGGACACTAAAGTCATCAGAACAACTACAGCTAATTGCATTTGTTCTGGTGAGTAGAATCATTCCCATCAGGCTTTTTGCTGTAAACACTGTCTTTTCAGAGAAAATGCTGTGTTTACATTACAGCCTATTGATAACTCCACTGGCCACTCCTCAGATAGCTGCTAGAGCTGCTTTCATGGGCAGTCCTGCTAATATGCATCACAACATTCAGTATCTCCTCCCTCTGTATGCAGACACTGAACTGATTCAATTCATCTCTATGAGGAGATGCTGATTGGCCAGGGCTGTGTTTGACTTGTGCTGGCTCTGCCCCTGATCTGCCTCCTTCACAGTCTCAGCCAATCCTATGGGGAAGCATTGTGATTAGCGCAGACAGCTTGCTATTCTGAGGCAGACAGGGGCAGAGCCAGCAGCTTCAAGCTTGAATACAAGTAAGATTGTACTATATTTAGGGAGGCAAGAGAGGGCTAGGGGGGCTAGATGGTGGTTTTAACACTATAGTGTCAGAAATATATGTTTGTGTTCCTGACCCTATAGTGCTCCTTTAAATTCACTTCTGTTGGCTGTCATGATGCTTCTGCGGCACTGTTTGAGTAAAGGTCAGTCACGTGATGTGGAAGCTCCCATATGAAAGCATTGATGTTTGCCGCGTATGCACATCAGGTCCTCCATGGGGAGAACTGTATTGGACCAAATATGGAGGAGGCCATGCCACCCTCATGACATCACAGGATACAAATGGCCTTGGTTTTGGAAAAAATTTAAGTAAACATTTCACTCTATTTTTTTGAATGCGCACATGGGTCGGGGGGGACCTATATTACTGGGGACAGTGACACTAAAGCATTAAAGGGATACTATAGTAACAGGAATACAGCTGTATTCCTGACACTATTGATCCCCCTGCCTCCCCCCGCCCTCGCGCACCTCCGCCCGGGTAAATAAAGGGTTAAAAACCCTTTATTTTCTTACCTGATCCCAGCACTGATGTCTCTCGGCACCAGGCCTTCAACTGCCGCCAACGTCCCATGACAAGCAGGCGCTAATGCGCATTTGCTGCAAATGCTGTGTGCACATTAGATCTCCCCTGCTTTCCTTAGGGGAAAAATCTGACGCTGGGTGTCCTCATGTAGAGTGTGAGGATGTTCAGCGTCAGATACCGGATCTAATGTCTGTTTCAATCCAGGAAGCCCTCTAATGGTTGTTGTGTAGACAGCCACTAGAGGCTGACTTAGTGCTGCAATGTAAACATTTGTTTAACATTTTCAGCACTTTTTATGAAACCAAGAGCTCTTTTGTAGTTTTTTTCTCCTATTTTACTCTTATATTGTCTGTTATTTGTAACAAAGCATGATTTAATGTCACATTCTTGGAAAGATCCCTCCTACCCTCCCTCCCCCCCATGTTGTAACTTTGTAAAGTTAAATGTTCCATCTTAAATAGATGATCATTTGGTCTTCTTTTACTAAGTATTGTATTTATTAAAACTGTGTCCTTTTATTTCACTTTATAACTATGTTTCTTTACTGGCTGGAGAAGATGAAGAAGTTGATACATCTTGAATTTTTCCCTATCCCTAGATGTTCAGAATTTGAAAAATAATACAACAAAAAACAAACTACATAACCCTACTGCTGAACAGTAGTAGATTTAAAGGGAGTCTGTGCGCCCCTCATCATGTCTGAAAAATCCACATTACATCATAGATTGAATAGGCTCCAGCTCCCCTGTAAAAAAAATTAAAAAATTAAAAAAAAATATTTAAAGAAAGAACCAGTTGGGCAGTATTGCTCTTAATCGTAAGCAATACGTAAAATAAAACAATATTTATTATATTTTACACCCACAATATTTTTTCACTAAACAGCAAATTAAGAAAATTTTCATGTGTATTGCACATTTTTGAATAAACTACCAAAACTAGAAACATCTCCCCAACTCAGTTATTTTTCCATATCAGCTATTGTGGGATACAGTGCCCAATTCCTTTGTCAATTCCACACAGCAAATATTAACTGTTAACAATTTTGTACTATGTGTACTGCCATCAAAATTGTTTCTGTGATGTGGCTTCTCTACAGAATTCTTTTGCCATTTATCCAAATACAAGCATGTCTATATGTAGTGTAAATGGTCCTGACCGATGCCACATAAACCCTGGACAGTCAGTAAAAATATACAAGGCAGCGTTTCATTAAATTAGATGCTTATGGAAATTATAGAACATTCTGTACTTTATCTGTTTAACAGCAAGCATGTGTGCTTAGGAACACTTTCTATAGTGCAGTCTTCACTGACATCACCTAACACGGTGCTGGGACTCCAAATCATTCTGAATTACATTTCCCAAAATGCTTAGCCAGCCTCCAGAGTTTGTCAAGATTAGCCATAACCAATGTAAGCTATTACTTTACCCACAATGCATCAGGCTGTAAACTATAAATGTCGCTTTTGAGTCGTATAATTTCAGTGGCAGAATTGATAGCTTTTTGAGTTCTTTTTAAGGGTTCTTGCATAATCAGTATTGTGTGCCAAAGACCACTGATGTTTTGCATGTTCTGTATTATGAAACATGAGGAATCACTAAAGAGCTTTAGTTACATCCCCATCGTGGAGCACAAAAGGGGGCATATAAGTAGGTATTTAATGATTAAACAAGAAACACATATGGGGACAATATTTCAGCACTAAAACTCAAGAAATTTAAAGAAGATACATTTTCTTGGGAAAAAAAAGACTAGTATTTTAAAGCAACATTTATTGAACTTGAAATAATTAAAGGGAAACTATAGTGTCAGGAAAACAAACTTGTTTTCCTGGCAGTATAGCTTCCCCCTCTGTCAAGGCCTCTGTAATAACCCCTTCTGTCACTTACCTGCGACCAGCGCCGATGTCCCTTGGCGCTGGCTCAGCTCCGCCCATGCTCCTCTCCGCAGACGTTATCAGGTGGTGGAGACCTAATGCAATGCCCGTGATCGCAATAGTATTTCCCCATGGGAAAGCATTATTCAGTGCTTTCCTATGGGGATTCCGGTGATGTTGGAAGTCCTCATGCATAGCGTGAGGATGTTCAGCGTCATTTAGACGACCAAAAGTCGCCTATCCACCCAGAAGTCTCCCTAGTGGCTGTCTAGCAGACAGCCACTAGAGGAGGAGTTAATCCTGGCAGGTTGTTATTGCAGTTTATAAAAACTGCAATAATTACACGCTCAGGGTTAAGGGTGATGGGAGTTTGCACCCAGACCAATTCAATGAGCTAAAGTGGTCTGGGTGCCTACAATGTCCCTTTAGTATTTTATTTACTGTAGCTATGAGTCTTTGGGTGCCATCTCCCTCTTTGTTTTGTTTTTTTCATACTGTTTTTAAAGGAAAACTTCAACACGGGTGTGGATTAAAAAATAAATAAATCTACTTATTAAGGGAATGAATCAGTAGCCCAATCTACTTTCCGTTATAAAAAGTTACATGTCCTGACACAAAATAATTTCAGTTACAAAGATTGGGACCCCTGGACAATGACAGCTAAACTCTGGATCTTCACAAATGAAATCTGAATGGGAAACACGAAGACAAAAATAGCTAATCTGGATACATTTTCTAACTCCGCTATAGTTACACCACTGTTATGTTTGCCTCAGTTTTGCAATTTTGATTTATATTACACAAAATCTGAGTATTTGAATTACCCTGAGTGTCTCTTCCTCTGCTCCCTCCCACAGTCCATTCCTTTGATATAGTGTGTGGTGAGTGCAACTGTGTTTGATGTGCACTGGCTGTGTGTTATGTGTGTGCTGATAGTGTGAAAACTCTGCGTTCTGGCTGTATGTGTGTATAGTGTGTTTTGGCTGTAAGTGTGTGTAGTGTGTGTTGGCTGTATATGATGTATGGCTTTTTCTGGCTGCATGTGATGTATGTATGGTATGCTGGAAGCATGTGATGGATGTGTGTGATGTGTGTGTGTGTGTGGTGTGCTCTGGGTGTATGTGATGTGTGTGCCGGATGTCTTGTCTAATGGCTAAAAGAAAATCTGGAGATTAACAGAAATTGCAGTAACTTCAAAGGGGTGTATCTTTTTTTTTTTTTTTTAAACGTTGTAAATGTATCAATTTAATTAATTATTTGCATTCTGTTATATATTGATTTGTATTAATCATTACCTCTATAAGACAACCCCCTAACTGTCAGTCAGCCAATCCAGAAATTACTTACAAACACTGCACACGGAGTAAAGAAGGTTCTGACTGGAGATTGCTACTCATGGTTCAACTGTTCGCAAAACATTACCCAGTTCACTAAATGGGGAACTGGACTGTATGCAAACTGACAGCTGCCCATGTATAGATATCAATTTGCAATGCTGTTCCAATCATTGTATGTGATGACTGGCACTGTGGATGGGTTATAAACTCCTTTCCTTATAATCCTGCTGGACTGGGCTTTAAAGGCATAAATCCGCCTTGACTGAACAGAATGTGACACTGCAGGATGCGATTTTGTTTATTTGTAATTGTTTTCATTAATTATTTTGCAATATTATCTGTATAATTGAAAATATGAGCTTTTGTTCAAAAGGACGCTATAGGCACCCAGACCACTTTAGTACATTGAAGTTGTCTGGATGCAGTGTCCCAGGTCCATTAACCCTGTAATTGTAATTATTGCAGTTAGTAACTGCAATAATTACCTTGCAGGGTTAACTCCACCTCTAGTGGTTGTCTACCAGACAGCCAATAGAGGTGCTTTTGGGTGGTCAGTCGACTCATGCTATGCATGAGGATATCCAGCGTCATCTAAAACCCCATAGGAAAGCAATGAGCAGTGCTTTCCCATGGATTAGTCCTAATGTGAGAACGGCACTCGCCGCATATGTGCATTAACCCCCCCCCGTGCCCCCGCTGGCTGACGTTGGCGGAGGAGGAGCCTGACCCAGGTAGTCAGGTAAGTGACAGAAGGAAGGGGGGCATTTCATAGCACTATAGTTTCCCTTTAACTGTACAATCCCTTTAAACTCACACTTTACATCAGCACTTTCAGACATTTTTTGACAGTGAAATAGTCAAAGGAAAGAGGAATGGCTTTTATTAAAAAAGAGAAAAACTATATTCCATCTTTATTTAATAGAATAACATTACAGTATGGAAAGAAATCGAGACACACCTGTTTATTAAATCTGAGTGTTAGGATCTTTCATCCTGTCCTCTATAGGGACTGTTGAACTAATCTCAGAGCTAAAATTATTGATCAAGATGTTATGGAACCTGTGGCAAAATAGGTGCACTTTTACTGACCTCGGAAAACACTGCATTCCGTCTACAAAACGCACAATCTTTAGCCAACTTCTGAAGGAGAGTCAGTTAAAAAGGTAGTTTGGGTTTCCTTCAAGATGGTTGCTTAAGGCTGTAACTTTATATACTCACTAGTAGTCGTCTATCGAAAAAATGTAACCCAAAGAACAGAAACAGATTTATGATAAAAAAAAAAAATCTGACTTTAAGTTGTGTTGCCGCTTATGGGGTCCTTGCATTTTTTGCTCTCCCCCCTGCCCCCACCGAGATAACCTTTATTTCTTTATTTGTTATGGTGGCATCCGTGGGTGGAATAGTAAATAAAGTTTAACTACCTGATGCTGTCTTCATCATGGATGTCTTCATCTACCAAGAGTTGTGTCAATTTTGTACTCTCGCTCACAGGAAATAGTCCAAACAGATATTTGTAGAAGGGATCTTAACATAAATCTTTTATGGATGCACAATTAAATGTCACACATCTACACTGCATCTCTCACGATGATGCATGTTGGAAGCTGCACCCCTTGCTACATTTGTCCAAAAATCGGATCCTATATGAGAGAAAGTAGTCTCTACTAATGAATATGTTAAAATAAATTCAAATGTAGTCAGTAGAATATATCTTTATGCAGGGAAGGATTAAAATCCTTCCTGACCACAATTTGACACTGCAGGATGCAACTGTTTTTATTATTTGTAGTTGTTTTCATTAATTGTTCTGCAATATTAACTGAATAATTGAAATTATGAGTTTTTGTTTAAAGGGACACTTTAGCCATCCGAACCATTTCAGCTCACTGAAGTGGTCTTGATGCACTTGATCCCAGTTCCATTATCCCTGCAATTGTAATGATTGCAGTTATTGATTAACTGTAATAATTACATTGCAGGCATAAATCCACCTCTAGTGGCTGTCTAAAAGACTCATCTTTTAAGAATGTTTCATTTTTTTTAAGGGGGTTTCTTTTTTGCCCATCCCCCTTTGGCGTTAAAATATGTATGTTAAAGAATAATTAATTGCCTTGTTACTTATCTTGTTTCTAATTCCTACAGCCTACAGCTCTTCCTCTGGTGATACCAGCATCCAAGCTAGTATCACCAGGAGTCTCATCATTTCGGCTGTGCCTCATAGAACTGTCAGCAGCATTTGATTCCATGGCCTAGTTCCATTTAGTTCTGAAGGAGGAAGCGCCTCTAGTGGCTGTTTGTAGGATTGAGATGAATGGTCTGGGTGGCTTTGGTGGTCATTTATGAGTGTAGTTCATATGCTGTCAGTTCTAAGTAAGTGAATTAACCTATTTCAAAATCCCTACCAAAAGCATAGGAACCCCATCTTAGAACGTGTTGTATAGATTACATTCTTTCCATGGGGTATAGAATTAACTTTGCATGTGATTAATTCTATGAATCCCTTAAATGAATACCAAGGCTGTTTCCACATGTGCTGGACTTCTTCACCCGCCTAACACCCTGGAAGCTGTTTAAGACTATACTAAACATTCTGTTACTTCTTTTCAGGTAATGCAAATATAATTTTGGTATGCATCCCATTTGAGAGCTGTTAATGGCAAGTTAGTGACCAAGCTTGTTTCCCTTGCATCAGCTGCACGTGTTGAGCATTGCATTTCAGTATAAGAGACTTGTGTGCTGCTTAAAGGGATTCTACAGTGTTAGGAGTACAAAGCTGTTTCTCAGGAAGATGTCCATGAGAGGTCTTGGCGCATACACACTTGAAATGCTTTTTGCACACCAAGAAAAAAAAAATGAAAATAGTATTTATCTCTGAAGGTATCAGCGTACCATAAAAAAGAAAGGACAGCAGTATACATAAAAAAAAAAAACATTAAAAATGAAATCTTGATTCCTCCTTCACACTACATCAAAGGAAAATGTGAATTGATGGCCATGTAGTTTGTTTCAAACAAGAGATGTATTTGTAATTCTGGACATTATTTATCTCATGCTTGTTTTTTTTTGTTTTTTTTATATTTATAATGTCTGAAGTCATAGCGTCTGCTTGGCAACCACAGGTGCTCAACTGTTCTTCCAAGCCAATAAAATATGTCCTTGCCAAGACGTACTTTGTCATAATTGTATGTCAATTACATAATCCTCTGCAAATGAACCCCACCTTCATAAGAGAAGAAAAAAACAAACCTGTAAATCACTATAGCAGTGGTTTTCAGCTGGCAATTAATTAAAACTAATAGGTTGGCAAGAATAATGCATGTGTCCTTAGCAAGTCTTTCAGTAAATGTGATATTTATTATGCTGATAGGTGTGCCTCTGAATATTTTTCTCTCATTCAAGTGTGTTGTGGTCCAAATAGAATTGAGAACCACCACACTATAAATTACTGCAATTTTACTATAGATTAAAGTATTTATTTAAATTGTTACTCGAAGAACCATTAACCCTCCAGTAATTTGAAGTGGTCACGGTGCCTGTTCGTATGCGCTGTGTTTCACCACCAAACTTTGCACATATGGAGTTTAACCTCTTTGCTGCTGGAGGTATAGCTTCTATACTCAGATTTGCATTAACTGAATGAGAATAAATTGCATTCATAGCTGGCAGGATTGGCATTGGGCTCCTGCAGCTCTATAGAAGCAATATACACTTCTTGGGTCATAGAGGCCTCTTGACACCTGGTGAGGAACCAGGTAAGTAGGAAAACTATTGCAAAATGGTTAACCTCATTAAACATGGCACTATAGTGGCATGTTGTGGTTTTGATGCTTGGAGTAACTGTTTAAGTCTTAGCAAAACACTATAGTGTCTGGAATTAAAAACATATATTCCCGATAATCACGTCCTGACTTGGCTGTTTAGGTGTCCGGACCCCTCCAATCTCAGTAACAAGGTTTATTCCCAGCTTGCCCCTCCTGACTCTGCCTTCGTGGCTGAGATTATCAATCTTGATGATCTCATTTAACCCAATACTATCCAATAGAAACACATTGGGTGGCAAAATGCTAAGTTGCACAATTGAATCAATGCATCTCTATGGTGAACACTCAGTGTCTCCATGCAGAACATTTTTCACTGAATCTTCTCTGCAGCCTGGTCCAACCCCACTGAAGTTATCAGGCTTGTTGATCAATTTTCCAATCAAATGCTGCTCATAGAAAAGCATTGTGGACTTAATGTGCAGCAATGCTTCTCTATGAGGCATCAGAGGACATTCAACGTCCCCATGTAATGATGGAGGACATCAAACATCAAGCATTGAGTCTGACTTGGTTCTCACTGTGCATGCACCTTCTAGTGCAGGAGTAGACCACCTTCAGCACTCCAGATTTTGTATGCCCATCACATCTTGAGTGCCTAAGGTTGTCGACCTCCAATTTTGTGGCTCTCAGTGTAATAGGCACTAATGATTTGTTTGAAAAACACAAATGTTTTACATTGCAAGAGCAAACCGTCAGGGCCACAGCACCCAGACCACTTCATTGAGATTGAATAGTCTGGGTGCTCATAGTGGTCCTTTATGAATGTTATGTATTTAAACATTTTTGTGCTTCCTGTCCTAAGAAACTACAATTTCCAATGGGCACATAGCAGTGATAAAAGTAAGCCTCTAATTCTTATAAGCGCACACACATTCACACACACACTCACACACACACACACACACACACACACACACACACACACAAACTCACTTTTTAATTTATTTTCTTTTTATTAGTAGTACAAAAAAGGTCCAAAGAACAGCACGGTTGTGATACATAGATTATTCTGATTTGCAATAGTTAAACAAAACATTAATAATGGATAAAACATGTTACATAACATGTAAAACCATTTCCTTTATCTCGTACTAGATGTTTTAAATATAAAAGAAATCAAGGCTATAACGCAGGGTACAGCGATTATTGAACAAAAATGGAAAAAGGAAAATAATACATTTCTTCTTTTTCTAAGCAATAAAAAGCCAGGGCACTTATACTGCTCAAAGGAGAGTTCTGTATTCTTGAGAAGAGAAGAAAAATAGTAATTATTTTCAGGTGTGCAACGATAAAAAGTTGCAATATCTATATCACTCAGAATTCTATAGTTGTTGAGTATAAAAGGTGGGGAAAGGAAACAATTAGAGTGAAAGAAAAACAAAATGAGTATTTTAAATATATTGAAGAAACATGGGTAGGATGTTTGAGAGAAGAGAAGACAGTAAGAGAAAATAGTTGACTAGCAGCATCGAGAAAGGGGGAAGAATGGGAGAGAGGGGAACAAACATGCAATATTAAATAATAAAAAAAATACACACAATGAGCATTCAATCATAAAAATATGAAAAAAATCATATGTTTTATGGTACGATTTGATTGTTAAGCACAATTCAGCCTCTCCTCAAAACAACTTCATGTTAATGACTTTTTGTTGTTGTTGTTAATCTTTCTTTTATTAAGGCACATGAGTTGGGATACAGAATGAAGAAAGGGAAATATACATGTCGAATACAAGATAGGGATATCACAGCATTAACATTAACATGCATGATTAACATTTCTTAGATAGTAATGCCTCATTTTTTATTTTTAAAGTAGTTAGAATTTAAGCACGCTTGACTGTTATGTCAGGTAGGTCAGACGTGGGTAGGTGCACAGGGGTAAGATAGAGACAGTGGCGTACATACCGCGGTCGTAGGGGGTCGAATTGATTTTTTGGTATTATATTTAGCTTTTTAGGCGTCTGATAAAGTTTGTACTCCTATTATTCTATTTTGTTATATTATACACATGTGGTCTTTTCCACTGTATTTAGTATTTACAAATATAAATCACACTCTTTTCCCTAGGTACAAATAATTCGGGGCTTGGCAACAATGAGCTGTATTGTAGAAACTAAGAGACAAACCCCTAATTCTATTACTATAATATATTCAAACTGTTATTTTTTGATAATGTGTTTTGATTAGTACATGTTTGTTTACCTGTTGCAGGGAAATTAAAAATAAATAAATAAAATAAAACAAAACAAAAGCACAAGATGTTGCTCATTATAGAATAAAGATGTGTGATGTAATATAGTTCTGTTTATTAAACTTTTTCTAATTTTCCTATTTATATTTTAAATATTTTTAAGGTTTTGAATACGGTATATCTCCTAAGTTCCCCTATTAGGAGGATCAGTCCATATTTTGAGCTTAAATTCCTCTGTCCCTCTTTTCTAAAAGTCCCATATTGTTGTACCCGAGTGTATAACAGAGCTCCACAGTAGTGATTTCTGCAGTAATGTGTATTTTAACTAAAATAAATGTGTTCAGAATTCAGTCTGTGTAAATAAGACACATTGTTTGTGGTCTAAATTACATTTTAATTGCATAAATTGCTATTCGTAATAAACCTAAAATTTCTCAGAACAGCCCCACCACTGGCCTCTTACTCACACTCAACATTGTGTTTAGATCACTGGTTTCCTTCTGACCAATTCAAAATGACGGAAGATCCTGCAAATTTGCTGCTCTGTGTATTGTATGGAGAATTTTTGCCTCCAGTAAAGTGTGCTTTTAATTCATTTGTAGGTTTTATTCATAAATAGCAGGAGAAGACAATAAGGGTGACGTTGAGTAGTGGGGTTCCTTAATGCCACCCAGCAGAAGGGCGGACAGAGTAAATGTCCATATACAATTGCCGTAGTGTGGGCCAGGACTTGGGCCAGTGGGAATTAAAAAGAAACAAAAAGAGAGAAGGGGAAACAAAAATCAGTGACTACGGAGAGGTAAAAAGTACTATTGAAGGTGTTTTAGGCAAATAAAGGTCAAGCATAATGGGCGGATAATAAAGATTGGAATGAAAATGTATATAAGGGAATGGAAAGATACTAAAGAAATCACAGTGTGGAAAATTAAATGAAGGGCCGAAATAAATTGGTGGGAGTGGAAAAAGAAAAGAAAAATCATTGACAAGTATGGTGTAAAATAATATTGAACTGTAACATTTACTGCTTCTCCCCCCACAATGGTTATTATCTGTTGGCCCCATCTCTTGACTGACTTGCTGCCCCATAGCCAACCAAACTGCCCTATTCACCTTCTTTTGTTGCTTTAGTTGTAGCCACCAAAGATAACTGTTTTTCCTCATTTGCATTTGGGTTTTATTTCTCTTTAAATTAAGAACAGGAAAAACCTAAAAAGATTTGATTGGTATAGAAAATGCAGTTGTAACATCTGTGGATCATTACCTAGAGTTAGAACGCCCATTGTGTCCCTAAACTATTTCAGTGGGCCCCCACGGGCATCCTATTCATTAGACTCTAAGCCATCTATGTTATTATAATAAATTGTTCACTGCAGAAGACTTGCTTCCCCATGGGCATTATGTAATACTTTTAAAAAAGTGGAGCGTCTGAAGGAACACTATAGCATTAGAAAAGCAAATATGTATTTCTACCGTTATAGTGTTCTTGTCCGTAGTTCCATGTAGCCCGCCCCCCATGCCCCCTGTGCCATAAAATTTAATAGCATCCAAATTTTACTTACCTTTTACAGCGTCGAGGCTCTCTTGGAGATACTCACCTCTCAGTGTCCCTCTCGGAACGTCCTTAATAAGGCATGGCCTCCTCCATCATAGAGGAGCATTGGGGACCTGATGTGCATGTGCAATAAACGCTCATCAAAGCTCCCCAGTAGGAAAGCTTTGTGCTTTCCTCTGGTTTTCTGCATCACGTGATCAAGTTTTACATGGTCAGATCTGCGGAAGTTTCTCTAGGGAGACAGCCACTAGAGGTGGATTTAACCCTGCAATGTAAACGTTGCAGTTTCTAAAAAAACAAGCAATGTTTTACATTGAGGCATTAAATGGACAGAGCCAGTGGTGTACATACCGCGGTCGTAGGGGTCACAGCTGCGACCGGGCCCATCACTCCATGCCCTGCGGACCCCTGCGACCCATGCTGTTAGGGCAACCCGATGGAGATTAATTTCCAGCTGGGAGGAAGTGACTGCCCGTCAGAGCAGGAACTCTGACTTCCACCAGCCTGAGCCACCACTGGACCCCAGCGAAAGTCACCCTCCTGCACCTAATAGGTAGGAAACAGGAGGGTGACTTAAACATTTTGTGTTTGTGTGTATGTGTATGTGTCTGTGTGTGTATGTGTGTGTGTGTGTATGTGTCTGTCTGTATGTGTGTGTGTGTCTGTGTTTGTATGTGTCTATATGTATGTGTCTGTGTTTGTGTATGTGTGTCTTTATATGTCTCTGTGTGTATGTATTTGTGTCTGTATGTCTGTGTGTGTGTCTGTCGGGGGAAGGAGGGGGAGTGGATCACTTTCGCACCAGGACCCCATGAATTGTGTGTACGCCACTGGACAGAGCCACTGCACTCAGGGCCACATTGCATTAAGATAAAGTGGTCTGGATGACTGTTATATAATTAATTTTACAACTGAAAAATTTAGCACTGACCTAATTTTAAAATTTAGGCTGACATTTAACACAATAGTGCTTCAGTTAAGGTTAAGAACCACTGTTTTATATAGACTAAATCATTTACTTTTTTTTTCTCAAGTATTTTCTATAAAAATAAAAAGGTTATTCAAAGGTATCTTCAGGGAATGTTTAAGGGTTCTTTTAGGGAATGTATAATGTCATTTATGGCAACCCAGCGTACAAAATATTGCATAATCTTGCCAGATTCACATGTTGCTTGGCTTTTACTATGTAGTAATGCAAGATGGGAGCACTATTTATTGGGTTAACTAATCTCTGAAATGAAAATGTTAGTAGTGAATGAAACAGAGATCTTTACCGGCCCTAACCACTAAGAAGCCCAGTCTTTGTGCACAACCATCTGGGTATACAGACTTTCTAGGAATGTAAACATACGTTGCGCATGGGGGATATACATTGAGTATTTGGATTGATATATGAGCCTGTCTTGAGGTTATGTCCTAATTGCATGCAGGATGAGCAGAAACCGGTAAAAGCGACATAATCTTACAATACAAAGGTGAATGGTGCCCTTTAAAGAACCAGAGCGTTGGAATTCCCAACGTAACTGCTTATTTAAGTCTTTGTTTTTATATATATTTTTTTTTATAGACATGCATGAGTGTAATGTATTTTAGTGTTTTTTTAATCTGGTCTCTATCTATGATTTAGGTCAAGTGTTAAGTTTTTTTTTTTTTTTTAAATACTACTGTAATGAAAGCGTAATCATGTATACTGTGCTTACTATTCCCATGAGACTTGACCTCTGAATTGCCTTTAGTGAATACGAAGATTGTAAATGTGGATCAAATCCAGGAATTTTCACCTGATTTTCCAACTCTGGGGTCAGTTTGGAAATGAATGAATTCTTTTATTCATGAACCCACTCTCTGGTGTGAACTCTGGAAAATCTCAGGGACTCAGAAGTGTAATAAAGGTTGATGGACCCACTATTTTCTTCTGGGACCTTCCTGCTTAGTTCAATATGACAAGTGGTGCATACAAAGTGCTTCCCTGCAATGTGTACTATCCATATGCTGCAAAAAGTTAAATCAATTAGCCAAGAAGGGAATCCCACTGGAGTTGCTGTAAATTATCAACCAATTTCGCCCCTGCAGCATGTGAATTGTACATTCTCCAGACTCCAGAGCAGCACTTTATATGCTCTACCCAACAGTACATAGAAGTAATGTGTGCCTTTGAGAACATGGTGGATCTGACAAAATGGAACACTTGGGTAAATAGGTATGTCATTCTGTAGCAATAATCTATAATAATAACAACCAGTTTAAATCTATAATAATGAACAATTTTGCAACAGTTTTACACAGTGTTTCAAATGTAGTATGTACACATTCTACCAAAGTGATATTTTTAAACGGTAACTAAGAAATAGTTAATGTTTCAAAAATAAAGAATATTATCCTCCGTGCCTACGTTGGCGTTAAATTGTATTGTAAATTCCTTAGCTAAATCATGAAATTGGTGGTTTTGCTTTCTTTGTGGGTCTCAAAACTTCCTTTGAGGCATGCAAGCTTGAACAAGGCTAATCTCCATCTTGTTGAGAATTGTCTCACCCGAATGACCTGTACGTTCCACCCAAATGGAGATAGGTTAAAGGTGTACTGGACAATTAAAGGGGCAGTGCCATGACATTATTGTGCATTATTTATTCTAAAATACATACCTAACCCGCATGTTACTTTAAAGACAATGATGTCTGTTCACACTGGAGATCATTCACTAGACTCTGAATTATAGCAAATTGAAATGGCAAATAATTAAACAAACAAATGGCAAAATTGATCTTATTTGTAAAACTCGCCCAACTCAACGAGACCGTTAATTCACAGCTTTTTTTTTTGTTGTTGTATATTTTTATGTAAATTTTGCCATTCGATTTTAAGTTTGTTACAGTGCAATGTTTATTTAATAAACCTCTAAATATTTCTGTATCAAATTAGGCCACTTTCCTTTTTAATTTGGCTGTACAAATTCCTATGAGGTTTATTTACTGAGTTAAAACCACATTGTACTCAATGGATCACAGTTATTTTCAAGTAGATATCAGGGCAGCAGTGAGACTTGCTTGCACTCAATGATGACTAAAAGACTAGTGTTCCTGCTGTTAGTATATTAAATAAAAAAGGTAAAACTACTTTTTGGGTGAGTCAGGATTCATTATTGAGTGATGGGGGTGGGGTAAGTGGGGTTGGGTATAGTATTAGGGAGACAAACAAGGTTATTCACTAAAGTGAGAGTTCAATGTGAATTTAAAATGTAAAATTAACATTATAATGTCAGGAATGCGAATGACACTATAGGTCTAAATAGTCATTTAGGTGGCCGGCCCGTTTGTCCCTTGTTTAAAGGAATATTTCTCACTTTTTTCCAGTGCAGTGCAGTTAAATACCATCGGCAGCGCAAGAGTTAATTATGGGACATTAAAAAAGATGTAAATACATAAGTAAATAAAAACCCTAACTAAGAAACCCTATATACGGAAGTAAATAAAAAAACCTATACACCTCCCAAGTGTGATGATCCACTTGAACGGACACTGGTGAGGGGGGTAATGTGGTCGGGACAGTGACTTCACTGGCTCCGACCAAAGGACAGCCTGGATAGGGGGCATGTCGACCCAAATTACTGGCAGGTCAGCATGGTGTGAATGCACATCAGGCTGCCTTCCAACCATTTAAGGCCTGCCCACTGAGGGCCAGACCCTGAACCTAGCACAAGCACTTCTGATGATGTGTTCACTCTGTGGGGACACCAGGGATCTTAGCAAAACCCCAGCATTCCTTATCTGTGATATAGCTAGCTCGCCTTGCTTGGTTCCTTACAAGATCCATATTCAAACTGTGCTCCGAGGGAAAAACACTGAGTCATAGAAATGATGTCATACCCGTTTCAGGCGTCTGTACATACAACACAGAGAGGAAATATAGACAGGTGCTGGAATAAGTACAGACCTGTTTCCTTCTATATACCAACAGTGGGGGTGAGGGAGGAAATGCACTTGAGGGGAAAATTAGAGAAAAATGTTAATGTGCCTGGGGGGAGAGAATGGGTTGTGAAAGGACATGTGACTGGTAAGGAAGTGTGGCTGAAAATGGAGCTGAGTAGATGTGAAAGAGGTGTATCTAAATGTAAGATAGGGGATATTATAGTGGAGGGAAATGAGGGACAAATGTGGGTGAAAGGGGGCTAAGTAGGGTTTTGGGGTTAAGGAACCAAATTAGTCACCAAAGCCATTTACAAGACCCCCCCTCCCCCCCCCCCACACACACACACACAGTGTAATTGGGCAGTGTAAGGAAATCAAGTATAGCTGAACCGCTTTGATAATCCCTCCTGCAATGCCAGCGTCTAGGGTAGATCCAAGCAATGAAGTCCATAAGAAATATAACAGCTTCCCAAGATAATCCCCTTGGTAAAGCATACGAATTCCCAAATAACAGTCAGAGTCCAGAATCAGGATACAAGTAGATCTGAGGTCTGGAATCTCCAGCCTGCTTTTTATTAGGGTTACAGACAAAAAATACACACCCAGGGGGAGGCATTAAAACACCAATCAGGTACAGGTTACAGCCCCTACCTCCCTCCCCTCTGATAAACAGTTAACTTCATTAAAACGTGCACTATTTTACCCCAGTTCTGGATGTACCCCAAAAACAGGGGGTACACCTTTAAATTGGGCACCGCTGGATAGTGCTCACTTGTGGGGACAATATGTCAAAAAATCAGTCCATTCGGATGAATGGTTCGGGAGTTATGGAGCACTAAAGTTTTGACCGACCGCACGGATCATCTAGCCGAAAATAGTTCCATAAGTTTTGGCCCTGCGGTCGGTCTCCGTTTAGGCGAATAAAAAAAGACGAAAGTCCTGCCATCCGTTCGCATCTTCGTGGTCGTTGAAATCCCCATACGAAGTTGCATGTAACTACCGAACGGCCGGTGATTCGTTTTTTTCCGTGCGAAGTTCTGGATGCATGGAGGTCTCAGCGGTGTTCGCCTGTTTGCGTATCCGATTTTAGTTCCACGCGTTTGACGGGCAAACACCGCTGTTCGCACGTAAAATGGCCGCGACCACGTGTAAAGTGCCGAAATGGCGGCCACCTAGAGTTTACACGGGGAATTCGCCTGAATCCATCCGAAGGGTAGAAATTATAGCTATATGCCGAATTCCAGCTGAATTGGGTGAATTAACTTGTGCAACAAAGGTAGAAATCCTGATGAACGGAGTCATTTCTTCACACTGCTCCCCTATAAGTCCATAGGTCGGCATACCCGCCTAGACCCTGTCGGGTTGGCTTGGGGATGTCCGATGAAAGTATGTTTTTAGGTGTCCAGTTCGGTCTGGCGGGACAGTCCATCCGCATTCCCATTTTGTTTACCCGGACGGTACTGCATGGTAAAATTGTATGGTTGGAGAGCTAGGCTCCACCGGAGTAGCCTGGGGTTGTCACCAGCTACCCGGTTGAGCCATACCAGGGGGTTGTGGTCGGTCATAAGGGTAAACGCTCGCCCATACAGATAGGGCTGAAGTTTCTTGAGGGCCCACACGAGGGCCAAGCACTCTTTTTCTACGGTGGCATAGCTGACTTCTCGGGGCAAAAGTTTACGGCTGAGGTATGCCACCGGGTGTTCCATGCCATCCGCCCCCACCTGGCTTAGCACGGCTCCCAGCCCAAACATGGAGGCATCTGTGTGGACGAGAAATTGTTTAGTGTAATCGGGTGCTGCCAACACAGGGGCCTCACTCAAGGCCGTTTTGAGCTTCTGGAAAGCGTCCGTGCACTCTGGGGTCCAGGAGACCTGTTTGGGAAGGGCCTTTTTGGTAAGGTCCGTGAGGGGCTTGGCCAGGGCGCTATATTCTGGGACGAACTTCCTATAATACCCGGCCGTCCCTAAGAAAGCCAGTACCTGGGTTTTGGTCCGAGGTTGGGGCCAGTTAGCTATGGCTTCTACCTTAGCGGGCTCTGGGCGTTGTCTACCGGAGCCGACACGGTGGCCTAGATACTGGACCTCGGCTAGGCCTACGTGACACTTGTCGGGTTTCAAAGTGAGCCCGGCGAGGTGGATTCGTTCGAGTACCCTGGACACATGACCCAGATGGTCTCCCCATGTGCGGCTATAGATGGCAATATCATCTAGATACGCACATGCGAAGTCCTGCAACCCCTCCAGGAGCCTATCCGCCATCCGCTGAAACGTAGCCGGGGCGTTCTTCATCCCAAAGGGCATAACCTTGAATTGGTATAGCCCAAACGGGGTGACGAACGCCGACTTGGGGATGGCCGCAGGCTCCAGGGGGATCTGCCAATAACCCTTGCACAGGTCCAGGGTAGTCAAGTAGTTCCCCCCCGCCATACGATCTAAGAGCTCATCTATTCTAGGCATGGGGTAGGCATCGGTTATGGTACGGTCGTTAAGCCTCCGGTAATCTACACAGAAGCGCGTAGTGCCATCGCGCTTCGGTACTAGTACCACCGGGGAGGCCCAAGGACTTTGGGAGGGTTCTATTACCCCTAGCCGTAACATATCCCTTAACTCGGTGAGCATACTCTCACGTACTGCTTCCGGGATCCGATATGGCTGTTGCCGTAGGGGCGTCTCTCCCTGGGTTTCCACACGGTGTACCGCAGCGGAGGTATAGCCGGGGGTAGCGGAAAACATCTCTCGGTATCCCTGCAGCAGATGGGTAGCCTCACCTTTCTCCAGGAGGTCTAAATTTTGCCCCAAGCTTACTTGGTCAATAGTACAGGGGGTGGTCTCCAGTAAGTCAGGCAGGGGAAGCCCTTCACTATCCTCTGTGGCGGGGGCGCACACGGCGCCCACCTCCTCTGTCCTTTCAAAATATGGTTTGAGCATGTTCACATGGAAGGCTTTGGTCAGCCTTTCATCTGAGCATTTGCTCACGATGTAGGTAGTCTCGCTAACCTGTTCCACTACCTTAAAGGGTCCCTGCCAGGCTGCTTGCAGCTTGTCCTTTTTAACGGGCCTCAGAGCCAGTACCTTCTGCCCTAAGTCCAGCACTCTATCCTGGGCCCTCCTATCGTACCACTTTTTCTGGTCCTCCTGGGCCGCCTGCAGGTTCTCCCGAACCGATTCGGTGAGGGCCCGCAGACGGTCCCGGAACTCCAGGACATACTGGACGATAGGGACTCCCCCCTCATCTGTATTGCCCTCCCAGTGTTCCCGTACGAGCTCCAGTGGGCCCCGAACTTTTCTCCCGTACAGGAGTTCGAAGGGGGAAAACCCAGTGGAGGCCTGGGGCACCTCACGGTAGGCAAACAGAAGGTGGGGAAGGAATTTTTCCCAATTCTTGTGGGACTCTGTAAAAGTTTTTAGCATCTGTTTTAGAGTGCCATTGAAACGTTCACAGAGCCCGTTAGTCTGGGGATGATACGGGGCGCTGAACAGGGGTTGCACTCCACAGCTCTGCCACAGTTGTTGCGTCAGGGTAGCTGTGAACTGCGTCCCCCGATCGGAGAGTATCTCCTGCGGGAAACCTACTCGGGTGAATATCTGAATAAGGGCCTCTGCCACGGTCTCGGCCTCTATATTGGTGAGGGCGACTGCCTCCGGGTATCTAGTGGCGTAGTCAACCACCGTTAGGATAAACTTTTTGCCCGACGGACTGGGGCGACTGAGGGGACCTATTAAATCCACCGCTACTCGGTGGAAGGGCTGTTCGATGATGGGTAGGGGGTGAAGCTTAGCCTTCCGAAGGTCTCCCCTTTTCCCTACCCTTTGGCATACATCACATGTCCTACAATAGTACTTTAGGTCCTGGGTAGCTCTGGGCCAGAAGAAGGTTTGAGTTAACCTGTCTCTGGTCTTTTTGACCCCTAAATGTCCTGCTAGGGGAATGTCATGACTGAGTTTTAACAACTCAGCCCGAAATTTACGGGGCACAACTAACTGTCTTTTTATGACCTGGGTAGCCCCCTGTCCCACCCCCTCGGTTACCCTATATAGCAACCCCTTATACCACTCAAATTTTTCGTGCGGGTTGTTCTCGGGGGTAGCGGCCGCGGCCTTCCTATAGCCTTCTAATGTGGGGTCAGTACGCTGTTCCTGTTCAAACCCCTGGGGGGTATCCCAGAAGGGTACGGGGGGATCGGGTAAAGGGGGTATTTCGACTCTTACCTGGTTCTCCTCAGAGTGCAGCGGAGCTTCCAGTCTGGCTTGAGCTCGGGTGGTAACCGGGTAGGCCTCGGCAGGGGGGTCTCGGGCTAGTTGGGAGGTTAGGCATCCCACATCATTTCCCAACAAAACCTCGGCGGGCAGTTCTTGCATAATCCCCACCTCCAGTTGTTTAGACCCGGAACCCCAATCAACAAACATATTAGCGGTGGGCAGTTTGTGAATAGCGCCCCCAGCCACCCTTACAGCGACTGTGCGTCCGGTGCGAGCTTGTGCTCTGACCGTGTGGGGCTGTACCACAGTCAAAGTAGCCCCAGAGTCTCTCAGCGCCCGGGCCCCCACGCCATCGACGGTAATCCATTGGCGGTGGTGGTCCCGGTTGTCCCCCCCAGCTTGTACTGGATTGACCTCATGTAATACGCTCCACTGTTCTTCGTGGTTAAGGGCAGGGCCTGTGTGTTCCTGTTGCACACAGTGAGCAGCTGCCCTGGGTTGTTGTGGGGCTGGCCGTTCCCAGCTTCCCCGGTTTAAGCGAGGGCACTGAGGCTTGTAATGTCCTGGTTGCTTGCAGTAGTGACACACTGCAGGAGGTCGAGGTGTGTTTGCTGGGTTCGGTGGGGGGTTACCTATGGCAGGTCTAGGTGGAGCCGGGTTTGTTGGAGCTGTGTACTGAGGCTTAAATGGTGGTCTGCTCGCCCCTGGCTCCTTCCTCCTGTTATCCTGGTACTCGTCCGCTAGCCTAGCGGCCTCCTCCACGGTTTTTGGTTTCCTATCTTTTACCCAGTCTTTTATGTCCTCTGCAGTATGATTAAAAAATTGCTCCAGTATCACTAGTTGCAAAGCTTCTTCTAGGGTGGTTGCCTGGCAGCCCTTCATCCAATTGCGGGCTGCCCGCTGCAGGCGAAAAGCCCATTCCGTATGGGAATCTCTCCCAGTCTTTCTCAGGTCTCTAAACTTTTTCCGGTATGCCTCCGGAGTTACCGCATATCTGGCCAACAAAATGTCTTTTATTTTCTCATAATTATGTATGTCCCCCTCAGGTACTGCTCGCAGCGCCTCGGCTGCTCTACCTGACAATTTACTGCTGACGACTGCAGCCCATTTGGTGGAGTCTAATCCCTCCAGTGCACACTGACGTTCAAAGTCTTGCAAGTAACTGTCAATTTCCATTTCATTGTCAACAAATGATTTAAACGCTGCATAATTTACCTTCTTTGGTATTTCCCCAATACTTCTCGGGGGTGTAGCAAATCCCCCTGTGACGCTCTGTCCCGGTCATCTCGCTCTTTTTGCGCTTGTCTGGCTTGTGCTACGACCTGCAGTATCGCCTCTGAGGATGGATTGGGTCCCAATAAACTGAGTGTCCATCGGATGTCCTTTTGCATCACGGTTTCTTCCTCTTGGTCCATCTCTATATTACTGGTATTATCGCTCTGCCTTAACTCCGCAATTATCGTGGCTTTTGTTTTGTTACTTGCCACTCTGCCTCGAGCTTCCAGTAAGTCCTTTAGCGTGGTTCTTTTAAGTAGCTGGTACTGCTGAGCCATTCATTCCTTTGCTTGTTTTGAAATGTCCATTTGGGATTCGAATCCCTCCGCTTGCCACCAGTTGTAAGGAAATCAAGTATAGCTGAACCGCTTTGATAATTCCTCCTGCAATGCCAGCGTCTAGGGTAGATCCAAGCAATGAAGTCCATAAGAAATATAACAGCTTCCCAAGATAATCCCCTTGGTAAAGCATACGAATTCCCAAATAACAGTCAGAGTCCAGAATCAGGATACAAGTAGATCTGAGGTCTGGAATCTCCAGCCTGCTTTTTATTAGGGTTACAGACAAAAAATACACACCCAGGGGGAGGCATTAAATCACCAATCAGGTACAGGTTACAGCCCCTACCTCCCTCCCCTCTGATAAACAGTTAACTTCATTAAAACGTGCACTATTTTACCCCAGTTCTGGATGTACCCCAAAAACAGGGGGTACACCTTTAAATTGGGCACCGCTGGATAGTGCTCACTTGTGGGGACAATATGTCAAAAAATCAGTCCATTCGGATGAATGGTTCGGGAGTTATGGAGCACTAAAGTTTTGACCGACCGCACGGATCATCTAGCCGAAAATAGTTCCATAAGTTTTGGCCCTGCGGTCGGTCTCCGTTTAGGCGAATAAAAAGACGAAAGTCCTGCCATCCGTTCGCATCTTCGTGGTCGTTGAAATCCCCATACGAAGTTGCATGTAACTACCGAACGGCCGGTGATTCGGTTTTTTCCGTGCGAAGTTCTGGATGCATGGAGGTCTCAGCGGTGTTCGCCTGTTTGCGTATCCGATTTTAGTTCCACGCGTTTGACGGGCAAACACCGCGGTTCGCACGTAAAATGGCCGCGACCACGTGTAAAGTGCCGAAATGGCGGCCACCTAGAGTTTACACGGGGAATTCGCCTGAATCCATCCGAAGGGTAGAAATTATAGCTATATGCCGAATTCCAGCTGAATTGGGTGAATTAACTTGTGCAACAAAGGTAGAAATCCTGATGAACGGAGTCATTTCTTCACAGGCAGTTTTCTATAGATCTGTATAATACAGTTGGTGTTTATTGAGGCTGGACAAGAGCACACGGGACAGCACCCCCCAGTGTTTGTTGCAAAAAAAAAAAAAAAATATATATATATATATATATATATATATATCTATAACTATTGGGGTGGTGAGTACTAATGATATGTGTGTTCAAGAATAATATTTTGTGTCTGTTGTGACAGTTTCACCTATTATCGATGGTTGGAAATGTCTGGAACTAACCATTTGAAAAAAATACCCCAATATCAGGATATAGAAGAGAATTGCTTAGTCTACTCTATTAAGACTTCTGAGTCACCCATTTGTTTCCTATTGAGCTGTCGGACCTTTAAAGACAGGCCTGTTCACTATCTGTATTCTAGCACTGTCATTGGCTAATAGCATCAGGGGTGGAGTCAATTCTCTTTTAAAGGGACACTATAGGCACCCAGACCACCTGATCTCATTAAAGTGGTCTGGGTGCAATGTCCCTGTCCACCTTAATCATTGCAGTTTAGAGAAGCTGTAATGATTACATTGCAACACTAACACTGCCTCTAGTGGCTATCAATCAGACAGCCTTTAGGCTGCTAGGCTACTTTTGTGCGCCTAACTGACGCTGGAAGACCTCACACTCTGCATGAAGACATCCAGCGTCATTAAAATCCACATAGGAAAGCATTGCAGCAAGGGAGCACCTGAATCGTGTGAGTACAGTAAGGTTTTTTTTATAGCTTTGAAGAGGGCATGACCTCTCATTGAATCAGGGATTGAGAATGTGGATAAATAAAAATACCCCCAAAAAGTCAAGGGTAGAGTCTGCCCCACCATCTAGTACCGCACCTGGACGTATTGCTGTACAAAAGTAAAATACATTCTAGATAAGGGGTGTGTAAGATTGTAGAAACTATTTTTCCCCCCATACACACACCAACTAACATGCAAAGAAACATCTTATTAACAGATTCTAAATTCTTAGATTTTTCCTGATTTTAATTATAAGTCATGGAATGGCCTTTAATTATAGGATCTATTTATACTTGCTGATCACAGTGCAATTGTGCATTATGCTTTATACAGACATTTCAGTTTAGTGGTGACAGATTTAAAGTGAACCTGCAATCCAGTAAATGTTTGGGCATTCAGGCTATTTAATATTTGATCTATACATTATACTTGGGAAGTCTCCTGCAAGTGTGTAGTTTAAAAGATATACGTACACCAAAATAATATTACCAGAAGCATAGCAACAGAGAACAAGAAGGTCATAATATAAATATCTAAATAACTTTAAAGCTGTACGTGTGCTTGTGTGCACATTCTATAGATAAAACGTTTATTCCATTTAGATTAAAGGGACACTATAGCATTAGGAATAGAAAACTGTATGCCTAACACTATAGTGTCCGTCTGCCTTTTTCATATGTCCCTTTTCACACTGATGGAGCTGGATTGGTCTCCTCCTCCAGCGATGTTCCAGCGATGATGCATGTGCGTTAGAGCTTCCCCGTAGGAAAACATTGAATCAATACTTTCCAATGGGGATTTGGAAGATTGTAGATGCCCTCATGAAAAGCATGAGGACATCCAACATCGTTTCATGGAGTTAACCTCTATTAGAATCCATGAAGCGCCTCCACTGTCTGGAAGACATCCATTATAGACTGTCTTTACCCTGCAACGGTAACATTGCAGTTTCTTAGGGTCACTTTACTCAGACCACTTTAATGAGATGAAGTGTTCTGGGTGACTATAGTATACCTTAAACAGAAAGTCCTCTGAATTATTACAGATATAGCTTAAACACGTTAATGTAAAAAGGGAAGTACCATTTCAGATTTGTTCCAACTTTGCTGAATCATTTTAAATACCCACAAAATATAATCTGGCATTGATATCTAGCAACACCAGGACGGCAAATTAAAATTAAGGCTAGGACGTGAAGGGAAAATAAATATAAAATGAAGGAACATTTGGCAGGCATATGGTAATAATAATTCTCTAATGTTATTCTGTAGGATTATAATTTAGTTTAGTGCTTGACATAGCAAATACCCAACTTTGACTCTCTCTGCATTTTAGCCCAGTCCACATGAAGCTTTTGCGCACTTTCATCTTGCAGAGCATCATGGAATATGTAGTTTGCAAGGTACCAACGTTTGTGAGTTTGTGAGGTACCAACGTGAGCAATCACACATTATCTCTTTGCTTCCTTCTCTTAATTTCTCAATTTCCTCTGATATAGTCCTTTTGTGATTTCCCTCCTTTCGTGTCACCCTTAACCAGGAATTTCACTATTTAACATGTATGTATTAATCCTGTGCTCCCTTACCACTGTCAGTTCTTCTGTCTCTGCCCTAGATGCATTTGCTTTTCCCTTTCCCGTTAAATTTTCTCTAATCCTAAATTCACCATTCTCCTTCCCCTCCATTCAATATTCCCTTTCGACAATCCATCAACCTCTCTCCAAGCATCTAATTTTGCCTTCCTCTCTGCAATGAATTTGTTTCTCCTTTGGCCATACAGCTCGTATCTCATCGTCATCCTTCCCTCCTTGTAATGTTCCCTTCCTCCAACCTTCCTACAGGAAGTTTTGCCCCTTTCCATGACATTTTATATATCCCATCGATCTTATTGCCCTACAATTTACCTACCTTGTGTTTCTTATATTTGAATTTATAGCTCATTTTATTTGGTCAATCCATTCCTTTCTTCTGTCCCACTGTGTAATCTTCCTTGCTCCCCACTCCATGAAATGAATATCCATTTTCTATGTGCATGTCATGTATCTTTCCCCACTTGCCATTTTTCTACTTATCTCCTATTGAATGTGATCCTTCTTACCTGCTGGCACCTGTTCCCCCATGCATGACCTCTTGAGATATCTAACTCTTGGACTTTTTATTTTTACAAAAAATTAACTCTTTCTTAATTTTAATGGGTTTCTATATATGTTATTTAGGGATTTCCGACTTCAGCGTTTGAGGTTGTTATAATATTTATTTTTGAATATTGACCTCTACCTTTTCTTAGATACATTAATCAGAAGAGATATTTCTGGTCTGGCCTTTTCAGGCACCTTGACCACAGACCTTGGCAGCCACAAATGCAGACAGAGAATGTGTGTGTTTTCTTATTCAGTACTTGTGATTTTCCATGGAACTGAAATCTGCTATGTCTTCCCCTAAAATACCAGTAAAAAGGTTTTGTTCTATTAAAAATAACATCACGCACACTTTTTTTTAGGTTATTTTGAGTAAGGTACTAAAGACAGCTCCTGTATTCTGCTGGTAGGACGAAGAGTCTCAACAAATAAACAGATATTTCCTGTTGCAAAAGATTGAGAAAAAATATAGTCTGCCATCTTTCCAAAGAACCTTTTGACTGCAGACAAATTGAGATCGGGGAAAAAAAAAAGAAAGTATGACATTTTATTGAATTAATGATTTTGTTAAAAAAAAATATGGTCCAGAAGACTGTTGAATAAATTTAACTGTACAATTTTACTATTGAACATGTTCTTGCAAACAAACATTATGTTAATAACAAAATATTAGTGCAAAAATGAATCTTTTGGCAATGGCCATCAATGCTATTTTGGTATACACAACGTCTGCAAAACTTTGTCCTATTCATGCTCAGTTCATACAATTTCTTGTTAAAAATATCACACTGTTACCCACTAAAGTGTATGGAGAATTCAGAATGAATTCCTGGGTGTGGGATTTAAATCGCCTGATGTGCAGAACATGCAGTTCAGGGCACCGGACACAAAGTTTAATTTAAAACAATTTTATCCCTGGCGCGGGCTAGTGGCTAGCAGCTTAGAGAGGATTGTTGTTGGGCAGGGATAAGGTGTGTATCTCCCACAGGTACAGGGCCATGCTGTGCATGGCAGGGACAGTCTGCACATCCACTGCTTAAACACGCAGGCAGTTGCTGGTAATTTAAATACGTATTAGGACTGTACTGTGTGTAAGTGCCAGAGAATGTGTAGTTTGTGTGTGTTTTTGCATAGGTCAGTGTATTTGTATCAGAAATAGTATTAAAATCACATACAGCCAGCACACACCACACAAGCAACATGCAGCCAGCACACACCACACAAACACATTATATACAGCCAACACACACACCGCACATTCTCACACACACATTGCATACAACCAGCACACACAACACATACAATTACATACAGCCAGCAGACACATGACAGACAACTGGCAACTACCACGAACACGACACAAAGGGAGCACACACCACACACACAACACACAGCCAGCACACACCAAACTCAGTCAGTACTCCCCACACACAAGAAACACAGTCTGCACATACCTCACAAGCACTACTCACAGCCAGCTCTCACCTCACACACAACACACAGACAGAACACACAGTGCACACATGACACACAGCGCGCACCCACCACAAATGGGTATATCAAGTCAAATGGGCAGACTGTGGGAGTGCGGAGGGTGAGACACAAATTTGTTTTGACTAAAGTGGAGTGGCAAATGTATCCAAATCAGCTTTTCTTTGCCTCCATTTTTCCATTCAGATTTAATTTGTGAAAATACAGAGTTTATCTGCCAGTGTCCATGGGTCCCAATCTTTGTAAATTAAATTGTGAAAAATTTAAATAAGGTTTGTGAGTCTAGCTGCTAGACTCTAGCACTCTAGCACATAGCCCTGTAAATGTCCAGGGCTCTTGGCCGGATCCCCTATCTTTGTAATTGAAATTATTTTGTAGATTGCCATGACAGATAGATAGATTTGATATACTGCTTAAGTCCCTTGGACAAGTATATTTAAAAAAAAAAAAAAAATCCACAACCCTGGAATTTAAAATTTTATAACAAAATAGCCAACTGGGAATATTCCACAAGTCAGTTATAGTTTCTAAAAAATCTATTTTTCACTAAAGTTTGAAATCTACTTGGAATTCCATACAACTCACTCTGTAGTGAATTATCATGTGGGATTTTTGTTGCAAGTTCAGAAGTGCTTATTTTATTTCACGTAAACATTTCATTTTTAACTTGAAAGTTTTAAAAAAAAAATCCATACTAATGAAATAAGATTACAGTTGTTTTATTTTTAAATCACAAACATATTACTGTAAATAAAACATTAATGTTAACTATGAGAAAGAATAGTCTATCAGGAAGAACGGGTGCACATTAAGTGACACTCAAGCACTATACGCTATGCTTTTTGAGTTATGCTGCAAGGAAGTATGCCCAGTGTCTCTGCACAGCTTATAACTTCAACAGACCTCCCAAGCCCAGCAGTGCACATTTTGGCAGGACAGTCCTGAGTTTAGGGCCCTGTCCCAGCTCCCGACTTTGGACACCAGGGAATCATCCACCAACTTCACCAACATAGAGAGAAACACTGCCAATTCTTAGATAGGCCCAACTAGGACTGGTATCTCTGTACTCTGTCACCTAGATGGCTAAGCACTAGCAAACTACCCACTTTGTACATAGTACCTCCTTAGAGTTAGTCTCCAATGTTTTCTCCCCTTCATTTATTACCACCTAAAGGAGAAAAAAAGGATGCTTGGGAGCCTCATGGGGAGGGTTGGCATGAGGGGTAACACAAAAATTACAGGTGTTTTCCTAATCCCAAGCTGCACACGCTAGTACCCTCATATTGTTCACCAATTGTGCAGAGTGCACCAGGATACTGACACACAGCCCACTTTAAACTACACCAACAATACATTCGTCTCTTGGACAGGGGATCTCCAATGAGGGCCGGCCTGCCTGCCTGCCTGCCTGTCTGTCTGTCTGCCTGTCTGTATGCCTGCCTGGCTGTAAGCATGTCTGTCTGTATGCCTGTCTGTCTGTATGCCTGTCTTTATGCCTGTCTGTCTGTATGCATGTTTGTATGCCTGTTTGTATGCTTGTCTGTATGTATACCTTTCTGTTTGTATGCCTGCAAGTCTTTATGCCAGTCTGTATGCATGTCTGTATGTATGTATGCATGTATGTATGTGTATGGTGTATGTATGTCAGTATGTATGTGTATGTGTGTGTGTGTGTATATATTTCAGTATGTATGTGTCTGTGTATGTATGTATGTGTCTGTGTATGTCAGTGTGTGTGTGTGTGTCTGTATGTATGTTAGCAGGGGTCAAGTCCTGGGGAAAAAAGTGTGGGAACTCACCCAAGATTCCCGCCTCCCCTTAAAAAAATAAAATAAATAAAAATTACACTCCTATGCATATAGTGCAGTGCGTGTATAATGAATGTAGTGTGTTTGTAGTGAATGCAGTGTGAATAATAATTGTAGTGTATTTGTAGTGAGTGCAGAGTGTGTATAATGAATGCAGTGTGTTTTTAGTGAGTGCAGAGTGTGTATAATGAATGCAGTGTATTTGTAGTGAGTGCAGTGTGTATAACAAATGTAGTGTATTTGTAGTGAGTGCAGTGTGTATAATAAATGTAGTGTGTTTGTAGTGAGTGCAGTGTGTATAGTGAATGTAGTGTTTTTGTAGTGAGTGCAGAGTGTGTATAATGAATGTAGTGTGTTTGTAGTAAGTGCAAATTGTGTATAATGAATTTAGTGTGTTTGTAGTGAGTGCAGTGTGTACAATGAATGCAGTGTATGTAGTGTGTTTGTAGTGAATGCAGAGTGTGTATAGTGAATGTAGTGTGTAGTGAGTGCAGAATATGTATAATGAATGCATAGGGTGTATAGTGAATGTAGTGTGTTTGTAGTGAGTGAAGAGTGTGCGCGCGCTGGATGACGTGTGTGTGAGTGCTGGATGATGTGTGTGTGTGAGTGCTGGATGATGTGTGTGTGTGTGCTGGATGACGTGCGTGTGAGTGCTGGATGACGTGCGTGTGTGTGCTGGATGATGTGCGTGTGTGTGCTGGATGATGTGCGTGTGAGTGCTGGATGATGTGTGAGTGAGTGCAGGATGATGTGTGTGTGTGCTGGATGATGTGTGTGTACTGGATGATGCGTGTGTGAGTGCTGGATGATGGGTGTGTGAGTGCTGAATGATGGGTGTGCTAGATGATGTGTGTGTGTGTGCTGGATGATGTGTGTGTGAGTGCTGGATGATGTGTGAGTGAGTGCTGGATGATGGGTGTGTGTGTGCTGGATGATGGGTGTGTGAGTGCTGGATGATGGGTGTGTGTGTGCTGGATGATGGGTGTGTGTGTGCTGGATGATGGGTGTGTGTGTGCTGGATGATGGGTGTGTGAGTGCTGGATGATGGGTGTGTGTGTGCTGGATGATGGGTGTGTGAGTGCTGGATGATGGGTGTGTGTGTGCTGGATGATGTGTGTGTGTGCTGGATGATGTGTGTGTGAGTGCTGGATGATGGGTGTGTGAGTGTGTGAGTGCTGGATGATGGGTGTGTGAGTGAGTGCTGGATGATGTGTGTGTGTGTGAGTGCTGGATGATGTGTGTGTGAGTGCTGGATGATGTGTGTGTGAGTGCGTGCTGGATGATGTGTGTGTGAGTGTGAGTGCTGGATGATGGGTGTGTGGGGGGGGAAAGCATTTTTCTTACTTTATGTATAATATTTATTTTATTCCCCCCTCCCTGCTTCTTACCTTGTCAGGGAGGGGGGAGATCGCCTGGTGGTCCGGTGGTATGCTGGAGGGAGCCAGCCGCTGCACAGAGGTGCCATCACACGCTGTGTTCCCTCTCCAGCTCTAACTCTCGCGAGACTCGCCTGTGCGGAGCGTTGCCATGGTAACAGCCGCGGGTCTCGCGAGAGTTATAGCTGGAGAAGGAACACAGCGTGTGCTGGCCCCTCTGTGCAGGTAGCAGGGCCGGTCCTGCAAGACAGGTAACGGGAACGGCGTTCCTGCTTTAGAAAAAGTGCAGGAACGCCGTTCCCATGCGTTCCTGCAGGACTCGAGCCCTGTATGTTAGTATGTGTCACTACATATGTCTGTGTGTCTGTACATTTGTGTATTTGTTTCAGTATGTGTTTATCTTTGTGTGTGTGTGTATCTGTGTCCTCTTGTATCAGTGTGTGTGTTTGGGTCTGTGTGTGTGTATTCCTGTGGGCGAGATTTGGAGGTGTGCCCTGGGGACGTGCTTGGAGGCGGGCTCTTGGGGCCCAGACCGTGAGCTGTGTTAGGGGCCCCAAAATTTCTGATGGCGGCACTGTTGACAGTGCTTCAAGTTTAGTGAATAACAATTTGTGTAAAAAGTTATTTGCATTTAACTACACATAGTGGACTCTAGCAGCTGATAAATAAATGCAACATTTGTAAGTACACACATTGTTTTGCATTTGTTGATAATATTTAGGGATTTCTAGCCATGTACATGTTTTTCAGAAGAGAAAATTTTCCACTGGCGCTGTGAAAGTTCTTCTCACTATGTCCATGCCACCTCATAGTATAATTTGTTTTCTCGTAACTGTCTGTGTTTCAGTTTGGAGCAGATCCCTAATTATCTAAAATTTCCATGCCCAGCTAAGTGCCAAATCTGAGTGTTTTGGAGTTAAACACATTCTGACAGAAATATGTTCTAGAAAATCAGTCGTATTCAATTGCATCTTGTGATAGACAAATATGCCTTACTATGAACTTGATTGGCAGATTATTATCTTTGCATAGGTATGTCTGACGTACACATGCCTGGGGGAAGTGTCTCAAATGGAAATTTGGGACAAATTTAGAATTTTTTTTTAAATTAGAGAAATCAGTAATAACATTTTAATAGGACACTAATTTGATTGCCCCACTTTTATATTATCAGCCTCTCAATGTCTTTGCCAAAAGGAAATGGGAAGTTCTGTATAAAAGGGATAGCTGAAAGGTGAATGGGACAGAAGACAAGTGCTATTCAAAAATATCTGCAGCAAAATGTGTCCCTATTTTAAGCCCAAATCTACTTATTCCTCTTTTCTGTCCTCTGTCCCTCTTTTCTAAAAGCTCCATATTGTTGGAGTGTCTGAATTTATATCAGAGCTACACAGCAATAATACGCACAGTATTGTGTCTTTAAATTACAATAAATGTGTTTAGAAATCACGCTGTGTAAATAAGATACTTTTTCATGTTATAAATTAAATTTTAGTTACATGAATTGTTATTAGTAAGTCACCTAAAATGTCTCAGAACAGCCCTGCCCCTGGCCACACTTCGACTAACACCCCTAAAATTAAAATGCCCCTTTTTTGTCTTTTTGAAATGTTGGGAGATATGCTTCAAGACTTCCTCAATGCTGGGTGGAGACTTGACATTTAATTGGTGGATCTATGGAGGATGTGGGCAGAATTAAAAACATCAGTTACCTGGAAAAGAGAGCTATGCCTCTGGGTGCCAAGCAATCATCTGCTATATAGATTATTTTCTAGATTTTGTATGGTGCCAACGTATCCACAACACTGTATAATTATACAGTGGGGATATATAACAGCACGCAATTGACAGACAATACATGTTGACACATAAAAGGGTTGAGGAGGGCCCTGATCAAAGTAAAGGAAACTTGAGGATATGCTAGCAATTGTGTGAGTGAAAATTCAGCCATTTAAAGGAACACTATAGTCACCTACATTACTTTAGCTAAACAAAGCAGTTTTAGTGTATATATCATTCCCCTGCAATTTCACTGCTCAATTCACTGTCATTTAGGAGTTAAATCACTTTGTTTCTGTTTATGCAGCCCTAGCCACACCTCCACTGGCTATGATTGACAGAGCCTGCATGAAAAAAAAATGTAATTTACCTTAAATAATTGTATCTCAATCTCTAAATTGAACTCTAATCACATACAGGAGGCTCTTGCAGGGTCTAGCAAGCTATTAACATAGCAGGGGATAAGAAAATCTTAATTAAACAGGACTTGCAATAAAGAAAGCCTAAATAGGACTCTCTTTACAGGAAGTGTTTATGGAAGGCTGTGCAAGTCACATGCAGGGAGGTGTGACTAGGGTTCATAAACAAAGGGATTTAACTCCTAAATGGCAGAGGATTGAGCAGTGAGGCTGCAGGGGCATGTTCTATACACCAAAGTTGCTTCATTAAGCTAAAGTTGTTCAGGTGACTATAGTGTCCCTTTAAGGTGGCTATGGAACCTCACTTCATGTGAAGATCCTGTAAAGATCCTTACAGCTGTTTGAAAGCAGCAGCTTATTAGTGGCTGCTTGGCTATCAATTATACAATGGAGCAGAATATTGACAATGGAAAGAGATTGTAGGTTGTAAAATCTGCCTGACAGGGTTATAGGAAACATAGACATAGAAACATAGAATGTGATGGCAGATAAGAAGCATTCGGCCCATCTAGTCTGCCCAATTTTCTAAATACTTTCATTAGTCCCTAGTCTTATCTTATGGTTAGGATAGCCTTATGCCTATGCCACACATGCTTAAACTCCTTTACTGTGTTAACCTCTACCACTTCTGCTGGAAAGCTATTCCATGCATCCACTACCCTCTCAGTAAAGTAATACTTCCTGATATTATTTTTAAACCTTTGTCCCTCTAATTTAAGACTATGTGCTCTTGTTGTGGTAGTTTTTCTTCTTTTAAATATAGTTTCCTCCTTTACTGTGTTGATTCCCTTTATGTATATAAATGTTTCTATCATATCCCCCCTGTGTCGTCTTTCCTCCAAGCTAAACATTGAGTAAGTTCCCCTCTCTACCCAATACATGTAGATGTACTGGGGCACTTGCTAAGAGTGCCAGCTGACATCCAAATGTGGATGCAGTTGACATTGCTAAAGTGGAGTGGAAGTTGGGCATGATCAGTTCAGTGAGTAAGCCTAGAAGACCTTCGATTTGTGTCAAACTTATTGCAAACGGTTTTACACAGAACCATGGGATGGCATCTGCAGTCTCCTTGTCCCATTACTATTTACAAAGCTGTTGTGGTTATGGTGCTCTTGGTGCCCCTTTATTGGACACTTACCATGGCTCTGACTAACTTTTATGTCAAATTTACATTGCAGGGGCTTTGCAGTGGCGAGTAACTTTTATGTCTCGCTAGCAGCAGAGGACTTGAAATGTATATATTATTATTGTTTATAAAGCGCCAACAAATTCTGCAGCGCTGTGGGCTCACAGACAAGTATCTGTTAAAAGACAAGTAAGATGTACAAGAACAGGGGGTGTTGAGGGCCCTGCTCAAACAAGCTTACATTCTAGAGGTAGTGGGGTAATATGGCACAAGGGTTATGGAAAGAATGTTTTTCATGTACGGGAAAAAGTAGGTTACTAGAATAGTTTACAATGAAGGGTTATTTTCATAGATGCCACAGTTGCAGGTGGATGAAGCAAGGTGGGTTACTAAGGTGCAGGGTGGTAACGCAATTAGCAGTTTAATTTAGGGGTGCCCAAAATGTAGATCCCATGATGTTTTAAAACTACAACTTCCATGATGCTTTGTCATTCTAAAATGATATAAAGATACACAAAGCATCATGGGAGTTGTAGTTCTACAACACCTGGGGATCTACCTTTTGGGCATCCCTGATTTAATTGATATGCTTTCCTAAATAAGTGAGTTAATACACGTATATATGTATGTATGTTTATACATTTTTTTTAAAATTATATATATATATATATATATATATATAGAATTCACATACACACACACACACACACAACATGTAATCAGCAAAGTGAGGCATATATTTTGTAGGTCTGTTTAAACAAGTATATCCACACTTAACCTTTGTACACAAGGATTTTCTACAGGGCTCAGTGAGTTCAACTATAGAAATCCAGACCCACGCCTTAGGTAATACAGCTGCTGTGGATGGGAATGACAGATGCCTACATATAAGCTGGATATCTGCCTTAGGGAGACTAGAATGGGCTCTTAAAGCAACAGGAACAAGAGAGGAGGCTGAGAGATATGAGATAGAAGGGTGGCTACTGGCTAGGACTAACGAAGTTGTGGTGACATTATACAATTTTTGTTTTACTGTTTGTACCTGTTTGAGTTTATATTGGAATTACCTGCAGACATGTCACATGGCCCCTGCATACATTACGAACAGTAAACTTTTACAACTAGTGCTTGCCCTGCAGAACGGATTCCCAATATATATTTTAACAAATCTCTTTCGCTACATTTTTTTTAGTAGCATTCCTTCTAAAAGCATATAAATCACTGCACCAGTGGTAGACATTTAGAGTAAGAACCCTCGATCCTTTTTATGGAAAGGGGTTGTTAAGTCAGTCTACATTTTGACAATATGATGCATTGGGGACTCAGTTTCTATCACTCCAGATTCCAGGGACAATAAACCCCATTTTGGTTGGGAAATTTAGAGGTCATACTCAGCGCTTCTGCAGCTGCAGTGACAGAGCTTCCCTATGATAATTACAGCTGAAAACATCTGTATTCTCAAAGATTCACTACAGCTTTCTTCTTTAAAATAAAGAATGAAATGAATAATATTTATCCTAATATCAAAGGACAGCAAATCTTGTTGCCATAAGACACAGACTGACCGCCACTGTTTCTTTATTTAATTCCATGTGAATTACTCTTATATATAAATATTGCTAACACTGTGTATAGATATTTCACACTAAAAAGAATTTTGTCAAGTGAGGGATTCTTCTCTCCTCGACCTCTGGAAAGGTCTTCCCAACTGTAAGAACATCTGCACTGCGAAAACAGATGGCAGGGTTTGTGTTGTGCTACTAGGACTGTATACACAAGACATACACTTATATACCCTGACTATCCCTGTTTGAAACTTGTCCATCTTGCTGCCTACCTCCCAAGAACGGGAAGTACGGATGAGGGGCAGGCGAGAGGGACCGCCATAAGGAGGTCTCTGCATATAGCCTTAGTGCCCTGAGAATACATTGTGTTGCTTGGGAATATTTTCCTGGAGTCCCGTAACTGTGGATTTGGTGGAACAGAGCTCCGAATTCAGGACAGTTACATGACCATTGAGAGGTATGGTTGAAGGCAACCATATAGTATGCACAGCCTTATATTAATGTGTGCATATAGAGAAAATTACCATTAAAACATTACTTAAAAAATTCCAATTTAAAAAAGTTGTTACAATTTTTTTGCTGTGTTGAGAAGATGTATAACGAGACATGAATGATTCTTTATTTTAGTGACCATTGAAAAATGCTTGGCATTGGATTGCATAGCAATAAAACACTACATCTACAGAAGCACCCATGTGTCATTTTGGCAGGAATTGCAGAGACTAAGCTGTATGACGCCCACAAGAAGCTCCTAAGCACTAATTTATAAGACAAATGCTTCTAATTACTGCTGAGCCACTTACGTGGGTTTATTGATAGGAATGTTATATGAACCATCCTATGCTGCTTTTAAAACTAAATTTAAACCTTTTGTTCATAATTTTTTTAATCTGTTTAGCAGGATATTTCCAACCAAGCATGGTTTTCCTGGATCATGGTGAGGACTCAGGACCTAGAAAGCTAGGGGGTTCCTCAGCAAATTACAGTTTTGTTTTCATTTCAGTACAACAAATATTCTGCAGTAAGAGAGACTATGGGACTATGACTGTGCTAACATGCAAAAACGACTATAAGATTGTGCAATATCAGCCATTTTTGCAATGCCAATTTTGAGTTGACAATATTAGATTATTATATGAACAGCCTTTTCTCCTACCCATTTACCTTTTTTTTCTGGTGCCAGGAATGGCACTCTAAAGCAAAAAACGTATTTGTTGGGCTCGCGTGAGTTGGTTCCTCTGAGATTCTAGCTCATGGTGGCTTGGAAATTGGAATTCACAATAAAATCAGACAAATTGCAGTTGTGTTCGAAATGAATCTCCAAGTCTAGCAACTATCACATTCCAAAATGTCTGCCTCTACAGTTAGAAGCTGACAAAACTCCTAATGAAAATTATAACTTGCTTTAGTTCAAATAGTCGGAAAATAAGTCATAATAATTGTTTTGGGGATATTGTCTGAAATAAACTTTGTTAAATAATGCTGTATCTCCAGCAGTTGAGATAGACATTTATGACAATAAAAACAAAAACAAAAAAAACCTTCAATTTCAATGCTTGCATTATGAATCATAAACAATTGTACCTCCCAGTACATATTGCATTTTTTATTCCCTTTTTTTATTGTAGACAGCTACTTACACACAAATATAAATCTGGTATTTAGCCTACAAAATGAGCAAGCACCTAAAAATTATTTTATGAGAGTTAAAAAAATAAATAAAAAAAGAAATCAATAGTTGAAAATATCAGCTGTGTTAAAAACCTAAACTTTACAAATGGATATATTCAAATACTGCAGAGTACTGCAGAATTTACATACACTCAAACATTTTTTGTGCCTCCTTGGTACCCTGAATTTTAAAATTTTGTTAATTGTTAATCATTCTCTGTCACAGGATACTCCAATTTGTGCAATGGTTGATTCAAAATAAGATATGTATTAACAATTTAACTTTTTAGAATAGTTTCTTGATTTCTTATGTTTTGCTTCTCTTAGGGCAGCAACAGATCACAATGTTGACAACTCTACGGCCATTTTACGAGAATGGCTAAAGAATGTCCAGAACTTATACCACTACGTTGAGTGGAGGCCTATGGCAGAACCTGAGTAAGTATTTTGATATAAATTACTAAATAATATTGTTTAACACCAGGGCCGTCTTTAATTTAGATTGGACCCTGGGCGAGCATTTACTTGGGCCCCCTGACTACGTCTAGATACACACAAATACACTACCTGACACACATGCAGATACACACTGACCACATATAGATACATACAAGAACATACAGATACACACAGACTACATATAGATACACTGACACACACATAGACACACACACAGATACAAACACTGACATACATGCAGATACAAAGGTACACACACTGACTACTTATAGATACACCGACACACACACTGATACACAGACAGACACACAGATACACAACCTGGCACACATGCAGATATACAGATACAAACACTGAAGCATACAGATACACACACAAATACAAATGGACAACATACAGATACAGAGACACATTCTGACAGACGTACTGACACAGACTCACACACAGACAACCATACTGAAACACACATACACAAAGACATACTGAACCACACAGACACTGATGGACTGTCACACACAAACACATACAGATACACTGACAGACATACTGGCACATATAATCACAGACAGACGGACATACTGAAACACACATACACACAGACATTGACAGACATATTGACAAACACAGACATACAGAACCACACTGACAGACTCACACATAGACATACTGACAGACATACACACATTCTGGCACACACACACAGACAGACTGAAACACACATAGACACAGACACTGACAGATATACACACATACAGACATTTTGAAACTCACAGACAGCCATACTGAAACACACATACATACTGAACCACACAGACACTGATGGACTCACAGACACAGACATACTGACACACTGACAGACATACTGGCACACAGACAGACATTCTGGCACACAGACAGACAGACATGCTGAAACACACATACACACATACAGACAGACAGACATGCTGAAACACACATACACACTGAACCACACAGACACTGACAGACTCTCACACACACAGACATACAGATACACTGACAGACTTGCACTCATGCAAAATTTGATAACCACCCTCCAGTTTATTACCTTTTTCTGGAGGGTGGCTTCCCTGGAGTCCCGTGGGCTGGCTGGGGTGGCTGGGAGTTAAGCTCTCCCGGCCTGGCCCCCTACGGAACAGCTGGACCGCCTTCCTCCCGGCTGTCACTTCCTCCCAGTGCTGCCGAAAAGCAAAGGCCCGGTCGCGCTGTTAAAGCACCACAGCACCCGACCGGGCCCCTGCTGACACAGGCCCACCGGGTGGCCCTAAGTGCATGGGCCACCCAATGGTCCCCCATAGTTTGCGGGCAGAGGGGAAATGGGGCAGCTGTCTTGGGCCCCCCAGCAGGGACAGGGCCCGGGGCAGCTGCCCCGTTTGCCCAGCGTTAAAGACGGCCCTGTTTAACACAAAAACTTAGTTAACGGAACACTCTGAGCACCTTAACCAGTGTAGTATGCTATGCTATTCATAAATTGTAAATAGTCAAGCAATTTTAAAACAGTTTGACTTCTTACCTGGGGTCCACTGGCACAGTTCCCCACCTCCATTACTTCCAGCCCTCTGTCTGAGCTGAGTCCGGCAGTGCAGTGCTTTGCTCATTGGCCAAGAAATATTAGCTGACGCTGTCAGTCAATAAGCTAGTCCTGCACAGCAGAGTTTAGCTTGGGAGAGCTAATGGAAACCCCTTACTAAGAAGTAGTGGAAGTTGTAGAGACGCCCAGTAGACCCAGATAAGAAGTCAAAACATTTTAAAATGGTTTTATTACTTACAATGTGAAGGGGATAGGGATTTATTTGATTATATATCGGTGTATATATATATTTTTCATTCTTTTACAGTGTAGATAATAACAGGTACGAAATGGAAGGAATTGCAGTGCAACCGAATAATCTTATAAACACAGCATGTTCTTCCTGTTTATTTATTTATTTATTTATTTTGTCTAAAACTCACTGTTGTGAGAAAACATTGTACAACAAACACTGTGAAACAATGTGACATATAATGAGATAATAATACAATACGCAGAAATGACAAAGTCAGGGAGCTGAGGGTTTTAAGAGGCTATGTCGCCAATCGCTTATAATCGCCACCTAGTGGACCTGCGGGCTATAAACTGGTGAGCAAGCAGCGCTTGTATATCACGAGGCTCGTAAGGAGGTATACACTCGCTGTCAGCGTGCTTATATGCTAGCTAGCTGGGGTGAATATATAGGGTAAGGTGATATAAGATGAGGTGAACCCTGTTTGGTTCAGGATGACCCCTATAGGACAGGTATGTCTTGTGAATAAATGCTTGGTACTGGGTGTAGGGGTTACTGCTTTCCCTGGGGTTTAACGCCTCACTGCCTTCAAAATAGGACTCATCTCTAGTAAGTCGTAGGTGGAGGTGGGGGGGATTTGGCCGTCAGGCTAACTCTATGGAGCGTAGGCACGCTGTGTGTTTCCGCCCTTTAATGGGTGTAACAAAAATTGCGGGGTGAACGGGTGAAAGAAGTGGACATATGGTGAACTATGTACAGTCCAGAATTTTTAAGTGGTTAGTGTAGGGCAGGTTGCGGGAGCCTTCAGGTGGTTACTGCTGCATAGGCATCTGCTTCAGCCCGCTGTGGTACGAACGGGGTGATGTTCCTTTGATCCCATCTGTGGGTTGCGGCCAGGGCTTTCTTTTGTTGCAGAGATTCTTGCGGGAGGTCGAGAATCCCCAGAAGGGCGCATGCTATGGTCTTATGCTGTACTGTGTAGGTTGCGCCTCCATGTGTGATTAGGAGAGAACAGGGTTGTATGGAATCGTGCGTTCTCAGAGTAGGGAGGTGAATGGTTGCAGTGATCTTCTCCAGGATATTGTACTGCCAGAGATGTCTCTGAGGACGTTTTCAGGGTGCTCAGTCTGCCGACAAGACCAGAGAGGTCTGTATATTCTTTTGCAGGTTGGAGAGCAGGTCTTTTAGTGCCTCCATCGTGACAGGCTGGGAGTCAGGGTTCCATGGGGTCACAGGGATTGGGGCCCGTGTAGGTAAGTTTACAGCCACCTCGTCGAGCGGGTCTTCCCCTGAGGATTCTGAGAAGTCCCCCATGTAGTCCACCATCCTGGGTCCCGCCGCTCCCTGTATTTGGCGCAGCATGTCGCCGATGTTCATGTCCAGTCAGGCTTCTGCTATTTTGTTTTACTGCCCATATTTACCTGATCGGCACCGGCACCGGTACTCGCCCAGGTCTGTAAATCGTTTTTTTTTTTTGCTGTTTTACGTGGTTCAGGACCAGAGCACATGTAGCGTGTGTCCCTCCACTTCAAACGCTAGGCTCTGCCCCTCCTCATTCTCCCTGTTTTTATGCATAGTTATCATATAATTATTATTAAAATGGTCTATTTTGATGCAGCAGACACACTGGTATGTACTTATGTTGATCATCATTTGTGAAGAAGTACGGAATGTAATTTTCTTTCAACCGCTCCACTTTTTTCAGTGAAACACTTTTTGTCAATGTTAATTCTAGTTCCAAAGTGTATTAGACTAATTCCTAAGTTAAATTCCTTCATTTTGCTAGGTCTTACTCTGATGAATACGGACCAAAGCACTGGCCAGCTTCAAGATTTTCACATGTGATGAAACTGCGCCAGGCCGCTCTACGTACTGCGAGGGAAAAGTGGTCGGATTACATCTTGGTAAGGGCTAGCAGTGCGTAAAAGAATGAACAAGACTGAATGTAAAACACTCTGGTATATCCAATTTCATTGTGGCCTGTGAAAGAATATATTATGGGGTTACCCTGAATATAGTTGTAGTATTTATTTTCTCATTTGCAGGAGGACTGAGCCATAAAATATTTTTTATTGCTGGAACATACATTCAGTCCTGGCATTGTGTAGCCACTGTGTTCCAGCATTCCCTAGGTGATTCACAATTTAAGACTGCCTGTTTAGCTACAGTGGAGGGTATGGAGAGCAGATGATCCCTTGTAAAACTTGTGTAAAGATCTAGTGGTCAAAGAGGGACACTTTCATTTTTAGGGGTTGTGACCTAATACAGGCATGCAATGACACAGCTAATGACATTTAATTAAGGCCAAATCACTGAAAATTTCCAAAATACGGAAGGTTATACTTTTTTTGTATGAGGTTCCAGACTGAGGGGGAGAGCTTCAAGGGACTCCTCTGACTGAAAACAGTTTAATGACAATTCTTCATAGTAGTCCTTTTTAAGGTGTTAAAAAATAATTTCTACTGTGATTAATGAAATATTTTTGAAAATTAACTTTTAACCAGAGATGTATTTACACATTAAAACCAATATGCAATTTGAATGCAGTTTTGAGTAATAGTATGATAAATTGGGCTGCTATTTTGTTTATTTGAAGTATATAGATGCAGACAACTTCTTGACCAACCCTCAAACATTAAATCTTCTTATTAACGAAAACAAGACAATTGTGGCTCCGATGCTGGAATCTCGGACACTGTACTCAAACTTCTGGTGCGGAATAACCCCTCAGGCAAGTGATAAAAATCTGCATGGTTTGTATTCTTCTGTATTGCTTTTTAGTGCAAATCTAAATACCCAAACATTTACATACTATTTTGTAAAGAATTTAGTAAAACTTGATAATAACCCTAAAATGTATTTATTATTATTATTTATTTATTAAAGTAGCAATGCACACAATTACATTTAAATAATCATTGACGGTAATAAAAATAAATGTTTTAGGTTTTAGACAAGGAAAAAAAATCAATTTTCTAGCTATTTTACCAGTTTAGATATTATGTGCTGAGATTTGTCAGTTTCCTTATCAGCTCTTTGTTTAGTGAATAAGCCTCATAGGCCTCAAGTTGATATTAATGGATAAGCTTTCCAAACAATTTAATATTTTATAATACACTTTTAAAATAATTTTTTCAGTCTATTGAAAGACCAAAAAAATTATATCATATATACATTTTTTTTAAAATATTACAAAATTAAAATATTTTTTATAACATTAAAGGAGCACTATAGTGCCAGGAAAACAAATTTGTTTTCTTGCCACTATAGGGTTATTAGGTCCCTGTCCCCCCCCCTCCATCAGGGCCCCACTCCTGCTGGGCTGAAGGGGTTGGAACCCCTTCAGCCACTTACCTTAATCCAGCGCCAGGCTCCCTCTGCACTGGTGACTTCTCCTCCTCCTGCCGACGTCAGCTCCGAATGCACATGCACGACAAGAGCCACACGCGCATTCAAACCGCCCATAGGAAAGCATTACTCAGTGCTTTCCTATGGTTGTCCAGCTTCCTCTAAGTGGGATTTTCACACTGAGAATCGCGGAAACGGCCATTGGTTGCTGTCAGGGAGACAGCCGCTAGAGGCTGGATTAACCCTCAGTGCAACATAGCAGTTTTTCTGAAACTGCTATTTTTACAGCTGCAGCGTGATAACTAGGGGGAACTGGCACCCAGACCACTTAATTGAGCTGAAGTGGTCTGGGTGCCTATAGTGGTACTTTAAATCATTTTAAAAGTGTATCCAAAAAATATTTAATAATTTATCCAACAATATTTAATTGAGGCCATAGTATCATATAGGGATATGGTAACTATGCATAAAAATCTTCTTAAAATTCAATGTCCATATGTGATGGAAGTTTGTAGCTTGACAATGACCTCTTAGCAGGTCGAAACGTTGCTGCTCTTTTCTGTTCTATTAATACTGCCTGCGGCTTGGACACCTTGATTTTCTTTTTTACCTTATCGCTGTGGGATTGCTGATCTTGCTCCGGAGCACCAGGTGGCTGCTGGGATTGAGTGCAGCTCCTATTTTCATTGTTGAATCAGTTTGGCCATTATGACGTATTATAGATCTTTAAAGTAATACGTTATTTATTTACTCCAAGAAATATACACTTTAAATGCATATAAACTATCTCCAGTTAGCATCCCACAGAGAGCCCTTCAGTTAGACATCCATACTGTTTTTAAACTGGTCCCATTTCTCCTCGTAAAATTTTGGCCTCTTGTTTTTTGGCTCAGTTTGAGGTGTATGTTTTATCAGGGCTCAGAATTTCCACGTGGCACTAGCCATTGGGAAGGGAAAATTTAGATCTAGCTAGTGGAAATTCACCTCTAGTGGATAGGCTATTACTTGCAATGACGAGCAACTTTTAAGGTCTGGCTAGTAGCATAAGAATTCAGATTTTGAGCGCAGTTTTATATATTGTATACAAAATTAATAAAACATTTTGCTCTCTCCAGGGTTACTATAAAAGAACACCCGACTATGTGTTGCTAAGAGAGTGGAAGAGGATGGGTTGTTTTCCTGTGCCAATGATTCATTCAACATTCCTTATTGATCTCCAGAAGGAGGCTTCGGGAAATCTACAATTTTATCCACCGCACGAAGATTACACGTGGGCATTTGATGACATCATCGTTTTTGCATTCTCAAGCAGGCAAGCAGGTTTGTTTAGAGCTGGATTACTGGAACTGTGTGCTGCGCAATGAATCTTCATAGATCTTCATATCTTGTACATAATTCCATGGGGTTTATTTATCAAGATGTTAAGTTATAAAATGTTGTCTAAAGTACTAAAAGTGAGTCACTCACCATGGAAACTCATGGGACCAGTAGGAATATTCCATTGGTGACTCTTCCTATGTTACATTTTTGCACCACTTTTTAGAAAAGAAAATTTATTTTTTTAACGTTGACATTTTTAATTAAGGTTGTTTGAAATTACAGAAAAAAGGGGGTTGGTTAGGGTGCAGGTATAAATTTCAACTTGTTCTCAGCTTTCGATAACATATGGATAGTTTTTAACATTCAGGTGATCCTGTCTAATAGGAGTAGATAGAACAGAACATTTTGATAAATAGCCTTACTTGTCTCAACTATTTGTATAAATAAAGGCTTCCATTTATTGACTGTTGACCTAAATTTAAAAATGTCTGACCAGTTAGTAGTGATGTCCCGAACGGTTCGCCACGGACGGCGAACATATGCGCTGTTCGGTCCGCCCCCTATGTCATCATTGAGTAAACTTTGACCCTGTACCTCACAGTCAGCAGACACATTCCAGCCAATCAGCAGCAGACTCTCCCTCCCAGATCCTCCCACCTCCTGGACAGCTCACTAAGAATGCAGCTTCACAATGAATGTAAAATGGATGCTGTCCAGGAGGTGGAAGGGTCTGGGAGGGAGGGTCTGCTGCTGATTGGCTGGAATGTGTCTGCTGACTGTGTGGTACAGGCTCAAAGTTTACTCAATGATGACATAGGGGGCGGACCGAACAGCGCATATGTTCGCCATCTATGGCGAACCGTTCGGCGAACCATTCGGCGAACTTAGTGAATAACCTGAATGTTTGAGGACTGTGCTTCTACTCATGTGCCATCTACAAAACATGTCATGGTATGTACTAAACTTTGAATTTGATCAAATACGGGCAAATATAGCCATGATACGGGTATAGTGAGATCGAGAACTTATCCATATGAGCTGTTTTTGCCTACAATTTACAATTTGGAGTTTGGTTAATAAACTTGTGTAAATTAAATCAGATCATTGCAAGAAGGTGTGTGACAAGCATGTATTGATGTCTTGTGCATTTATAATATAATAATTCACATGGATGTTTCTTATTTAGAAGGTCTGTATGCCGAGAAATAGTTTCTTCATATATTATATTTTGGAGACTGAATGGGAATATCTACCAGGGCCATAACTGTAGCCGATTCCCAGAGTGTAGTTTTGGTTTTAATTGCCAAGATCTCCAAAAGTTCTGAAGAAAGATATTTGAACATGAAGGAGAAATAGAGGCAATTAGTTCCACAGGGATTAAAAATCCAAGTTCCAAATTACTAGCCAGGCCTTAAAAGTTACCCACCACTGCAAGCCTGGCGAGTCCATAGCATACTCGCCAGAGTAAACATCTACTGGCCAGCGCTAAATTTTAATTTGCCAGTGCCAAAAGAATGACTGTGTACTAAATAGGTATACTTTGCATGTATAACGAAGTAACCAGTCTGACTGGAGTCAGTAGAGAGACACTGTGCTGTTTAATCAGTGCTCGGTTACATTTCTAGAACTGTACACTCAAGCTGGATTATTATAACTCCAGTCCCCATCTCAGTGTTATTAAATAAGAAGCCATTCCTATGTTTCAGATGGTTATTTTATGTCACAAAGGGTGTGCTGTGCATTATGGGACTGTTTCATGCCAAAATGTGAAAATTAAAAAAAAAAGAAAAAGCTGTCCCAATCTATTATTATCATCATCATCATCATCATCATAACACTCAGAGCATAAATGTTACCATTTTCCTTAAGTGTACTGCATGTATATATATATATATATATATATAATTGAAATAATGAAAGAGGTGCACTCACGGGTTTTTGAAAGAAAAAATCTTAACTCCTTTTATTGCATATAAGCAAAAAAATGGACTCACAGTCCCAATCGACGCGGTTAGCACCAGGGTAAGAAATTGTTTATTATCTTTAGCACAGAAAGGTGAGTGCCAAGTCTTTTGTACATCTCCTCCATTGCAGCGATGCAGTGGCCATAGCTTTTTATCTTAAAAGAGAGGAAGGTTTTATTCTCTCATCAATCCTTTGTCAGTGTCTCTCCTCTAAGCAGGACATATCAGGCTGCTGTCAGTGTTCCATATAGTTAGACAGGCTGACTGCTGTCTGTAGAATACTCAGGGAACACAGCAGCTCACACTGGAAGGAGGGGAATTATCTAGCTACAAAACACACAAGGGGGATATATTTAAAAAGTGGTGAATAAAGTGCTGGTAAGATGTCAAAGAGGAGAAGTCACCAGTGGAATGTGCCTGCTGGTTCACTGGTTTCCATAGTGATTGCCCCACTTTTAGTACCTTAGGGCACCCAGAATGAAACACGTTTGGTACATAACCCCAATATCTTTTAAAGTAAAACAATGATTATACCCTACAATACATCTTTCATGGCATTTACCCTTTAAGCTTCCAGGAAGGTAGACGAGACAACCAATATATATATCTTGCAGTCTGACACACAAGTATTGAGTACATGAGATTTGAAGCTCTCGGTTTTTATTCCAGCACTGTGAAGGGCCAGCTTCTTCTAACAGATGGCTGAGAGAATCAGATTAAGGGGATTAACTCTGTCTCCAGGTTGGAGAAACACAAGTTCCAAACACAACTTTAGAAAGGTGGTTATTACTTGCCAGAAAACTATTTAGAAGCCAAACTGCAAGCTGGTATATGATGTTTTTAATCACAGTAAAAATTTGTTAAAGGGGAAAATGTAACTCCTGTCCTAGCACATTCAGAGCACATGATACAACCATCCACTATGTTGTTTTTTTATGTATGTCTGGGGTACCCATCAGTGCTGTGTTAATTGGTGTGAAATTCTCTTAAAATATACTTGAATGCTGTTATTGTTACAGGAAATGGGAGAGATCAGAAACGGATGTCTAAATGATACAGTGGCTTGTTTCATACAAAAGTGCTTTTCATCTCTCTTGTAGGAATTCAAATGTATATCTGCAACAGAGAGCACTATGGATATCTCATTGTACCTCTAAAACCACATCAAAGCTTGCAGGAGGACATAGAGAGTTTCATTCATATCCAGACTGAAGCAATGAGTAAGTAATGGTGTAACTTGTAGCCTCCTGACACTGCAGCACTGTCAGCCACTCAATCTAGTTGCCATAGAGAACTAGAAAAGTCAGAGCCTATGGCAGAAGGTACAGCCCAAGGAATCTGGAGCAAATCCAAGAGTGATACCTTCGTGCAGAAATGTTTGGGTTTGTATGTCTACATGGTCTCATGGTTCTAATGATGATATAACATTTACCCTTATTAGAGCACCCAAGGATTACAACATGCATAGCAGTAGAGATCTGTTCTGAAAAAGGTACAGATCCATTTTCTCTTGAGACTGAATATATTGCCATGTAGTTGAATATAACATATAGATATACTGCCTTGGAATGAATATGGAACAGACTTTTGCTCCGTCTCAGTTTAGGTACATATATATATTACCTTGCAGCTGAATAATGCAAAGACCAACACTTCCTTATGACTCAATAAATTGCAGATCGGTACTCTCTCATAACTGAATAAGGAACTACAGGTCTGTATTCCCTCGTGAATGAGGCATAGGTCTGTACTCCATTGTGAATGAATGAGGCACAGGTCTGTACATCCTCGTGAATGAATGAGGCACAGGTCTGTACTCCCTCGTGAATGAATGAGGCACAGGTCTGTACATTCTCGTGAATGAATGAGGCATAGGTCTGTACTCCATTGGGAATGAATGAGGCACAGGTCTGTACTCCATCGTGAATGAATGAGGCACAGGTCTGTACTCCCTCGTGGATGAATGAGGCACAGGCCTGTACTCCCTCATGAATGAATGAGGCATAGGTCTGTACTTCATTGGGAATGAATGAGGCACAGGTCTGTGCTCCCTCGTGGATGAATGAGGCACAGGTCTGTACACCCTCATGAATGAATGAGGCACAGGCCTGTACTCCCTCATGAATGAATGAGGCATAGGTCTGTACTTCATTGGGAATGAATGAGGCACAGGTCTGTGCTCCCTCGTGGATGAATGAGGCACAGGTCTGTACACCCTCATGAATGAATGAGGCACAGGTCTGTACTCCCTCAGGCATAGGTCTGTACTCCATTGTGAATGAATGAGGCACAGGTCTGTGCTCCCTCGTGGATGAATGAGGCACAGGTCTGTACACCCTCGTGAATGAATGAGGCACAGGTCTGTACTCCCTCATGAATGAATGAGGCATAGGTCTGTACTCCATTGTGAATGAATGAGGCACAGGTCTGTGCTCCCTCGTGGATGAATGAGGCACAGGTCTGTACACCCTCGTGAATGAATGAGGCACAGGTCTGTACTCCCTCGTGAATGAATGAGGCACAGGTCTGTACTCCCTCGTGAATGAGGCACAGGTCTGTACTCCCTCGTGAATGAATGAGGCACAGGTCTGTACTCCCTCGTGAATGAATGAGGCACAGGTCTGTATGAATGAGGCACAGGTCTGTACTCCCTCGTGGATGAATGAGGCACAGGCCTGTACTCCCTCATGAATGAATGAGGCATAGGTCTGTACTTCATTGGGAATGAATGAGGCACAGGTCTGTGCTCCCTCGTGGATGAATGAGGCACAGGTCTGTACACCCTCATGAATGAATGAGGCACAGGCCTGTACTCCCTCATGAATGAATGAGGCATAGGTCTGTACTTCATTGGGAATGAATGAGGCACAGGTCTGTGCTCCCTCGTGGATGAATGAGGCACAGGTCTGTACACCCTCATGAATGAATGAGGCACAGGTCTGTACTCCCTCGTGAATGAATGAGGCACAGGCCTGTACTCCCTCGTGAATTAATGAGGCATAGGTCTGTACTCCATTGTGAATGAATGAGGCACAGGTCTGTGCTCCCTCGTGGATGAATGAGGCACAGGTCTGTACACCCTCGTGAATGAATGAGGCACAGGTCTGTACTCCCTCGTGAATGAATGAGGCACAGGTCTGTACTCCCTCGTGAATGAGGCACAGGTCTGTACTCCCTCGTGAATGAATGAGGCACAGGTCTGTACTCCCTCATGAATGAATGAGGCATAGGTCTGTACTCCATTGTGAATGAATGAGGCACAGGTCTGTGCTCCCTCGTGGATGAATGAGGCACAGGTCTGTACACCCTCGTGAATGAATGAGGCACAGGTCTGTACTCCCTCGTGAATGAATGAGGCACAGGTCTGTACTCCCTCGTGAATGAGGCACAGGTCTGTACTCCCTCGTGAATGAATGAGGCACAGGTCTGTACTCCCTCGTGAATGAATGAGGCACGGGTCTGTACCTTGTGTCTGAATAAGAAGCTGAACTGTAGGTTCTCACACAGTTGAATAAGGGCTATGCGATATTATGGTATACATTATAAATTCATTTGCAGGACAATCAGGCATACAATGTAATTGAAAAACTAAAAACCAATTCATTTAAAAAAAGAAAAAACAAGCACGATCCCTACCTAACTTTCATTAAGCTGTATGGGTTGCAGAGAAGATTTATTCACTTAACTGGGAATTGTGGAGAATTGAATACAGAATTGATCATTTTAGGTTGAAATGGTTATATACTGGAGAAATTATACAAGTTTACAAGCTGTTATTCCTGCTCATCTATATTTGCCAGTAACGTGCAATTTCTTTGTTGCTTCTGCACGATTCCTCCTTTACTGAATAAATCCGTCAGCCTTGCAAAATCATCAAACAAATATCAATGTGTCCTTAGCTCCTTCCTGTAAACACGACACACCTTTTGTAACATCGTCAATGCAAACCTCTTTATGGCACAGCTAAGAAGGGCCTGCCACAACTTGACAGCCTGAGCAGGTTTGTAGCAATCTAATATTTATGTTTCTGTTTGATGGTGTTTACATGGCAGGATTGGCTTTGCTGTGTTCTTTTTAATATTTAATTAAATCAGATAAGACTTCTGAGTTTGACATGTTAGGGTTTATTCACCAAACCAGCAATTAAAGTGGCATCGGAGTAAGAAATAAAGAATATCTTACTACTTAGGGAGCAAGCATCAAACAATGTGGTGTTCTACATGCAAAATGAAATATTATCACTAGGGAGTCTATTAGTAGAATAGGATGTTTCTGTAAGTTTTTGTAATTGTCTCATTTATCGTTAAATCTCCCGCTTTGATAATATTGTAAAGCGATACGGAATATGCTGGCGCTATATAAATACCAGTAATAATAATAATAATAACAGCCTTATTTTACACATGTTTTGTTTTCTTTCTTATACACATTATCTTGAAAGCTATACCAGTTTTTTTTACAACCAAAATAGCCAGGATTATTTTAAACCAAAATAGCCAGATTTATTTTTATCCAAAATAGCGAGATTTATTTTAAACCAAAATAGCCAGATTTGAAAGATGTTGGTCTAAAATGTGCAATACTCTTGTCAGTTCTTCGCAGTGAACTTTAGTGAATAGACCATTGGATGTTGACTGCAACAGTATCACAGACATGGTTATTAATTAAATTGAGAATTTTTAGCAAATATGGTTAGCAAAACTGAAGCTACATTACTCAGACGGTGACTGTAGTGGAGGTTTAGAATTTTTCTAAATCAGCTATTGTTGCTCTAAATGTTGCCATTCAATTTAACCTGGAATGGCAGAAGCAACAAAGGGGTTAATAGCTCATGTCCAGCAATTTCCATACAGAGTACAATTAGTAGGTTATCTGGAGGCTGGATGCTCCCAGGGGCAGTAAATTAATCTTGAGCTCAAGGACAGATTTAATGAAAGGAGAGCTGTAATCTGAAGCTTGCGCAGACACAGGACGCCACCTGCTGTCTGCGAGATCTCCAGCCTGCTTCGAATCTTCGAGGGTTGCAGGATATTGTGTGGAGGAAGGAACAGCCTAGCAGGATTATTCGTTAAAGCAGGAAATATGGTCTCTTTTGACTCCTAGCATGATGCATCATGTCTGAATTAGTTTTTTAACGAATAAACCCACACGTGTTGGTAATAACATAAACATACACAATTAATGTGAGTACAAAATTATTTCTAATACTTTGGAGACTTGACCCAGGTTTGATTGGGTCCATCCTGAATTCATGGTTCCTATTACGGATTACTTCCAGGTGTCCCGTATCTAGGAGCACTACAGAAATGGTACCTATCAGCAAAGTTCCTGTGAATAATGTGAATCGATACGCTCACAGTGAGCAAAGAAAAATCAGGGCTCTGAGACCACAGGTAGAATTCCCTTAGAAGTGCTCTATTCATGGTCTTTACTCAGTGGGGCTGGCCATAGAGGTTATTAGTAAGCCTGCAGTGCATGCACATCAGGCCGGTACACCACCTTTTTTGATGGGGTTTACCCCTTTTGTGGGCATACTGACCCATAGTTTCCATCCTCATATTAACTGCCCACCTGCCCGACCTGCGTCTATACCTCCCGTCGTTGAGAAGTATAAAACTTAGAAACATTTCACAATCAGCTTGTTTAAGTATTACATTTGTAATTCTCTAGCCAGATCACTATATTTCAGTTCAATACAACCCTCCTGTGATCTGTTAGAGTTGATTGCATACACTGAAGTGCTTCCTTTACAGTTAAATTAGTACAAGTCATCTGCTTATTGCTTGGCAACTGTGAAACCATTCTAGAATTGAACAGTAACTGGATATGTCCTTGTTGCATAAGGGTATTGTGTAATGCAACTATTTATGCAGAAAGCTATTATAGTATAACAGCAATCAAACAGATATTATACTCCTGGGACCAAGAACAAAATGCGGCACCCACTCCACGAACACATCAAGCCTCATTGGACATACCATCATTCCTCACACACAGCTAATTTACCAATCACATCTAAACATAATTATCCACATCCGCGTATAACAAGCTACTCACAGACACATCTACTTAGCAACACACATAGAGATGTGGACATACAGGCTCATCTAGGTATTGATGCACACCATCTTCACATGAAGCCAAACAGGCCAGCCCAACTCAGGGCCCCTAAACGCACATACTTTTTGTATAGGCAGTAAACTATTATATCTGTTTTGTGCTTTTCTCACATGTTAGCATTCCAGATTATTTTTTCAGCCATACAATGTTAGTTTAAGATTAGAATCGGTATGGGGATCTTATGAGAGCTACCAACAAAACTACACTGTTCATGTGGAGCAGGCAATATTTTAGGGGTCCATAAGTGCTGCTTTCCACATAGACTTTTCATAGGCAGCATGCAGGCTTCAAACCCTTTAGAAGCTTTATGCTTTACGATGTACCTGCAAGACAAAAATAAGCAGGCTTAGGTATGAAACGTTGAACAAATGATTATAAACTGAGCAGATGCATGCCTGCTAACTGGGAAATTCTATGGGGGGAAATAAAACTTTTGGACCCTATAATACAGTCCTACTTTTTGTCCATGGACAAACGAATGGTGCAGAAGTTTTGGTAGCATCGATATAAATACACATGACAATTTTTGTCTTAAAATATGACTTAAGAATGATATCTGGCACTAGAGGCATTTCCCACTATAACCTACATGGTATTAAGGTATGTGCGGTAGAGGGGTAGGACATCATGGATGGAACATTCTGCTGAATAACATGCCCAGAGTTCTATATGTTTTTTTTCTTACTTTATATTTGCTATTATTGTCTTAACCTTCCATCCAGTGGGTTTGGTGTGTGCAATTTTGATTGTGTTTTTTTCTTGTTATGAGACCACAATGCTTATGTGACAATGTTATTGGGGTATATATTGAAATAATACTCCCATTTAATAATTTTTAGTTGACCGGCCTCCTTTGGATCCATCTCCATATGTCCATGTGCCTCCCAAACATCCGGATAAGATGGGGTTTGACGAGGTAGGTTTCCCATTTTTTGATTTACAGTTTTACATTTTTTACATTCTTTATAAAGACATATATACATATTTTAAAAGTGACGTAAAAATTAAAGGAAAAGCAAAAAATTGTTCCGGGTTGCTAAGTATCAGTTCTGGCGTATGACACCAGCATGCACCCCTTCACGCCACCCCTGTTCTCCCCCTTAGTTTTCCCTCCCTGACTTCCCTTTCCCTCCCACTGCGATGAGGGAAACTGATGTCTGCTCAACTTTAGGGAGATTTAAAGGAACAATATAGGATCAGAAACACATGTATTCCTGACCCTATAGTGTTTAAGCCCCCCTGGTTCCACTTGCCCTCCAAAATATAGCAAATCTTCCTTTTACTCCAGTCTGCTGGCTCTGCTCCTGATCTACCTGCTTGGCTGACATCATCAGATGTGGTGGTCTGACCCAAGGAGGAAGATTGGAGCAGAGCCAGCGCAAGCCAAACCCAGCCCTGGCCAATCAGCATCTTCTCATAGCGATACATTGAATCAATGCATCTCTATGAGGAAAGTTCAGTGTCTTCTCCATGCAGAGGGTAGAGACACAGAATATCAGTCACAGTGTGCAGCATTGCCTCCAGAAGCACCTCTAATAGCCATCTGAGGAGTTGCTAGTGGAGGTATCCCTTGGCTGTAATGTAAACAATGCATTTTCTCTGAAAAGACAGTGTTTACTGCAAAAAACCTGAACAATAAACTGTAGTTGTTCTGGTGATTATAGTGTCCCTTTAAGTAAGTATAGGGGGCGGATCATCACAGAAAGAGTTACTCCAAGCACAAGGGTTCGCGTAACCCTTTAACCCATTGCTGGGGAGTTATAGAAAGAAATATCTTTGAGAGGACATGCCGATTTTCAGAATTTCTATACATTATACAGATGGAGTAATTACATTTTAATTTTAAAGTAAACTAGCCAACATGGAAACATAGCTGATATTTTTCCAGTTATGTAGTGTTTATTTGAAATTTGCTGTTTCCTTATCTGTACATAGTTTCCAGTTTAGAGAATAAACCCCTGTATGTTAATGGCTCCCATTTGTCTTCACATCAAACTACAGAATGTTAGCATCTATTAGAAACCTAAAAATAAATAGATTACAAAGTCAAAATGACCTTTAGCATGACAATAAGCATAGAAAAGTATATGGGAGACATTTAGTAAATCAAATTTAATTTAAAAAAATAATTAAATAATAAAAAAGTTAATTGTTATGAAAACATTGTTATGAGAGACTCGGCCTATATTTCTTACTTGTATGTATCCTACAAAAAATCAAAATAGCAAATATAATTCAAACAAACTATGAAATCAGGATGGGCAGGAGTAGGGAAGTGTTAGTGGTAAACAACTGTAGAACTGGTGATGAGTACAAGCTTAAAGGCATCATTACTTCTACAGCCCACTGCAGTGTTTATGATGCCAGGAGTATCTGGTCCTGGTACTCTGGCCTGGTTCCCTGGTAAAGAGCATACCATTTAAATGGTATGTCCTGTTACCTGGATCCCTGACAGGCGCTAAGGCTCCTATCCTAACGGGAGCTTTGTAGCTCTACAGATCCAGTCGCAATTCATTGGCTGAGGGCATCAGCTAACCGCTCTCAGCTAATAACATTAGCCAGACCGGAACTCTTGTTCCAGGCTAGCTAATGACATGCCAAAGACACTGTCGGACGTGGAGTTACACTTCCGGCAGAAAACTGAAACGCTGCACATACAGACTCTACGCACCATGACCACTTCAAATCACAGCTAATATATATGCTTGTATATATGTCCACACCCTGAGGTTGAAAGACTCTCCCAATAATTTACATGATGTAACCTTAATAGCCCTTGAGAAAACAATGCATTGTAAGGTAGATGTTGGTGATTAAAAAACAAGGATAGGGGAACATCAAAATAAAATAAGAAATTAACATTAAAAACATGTAGTTCATTTACATTATAACATGTTCAAGCACACAGGAGAACAGGAATCTAGATAAAAGGGAGACCTTTTCAATTAATACATTTGAGGACCAATAAGGTCACCCAGGTCACTTCATCTAAATGTTTTAAAGACATTTCTAAACCAACTCAAGAGCAGTGAGCCGACATCTGAATAAAATTTGTAAACCAGAACCAGAGTAATTTTTTTAGTGCCAATGTTGATATTGTGTGTCAGCACTGACTGGTTTCCTATACCAGAATCAGTATTGGCCAGCCCTGTTTATATTCTATGTGCCAAGGCCAAGCCAGCCCAGACTAGAGTAGTCACAAGTTGTAACCTGCCAAAACAAAAAGCCAATATTCAGGCAGGCTTTATACAGCCAGGATAACTCTTTTGTAAAATGCATCATTGCATTATCAGCACTATTTTGTATTATGCAGCATTGCATTATCAGCACTCTTTTGTATTATCAGCACTCTTCTGTATTATGCATCATTGCATTATCAGCACTCTTTTGTAAAATGCATCAATGCACTATCAACACTCTTTTGTAACATATATACAAGCACCATGTAACATATATAAAAGCATCCTTTAAAGTGGTTGTGTCATGCATGCCAACTTGACGTCACAACAAGGCAGCCAACTGCGGATGTCCATAAGCAGAGCGTTGATGTGGCTCTGTGAAATGCCCTTGAAGTGCAAAAACAGCCCTTGGCTGGCAAAGCCTCTTGGGAATTGTACTTCTAGAACAGTTAGGGGTATACCTTGTGGCCATTCCTAATTTGCTGGATACTAATCTGTGGCAGGCAAGAACTGCTGATTTTGTAAAATTCTTCAGTCGCCTTCCTATTGAAGTTAATCATTTTAATACCACGGCACATTGTTCAATGAACTGCAGCTAATTTACTATATTTGTTAAGGTGCCTTGTAGTTTAAAATAGCTTTGGACATTGTACATTAACTGTTTGAGGCTTTTTTTTTCTGTTGAAGGGTTAAATACAAGTTTAAAAAATTCCAGGTTCCAGGAATGTCTTTGTACAAATTGAGCTATTGCTGTTTACAGTCTCTCTTTAATTATCCCCAGGTGTTGGAGGGGGTAGGAGAATAGCTGTCAATAACTAGTTAAAACCTACAGCCAGGTCTTTGTGCTTGTCATTCATCAGACGGTTAACATTTGTTGTAGCTTCCACATGACCTATAATAAAAAACAGACAACTAATCACACATTATTTCTGACCTGTCATCTTCCCAATTCATCAATGTACAGCATACTTTGTAGAGAAACTCTGTGAGACACATAATTGTGTGTTCAGTGTAGCAGTTATTGTGCCAAGAGTTTATTGGAAGCAGTTTGAGTATCTTGGAGAACACTAGTTATTGCCATTGACTGACCACAATTCATTCATGATGATAAGGCTGGATTTACATTTCTGCAACATCAGTATCAGTTCTGTACAACCTGGACAGTAAGGATAGCTAACTTACCCCAACACTCTCAGTCACTGCAGTTCACTTTGGATGAAATTCATACTGAGATGTAGTTGTTAAGTTGTGTAGAGTGCCCCTTTAAATAACCAAGCCTTGGACATGAGAGTCAGTTTATTACTATATATTATATATTATATACTATAAACAATTATATCACATTCTGTAGAGTCATATGTCTTGAGAAGTAAGGCTTTTAAATTACCAGGTTTTGGCTTTATATTCGTGACAGTGAGTACGTGAAATATTGTGCTTGTGATGTGAAATCAATAAATTATTCACTGTCAGATTTCCACATTGGATTCTATGATTAAGTAGATTTCACTCTGAGAGTATATTAATTCTGCCTACACCCACACAGCACCTACAAGCCCTGTGTGACAAAATGCATAATTAATTATAAAATGGCAACCAAAGATAAGAGTGTAGTTCAAAACAGGGAATTTGCTAATTACAGTATGTATTATATGTATTTTGCTAATCAAGCCAGCATAGGTTAATTTGTTCGTAACAATTAAAGGGACACTATAGGCACCCGGACCACTTCATCCTATTGAAAATGTTTGGATGCAGTGTCCCGGTCCTCACTTAGTCCTGCAATGTAAATCATTGCAGTTTTAGAGAGACTGTAATGATTACATTGCACGACTAAGACTGTCTTTAGTGGCTGTCAATCAGACAGCCACTAGAACCTCTTCCAGGTTTCCAAGGAACTCTGGATGTCCTTACTCTCTGCATGAGAACATCCAGCGTCAGTGAAAACCCCAAAGGAAAGCATTGAGGCAATGCTTTCAAATGGGGAGGACCTGATTCACTTGTGGCGATAAACAGCATATCTGTTAGCCAGTCCCCTCCCCACTGGTTGAGGCGAAGCACAGACCCAGCACCAAGTGAGATCAGTGCTGGAATCAGGTGAGTTTTTGTATTTTCTTTGATTATTCCACCCCTTGCACTGCCAGGGGCAGGGCGCGAGGAGGGGGTGGACTAGAGGGCACTATAGTGTTAGGAATACAAGTTTGTATTCCTAACAATGTAGAATCCCTTTAAGCTAGAGTAAATATTAATGAACAGAAGAATATTCAAGCACACCCCTCCCTATTGGAATGTGTGAAATACAACTGCTCAATAATCATCTCTATAAAATTCCAGTGTAATGTTTTATCTTTGATGGTATCGCAAGCATTGCCATATAATACAGAATATTTTCATAGTTTGTCCATAAATTGGCATCATAGACCTGCAGCACTCAGAAATTATATATTTTTTTCACATTCCAATTTTTACTGAATATTTTCAGTGCAATAGAAATAAAAGGGTGCATTCATGTTACATTTGAGTAATACATTTGGGTCGGTGAGGTAGATGGTAAATTCCCTAACTACAAAGCCTGTTCAAAAATGCAAGATCACAGGTTCAAATCCCAGCAGGATCAACTCAGCCCTTTGTTCTTCCGAGGTCAATAAAATTAGTACCATCTATTGGGTAATCATAACATCTATTACTATTCAGCTGCCTATTTTGTTAATTCCGAGAATGCGTGCTGAAAAGCATTTTGAGTCCCACTGGGAGAAAGGCGCTATATAAATACTTGTTATTATTATAATACAATATGCAATATTGTACAGAAGCACATAGGGAAATATATCTGGAGCCACTGTTATACTGAGTTTGTGTAAAGGCAGGAAAATTAAAACATCATGGCTTCAGCTAGTGGACTGGGATCCTGAGAAATACCCTGGGGGTACATAAGGGCAAAATAGGGTGAGAGGAGTGCAGAGAGACATGAGACCCTTTGTTGCAATTTTAGGATGGTTAAGAAGGTTGTACTGACAGGCAATTCCATACAGGGATCTACTAATGACCGAGATACAATACCAAATTTAGACACTTCATAGTAAAAAGTATATTTAAATAACATGATAATTGATATTTATATATAGTAATTTTTTTACATCCATTCAACACATAAATAAATAACATACACTAACTCTTTCCCATAATTACAGTTCATAGCTATGCTGTACACATGCCAAACGGATTAGGATTTAGCAAAATTGGTTGTGGAACAAATTATAATTGCATTTCCACACACTCATGATGATGTTCTTGTACTTGACATAAACCCATCCTTTTTGCTCGCACCATGGAATGTAAAAAAAAAAAAATTTAACACCAAAAAGCAATCTTCATTTTTTTTCTTACGTGTGAATTAAACAGAAGGCATTGTGTAGTGATGTTAATATTCTATACCACTCAGTAAATGTCAAAATATATATTATTATCCTGGGGCTTTATTTTCATGAGCTTCTCTGCCTATATTCACGAAGACCCGATAGATTCAGTTTGTTTTTAGTAACATTCTATAGTTAACAACATTTTAAACAGCCAAAAAGGGACACTTTTTCATTTTAGGAGGTGTGGCTGGAGGTGTGATCAGGGGGGTCGGGAAATTTCAGGACATTTTAGATGACTTCATGATCTACTTATGTAATTGAAAATATAATTTGGAACAAAATCAAAAGTTATTCATACAACTGATTTCATATAGGTAAAATACTTTTTATTAGGAGTAGTACTGCTATGAATTTTTGTTATACACTCAGATATTCCAACAATAATGAGTTCCTTGAAATAGGGACATTTGGCTAGGACAAAAGGATTTGTGCGATATGGATTGTACCTCCTATATAATGACACTTGGGATGAGTTCTATTGATACCAGTATCATATTCTGCTTTTTATGTCTTTTCTTTGATTACTCCACCCCTTTCTCTTTGGGTCTTTTCATTTGAAAAATGGATAGTCTGCAGATATATCCCAATATCCAAATGCGTTACTGGTGGAATTAAATTTTCTAACGTATTTCCTATATTAGGGGTGAAAATACTTCATACATCAGTGATGGCTCATTTTTCCACCTAGAATTTACACTGTTCCCTAATCATTGAACATTGTATCACAATACTACACTAGGAACCGCACTTAATCCACGCAAGGCAAGGGTGCTAAACTAATCCATGAGCCAGCATAAACTGAAAATAAATACCGGTAAGAGAGAAGAGGTTTCATTGAATAACGTTTCAATGAACATGTCTAAAGCTATAGGAGTGCCTGGACCTCTTCCTTCTTACAGGCAATCACTGAACATTATCCAACACACAGGGGCAGTTCTGCCTATAACCCATATCTAAAAGAGGAATCTAGAAGCCAGGGGGAAAGTGAGGACTATGGCCAGTGACTGGATGCTCGTTGTTTGCTCTGTAAATATTCTTGTTGGTATAAACAATGTGTTCTCTCCATTGAAATGCATTAAAGTGTTTTGCAGTGTTTCTTCTCCATTTGTCTCATGTTTGTTTGGCACAAATGAGCTGTTTAATTACTGAGCTTAATCTCACCTCTTAGTGCTATTAATTGAGTAGCAAAGGGGAAATTGAATTGCCAATCCCTACAGAACTGGGGACAAGCCTGGGTTCATTCACTTCTGCTAACATTACAGCCTTCCAGAAATACTATAGTTAACTGTGTAAGCTTTGTGCACTGTGTTGGCACTTTATAAATGATGAATGTAATAATAATTTTTTAGAATGTTTTTGGACTTCAGTACAAGGATTATTAGTTTTAGCTAGCATGTAAACAAAGAACAGATTCATGAAGGGGGATTCTGTGCTTATAGCAGAAACAATGTACGAAATTGTATTTTTGTAAATCATCCAACGTGTTCTGTACCTTTTGTAATCCCACCCCCCCCATATATCTGTTAATTTGCCCCTAGATTTTCATGATAAATCTGAAAAGGCGTCAAGATCGCCGCATGCGCATGCTTAGGAGTCTTTACGAACAGGAAATCCAAGTGAAGATCTTTGATGCTGTTGATGGCAAGTATGTAAATTAAAAACCTTCTAAGCAACATTTAGAGAATTGTAACCCTTTAAACATGTTAATCTATTCTATAATGTGCTTCCTAAAGATTCATTTTGCAATTCATTGAGCTTAATAATTCAAAGGTGAATTGTAGCTATTGGCAATTGAACATTTGTAGCAAAGCCCATGCTCTCCACTTCATAGTAACATTGGGAAACATATCCAGATATTCACTGGGCAGATATTTTGCACACCTATTGGCGTCTGGGTACTCATATCTTCTCTTAACAAAGTATCTCTAAAATACTATCATTGGTATTGTGACACTCCAGGGTAGAGTTGACCCGTATTAGTCAATTCATATTGAACCACGATAGCCACATTGGAAAAATACAAACCCAGCTGTGCTTTCAGTTATTTTGAAATTAGCTCTCAATCCCTGAAAATTCACACTTAAAAAAATAAATAAAAATACCCTGTAAACGTTAAGGTGATTTAAGTTTGTTTGAGGTCTTAATGCAGGCAATGTTAATGTAGTCATTAGATCTAGCTTGACACCAGTCAGGTGGTGGTAACATTTATATTGGTTGTTAATACATTAAAATGTGCAATGAGTGTGAAAAGTACCATTAATTTTAATAGGCTAGCATTTTTACTAACATGTCCTTGGATTTTTTTCTATTCTGATGGTTCATTTTCCTGTAACCAAGAAAATCTGGAAATTTTGCTTTATCATACCCCTTTAAGTGTTCAAACAACCTTCCGTATATTTTTACTATTTTTTGCGACAATTCATTTCTAATGAAATTATATAGACAATTTCTGTGGCATGTATTAAGAGTACAAAGCTAAGAAGGTCACACTCTGATCATGTTTCTATTTGTTAATTTTGCTAATGGTACTGATTGATTAGCTTTTATGTTATTTTTTTTTCTTTGCTAAGAAACCAATGTATGTACAAATAAACAATTGTATCTAAATTATAGCTCAAGTTATAGGTCTCGGAGGAATGCCAGTAGATATGTTTTATGTATTCACGCTCCCATATAATTAACTTTGAATTACCTTCTGCAGATATTCACAAATTTAATGCAAACTTCTGCCTTTATTTAGTTATCCTTGGAAATTATCCTGTACTCTGAAAAGGTCATGCAGGAAGCAAGGAGAATTTATTTAGCTGTTACATATAGAATATATGCGTCGTCTGCTCAGTCTTGACGATTATAGGTACAAACAGGCGTCTGCAAATTGCTTTGAGGATTAAACATAATGGCGAAAGCTCACGCCAGTGAGCACTGACCAATGATTTATGGTAAAACAGAAATTGATGGTGAATCAGCGATCATATTATAAACTCAAAGAGGAACTATCACTTCTCTGGAATTTACACAACTGAATGAAATTTTGACCATCACCTACTTGTTATAACACCTTTTTCCCCCTGAAATCTTCATTTTCTATTTAATTTCTATAAATTTTATAGTAAATAATAGTATAATCCAATTCAGATAAGGCAAAGAGAAAACATTGCAAATAAGGAGGAGAAATACAAACATTGTTTCATTTTATCTCCTCTCTTTATGCTTTGTCTATGCCGACTAATAAGTGCAAAAACAGACGTTAAAACAATGACTGACAGGGAACTAATACGGAGGCACCCAGCGATAAATATACGTGGATTTCTACATTTAATTGTAGGTAATTCTAAGTTTCATGAAGAAATTATTTAATTTCAATAATGACAGGAGGCGAATATTTTGCTTTGTTTCTTTACTCCACCTCCAAATAGCAGCAAACAATTAAAAAACTCAAAACTAAAAAAAAAAATGTATAATTGGCAGAGCACAAGTCTAACATGACATTCTCAAAAACATGAAACTCTTGTCATAATAACCAAATAAATGTAACAAAGCCTCGAATGTTACTTCACCTGCAGATATTCATGAATGTCTTCGCCAGATTCTCTGAAATTTCCTGAAAGAAAAGAAAAAGTGAAGGTCATAAATGAAAAAAATACCAGCAAAGAAAATACAAACAAACAAGCGCAATATGAAATTAAATAATCGTCTGTATGACACCAAATATTACAAATAAAAGTCCAAAAGTAAAAATTCGTAGCTGCCAGACATAAAAGGGCTACGCACAGCGCTGACATTTATCTACTTTTGGACATAAATGAAAAGAAATGTAACACCTTTTCACTGAAATTAAATTTATAATGTTTGTCCTCTGTCGGCCCTTTGCTAACTTTGGGGAGGTAACTTTGCGCTATTTGGCTTGAGCCAAAGGGAAACACCATTGCTAGGGCCTTTCCCACTGCTTCTGCAACATTGATCAGTGCTTGTAAATCCCCAGAATATGTTGGAAATTCCTCCACAATGTGAAATGATAGTAAAAAACAGGCAATAGAAACTCTGAGTACAAGGAATGATTTTATGAGCAAGTGTGGGCTCACGCCAAAGTGCAATATCCAGTATGATGGTAGGATGTGGGCTCACCACACTGATCTCACTCAACTCTGCACTTAAATCACCGCAGAACAATTAGAGTGTGGAGTCACCACAATGTGGTTGAGCAGGCACTAACAACTGGGGCTCATCCCAGTGGCAGAATAAATGCAGGCGCCCTTGTCCTGGCACAATTCTCCCTCAATGTGCAAAACTCACAACAAGGCTGAGCTGTAGATTGAAAACTCCAGCAAAAATACTCCCTCACACTTTCGTAACCAAGATGTCTGCCACTCCCTCAACCAGACATGGGCAGCCTTCATCTCAAAGCACTGTCACGAGATGCGAGTGCCAAGATCACCGCAAGGCGGGGGTTGCAAGATGGGCGGATTTTGCAAGACTGATGCCTGAATGCTCAAATGGAAGCGGAGGTAACACCAGAATCCCAGGGTGGTGCCAAAAAAAAATGACTGGACCAGAATGGCCTCCGTAGGGCGGGGCAATAAAGTGTGATTAAAAACAGGAGATAAAGGGGGCAGGACAGTGACAGGGTAGAGAAAAAAAAAATCAATATATAATTAGTCACTTGAATACAATAACCCCAGAGTATCAAACAAATAACCCTGAAGTGAGCGCATGCTCTGACCTAAAGCTGAAGGCAGGATCAGCAAAGAAAGAAGTGATTCCTTGTGCTGTTTTTGATTGGTTAATTTTTTTATTGCTGTTTGCTGCTATTTGGAGGTAGAGTAATGAAAGAATGCAAAATATTCGCCTCCTGTCATGTGGTAAAAAAATTGTTTTCACACCACAGAAATACATATGTTAATTAGGAGAAATACACGGCCTTCACAGCAGTGGCACGTTTTCAGAATTTATTAAGAAAAAAGAACACAAAGACATACGATGCCAATTCGGACATAATCATTTATCATGTATTCTCTCTGTGTCCTTTCTTTCAGTAAACTATGAAGACTTGCCACTGGTGTGAAGTTTGTGCTTTTGTCCTAATTTCTGTTAGTTGACGACTGCGGCGCCCGTGGCTGGTTAAACTCTATATTGCCATATGTTCCTGTATGCAGCATTGTATTTATAATTCTACAAATACATATTTGTCATATAAAGGGCTAGTAAACATAATGTTTATTAATCTTTGGACGTGAGAGTTTACCGTTAAAAAAAACCCCCAACCTGCTGACCATTCCTCATTCCCTCAACCTTGTAAATGGATTTCGAGCACTTACTGGGGTGTGGAGCAGTGCAGTAGAGTTAAGTATAAAAACCATTAAACAATAGTCCACAGTGCCACAATAATCCATGCGCCCTCGTGCTATTTTTTACATCTATTTTTTACTAAATTAACTTGTCCGTGAGGTGGTTAAACTGAAATCTCAAAATGGATCTCCAGCTCAAGTATGTCAGGTCTTAAAAAAAAAAATGTTTATTTCTACAATATGTTTTTTTTTCAGGGCCTTGAATTCAAGCCAGCTAAAGGCAATGAATATAAATATGGTACCAGGATACCATGATCCGTATTCTGGGAGGATACTGACACGTGGTGAAATTGGATGCTTCCTCAGCCATTACTATGTCTGGAAAGAGGTTTGTTAATAGGGAACATTATGCAGACAATAGCCCTTATGAGTATGTGACATCATGAAGTCATTTATTTGATTATTATTCATTGCTTGTATATGCAGTAGAGGCTGAGTGGCCATTTTAAAACGTAAACATGATTTGTAATGCAAAGAGTCAACACCCTGATCATGTGTCTGAAAATCCTTCTATAAAGCATGCAAGAGGTTAAGTTGTTCAGCCAAACATTAGAACAGAAAGGACATGATCTAAGCTGTTTTGATCATCAAACGTGTAAGATAAAGGTGACTTATCGAATTTCTTCTTTAAAATGAACCCCTTCACCATTGACTGTTTGACATTTGTGTAAAACAAAATGTAGTCAAGTCCATAAAGCCTTGACTTATTTTCCTTTGCACTGTAGGAATGATTACCAGCTTTGAAATTAATGCCTTTGCCAAGAACCCTTTCCACCAACTTGGTATCTGCAAATGGGCTGTAAATGACAGTCCTCCCCTCTATCAAAACAGTAAAGGAAGCTTCAAATTATGCAATTCCTATAGTCAGAGATGGCACCCTCTTAGCTTTACTTTAAAGTGCATTTAATAGACACAACTAAGGAAGTCTTGCAACAGACCCCTGCACACTGCCCAATACATCAAATTGTTGTGTCATGGTTCCTCAGGAATGAAAAACAAGCCTCCACTTGTAATTGGTGGCATGTAGAGTCTGGTACTTTTTCAATAGCATCATGTACTTGGCTATTGCTCAATGTCTGAAGATTGAGACATTCAGCAATAGCATCAGAGTTGTAACATGCTGTCACATTGCACAGATGCCTATGAGCCAGTCAATATTACCCCCATATTGGTATAAGGGAGTTTTTTTGTGATTTTTTTTTTTTTTATTCTTAAAAGGACACTATAGGCACCTTCAGCTCATTGTCTGGGTGAAGTCTCCTGGGTCATTGCCTGGGGGAAGTGTCCCTTTTGCACTTAGTGCTGCAATGTAAAACATTTCAGTTCCAGAGAAACTGCAATGTTTACATTGCAGCACTAAGTCTGCCTCTAGTGGCTGTCTACCAGACAGCCACTGAAGGCGCTTCCTGCATCGTAACAGACCTTTGGTCTGGTATCTGATGCTGGACGTCCACACGCTCTGCATGAGGACCTCCAGCATCAGATTTTTTCCTTGTAGGAAAGCATTGATTCAATACTTTCCTGTCAGAAGGTCTAATGCATTAGTGCTCGCTCGCTGCAGGACATCAGAAGGGGCAGAGCACAAATTCACCCCATAAGCTTTTGTAATGTTTTTTTTGTGTCTTTTTTTATTCTTCAGAAATAGTAGATGCTTGGCATAGCCTTCCAGAAGAGGTGGTAAAAATAATATAGTGGAGCAGTTCAAGAAAACTTGTGACTTACTGTTTTCTAGAGACTCGTGTTTTCTAGATGCAGAACAAGCAGACTAGACTGGCCATGTGAACTCTGTTATCGGTCTTAATCTGGATTTCACAGTTTCAAGGAAACAGTAATAGATCAGAGTAATGTTGCCAAAAATTTCCTTTATACATTTATTTTTTATTTTTTAGATGTTTTGTCTTTAACTCCCTTTAAAAATTTGTGAATTTTTTTTAGTTTAACTTGTACAAAACATTTAGTTCTTTTTAATCCATAAGCATCTATAATGTGCTTATTCCATAAACTGGGAATTGTGAAGGGACTATTATTTTCTGCTATTTATCTTGCTTGGCTATTTTGTCCTAAAATTTGCAAATCCCTTTATCAATTCTTCACGTTTCCTGGTTTAGTGGATAAAATAGTCTTAGCAGAGTAAAGTCCATCATAAAAGCTGTATCCAATCAACAAGGCACTATCCAGATTGTGGTTTACTCCCAAACTATAATGACAGTGGGCAGAAAATCGATTTGGAGATGATTCTGAAGCGTACAATGACCTTCAAATATCTACAGATTATCATGCAAAGGCTGGAGGCCTGTTGTCATACAGGAGCAAAGAAACTTCTAAAAGAAAACATTTATAATCAAATCTCAAATAATTTATAGTGCTTCTGAACATTTTGCAGTAGATTCTATTCTGTGTTTTGGTTATATCACGTTGGTTTTTCTTTTTGTATTGTATTTTTAGGTAATTGAAAGGGGTCTTGAAAAATCTCTTGTCATTGAAGATGATGTGCGCTTTGAGTTGCAGTTTAAAAACAAATTAACGAAACTAATGAATGACATTGAAGATACTGGACTGGAATGGGATTTAATGTAAGTAGACAGCAAAATATTGAAATCTCAGATAGCCATGCGATTGGACAAGTGCCAGTTTATCAACACATTTGCTTATTCCATTTTGATTTCCTTTGCACGGTTGGCATCACAAAAATAATTTTGCATCAGAGTGTGTTGTTCTGTTTGGAGCTGCAGAAATTAGAGAAACTAACAAGACAGACCTCTTTAAAAACAGGAAAAAAAATGTGGCTGCATTTCATAAAATCAAGATGCTTTTTACATGTTAAAATATTTCTGCATTTTGAAACAATCTTATGTGTCTACCAAATCTATATAGATCAGACTTTATTAATGCCCAAATCCTTTCTCTTCTCTATTCTGAGCGTGGCTGTAAACCCAGCAGATGTGACCAGAATTAATCACGCTCAAGGTATTTCGGTTTGCGTACTCAGGAGAATTTGTAATGAATATACGCTCATTGGAGACAAGGCCCATCCGTGTTTAATATCTGAATTATATGCAGAATTTTTAGTAATACATTTTTAAAACTATATATTTTATTCTCCTCTAGACATTAATTTCGAATGCAGTTACTTGATAAAACAATATTGCATGCTTTTTTAAATCCAGGTGTATATTCCAAATGGACATAACATAAATTTTTATGTACTGTAAATACTCGAGTATAAGTCGACTCGAATATAAGTCGAGACCCATAATTTTACCCCAAAAAACTGGGAAAACTTATTGACTCGGGTATAAGACTAGGGTGGGAAATGCAGCAGCTACTGGTAAATTATTATATTATTATTACATTTTTTATTTATATTTTTTTTCGTCCCCCCTCCCTGCTTGTTAGCTGGCCAGGGAGGGGGGCTCTCATTCCCTGGTGGTCCAGTGGTGTGCACTGTGTAGGAGGGGGGCTGGCAGCGAGCTGTAACTTACCTTTCCTGCAGCTCCTGTCAGCTCCCTTCTCCTCCACTGTAAGTCTCGCGGCCGTGCGGAGCATTCCCCACGGCTCTCGTGAGATTTACAGTGGAGCTGACAGGGGAGCTCACCGGAACGGAGGAGAGAGAAGGGAGCTGACAGAAGCTCCAGGAAAGGTAAGTAAACTCTTCCTGCCAGCCCCCAACAGGACTGCTGGGCTTGTAATGAGCCCGGCGGTCCTGGTCTGTATTATGGCACTGTAAGTTGCCATAATACAGACATTAACTTGAGTATAAGTCGAGTGGGGGTTTTTCAGCACAAAAAATGTGCTGAAAAACTCGACGTATACTCGAATATATACGGTATATTATATGTTTTTTTTTTTATAGCACTGTAAAAACCTGCACATGGGTAATGTATACTTCCCAACACCTCTGAAAGTGTTAGGAAAGTGCTGATTTATTACCCCAATCATGTTATCCAAAATTCAGATTTTTATAATTTTTTTTTCGGTTTTCCACTTCTGGTTAACCAGAGAAAATAGAATTGTTATTACACGTCAGCAGCCCTGTTAGCTAGCTCTTGGATGCTAGTCAGTACAGCTCACAATGACTTAAATGAACAACAGGGTTAGTCTGAACCTGGGGTAGGCAACCTTCAGCACTCTAGATGTCCATATGTTGTGGACTACATCTTCCATAGTACTCTTACAGACATAATTCTGGCAAAGCATCAGGAGAGATGTAGTCCACAACATGTGTAGTACTGAAGGTTGCTTACCCCTGGTCTAAGCCATACTTAGGGTCTACTAAATCAGGAATTTGATGATAATTGGAAATTCCAGACTGAAGTAGCTGGGCTAATAAAATAGCTTATGTAGATTTTTTTTTAAATTTGTCTGTGGCCTAAAATATGTAAGTCTCCACAAAAAAAAAGCTGTTCTTGTTTTTCTTGCAAAGCTGTTTTAATACAGTTTTTACCTTCTTTCTGTAATTGTCCAAATTATGTATCAGAATAACACAGTTAAAAAAAATAACCATATTGCTTGAATTGTAGCTGATTTAATTTTAAGGTATAATGGGGAAAATGTACAGCAGTGTCTGTAGTTTAGTCGGCCTTCTGTACTTATAGCAAGGGAAAAATGTTTAAAGTTTCACAAAAGTACATTGAACAAAATTATAAACGCAACACTTTTGTTTTTGCCCCCATTTTTCATGAGCTGAGCTCAAAGATCTAAGACTTTTTCTAAGTACACAAAAGGCCTATTTCTCTCTAATATTGTTGACAAATCTGTCTAAATCTGTGTTAGTGAGCACTTCTCCTTTGCTGAGATAATCCATCCACCTCACAGGTGTGGCATATCAAGATGTTGATTAGACAGCATGATTTTTGCAAAGGTGTGCCTTAGGCTGGCCACAATAAAAGGCCACTCTAAAATGTGCAGTTTTACGGTATTGGGGGTGTCCGGGGGGTCCAAAAACCAGTCCGTATCTGGTGTGACCACCATTTGCCTCACGCAGTGCAACACATCTCCTTGGCATAGAGTTGATCAGGTTGTTGATTGTAGCTCGTGTAATGTTGGTCCGCTCCTCTTCAATGGCTGTGCGAAGTTGCTGGATATTGGCAGGACATGGAACATTCTGTCGTATACGCCGATTGAGAGCATCCCAAACCTGCTCAATGGTTGACATGTCCAGTGAGTATGCTGCCCATGCCAGAACTGGGATGTTTTGAGCTTCCAGGAATGGTGTAGAGATCCTTGCAACATGGGGTCGTGCATTATCATGCTGCAACATGAGGTAATGGTCGTGGATGAATGCAACAACAATGGGCCTCAGGATCACGTCACGGTATCTCTGTGAATTCAAAATGCCATCAATAAAATGCACCTGTGTTCATTGTCCATAACATACGCCTGTCCATACCATAACCCCACCACCAGCATGGGCCACTCGATCCACAACATTGACATCAGTACACCACTCAGCCATACGACGCCATACACACATTCTGCCATCTCCCCTGTACAGTGAAAACCGGGATTCATCCGTGAAGAAAACACCTCTCCAACGTGCCAGACACCATCGAATGTGAGCATTTGCCCACTCAAGTTGGTTACGACGACAAACTGCAGTCAGGTCGAGACCTCGATGAGGACAACAAGCATGCAGGTGAGCTTCCCTGAGACAGTTTCTGAAAGTTTGTGCAGACATTTCTTGGTTATGCAAACCGATTGTTGCAACAGCTGTCCAGGTAGCTGGTCTCAGACGACCTTGGAGTGAAGATGCTGGATGTGGCGGTCCTGGGCTGGTGTGGTTACACATTGTCTGCGGTTGTAAGGCCAGTTAGATATACTGCCAAATTCTCTGAAACGCCTTTGGAGCCGGCTTATGGTAGAGAAATGAACATTTAATTCATAGGTAACAGCTCTGATGGACATTCCTGCAGTCAGCATGCCAATTGCACGCTCCCTCTAAACTTGCGACATCTGTCTTATTAATCATGCTGTCTAATCAGCATCTTGATATGCCACACCTGTGAGGTGGATGGATTGTCTCAGCAAATGAGAAGTGCTCACTAACACAGATTTAGACAGATTTGTGAACAATATTTGAGAGAAATAGGCCTTTTGTGTACATAGAAAAAGTCTTAGATCTTTGAGTTCAGCTCATGAAAAATGGAGTCAAAAACAAAAGAGTTGCGTTTATAATTTTGTTCAGTGCATATAAAAATATATTTTCTATTAAAGTTAAAGTCATCTTCCAATTAACAAAATGCTGGAAAAAAAAACCCTTTTTAATTTTTGATTGGTTTCCTAAATTTCAGTGGTATTATACATAATTTGCCACTAGCACAATTAAATGAAAGCAGACAGAAAGCAATTAGAATTGTATACAGAAAATTCAATTTGCTGTGACTGTTTTCAATCATATAGTGAATAAACTTTTACTAAAATTGTCCAAAGAAAAGGAAAAAAATTATAATTTTGCTAACTGGAAAATATAACAGGCTATATTCAGTAAGTGGTGAAACATTTTTTTTTTGTGTGCAATATGTAGCACATGGACAGCTGCCTCTGAAAATCCGCACACACATTTATTTATTTAAAGTTGCTTCCTTTCCAAAGTAAATCAGGCCTCCCAACAGTTGCACTTTTGGGGATCTGAGGACATCAGGGAAATTGCCCCCCGGGCAGCAGAGAGCTAGTTCATTATTAGATGTGCTCAGGCCATGCAGTGGAGTGCAGTGGGCACTTGGACCATGCAGGAAGTGATATAGCAGTGCTACCAGTGTGGTGCTGAAGTCTGAGGATTGGCCAGACAAGTCCCCAACCCCAAACCCTCCAGAATGCATGTCTCCTGTTTTTGGGATATATTCTAAATCCTTAAGAATTCTTTTGATATGGAAAAAGTAATAACTACTGAAATGCAATTTGTCATTTAATCATTTGAGTAATTCAGCTACTCCATGCTTCTAAACATTCCTGGGTTAGTTGAGACATTCCTGGTTTCTGGCTCCTGTCCAGGTGTCCCCCAATCAAGAGACACTAAAGAATTGTCCCCAACAAGCACAGTGAGAGCACTTAGATTCACACGTAATTAGACACACTGAGCAGAGTGCTTCTAGTGCTCAAAGCACTTTTGTAGCATTCAAGAAATGGACAATCCTTAGGGCAATCAGCCAGAGACTCTCCATGTATTATACTACCTGTTAGGTCTGTGCCTCATTCCAGCATGATCTTTGTGACACTGGAACTCCTAGAATTATTTCCAACACTTGTCTACCCGCGCCATTTTTGCATTATCACCCTTGCACCGGTTGGCATCGCAGGAATGACAGACCAATAACAGTTTTCCTATGACTATTTTAGCTTTCTCTGCAATATACACCTAGCCCTGATGTGGTTTTCCTTGTGATGATCCGAGAGCGGTTTCATATTTAGTAGTGATTCATAGTATTCTGACTTGTCGTTGGCCATTCTCCATTGCACTAAGAAGTTTTGGTTTGTATAGTAATATTGCTGTTTTGTTTTTATAGTTATATTGGTCGAAAGAGGATGCAAGTTGAACGTCCTGAAAAGGCTGTTCCTAACGTAATGAATCTGGTAGAGGCTGACTACTCCTACTGGACTCTGGGATATGCTATCTCCTGGCAGGGAGCTCAGAAACTCGTTGCGGCTGAGCCTTTGAAGAAGATGTTACCGGTGGACGAGTATCTTCCAGTTATGTATAACAAGCACCCAGAGTAAGTATAGCCTTTTTTGAAAAGTGTACAGAATGTCCGGACAGGTACTAAAAATCAGTTGTTAAACTCATCTTTTTGTCAAGAACTATATAAAGGCTGCCACCATAAAAATATTTCAAAGGGTCTTTTTCATCCTAAAAGTGTATGGATGATGAAGTTCCCTTTAGGTAAAATGCTGTTAAACCTGTTAGTGCTATGAAAATAAAATAGATAATGTGATTTTAATGTAACCACAATATATAATTTACAAAAAAAATATATACTTACCTCCAAGATTTTGTCTACCTCCTCCAAAATGGCTGCTGCAAAGGCTGCAAAATGGATGCCATATGAAAGGTATATGTGTATATCCGTTTTGAAGCCTTCTACAGTGTGGGAAAAAAAAAAAAAGATTAATTTACTAAGCCCAGTGCCATGTAGTTGGCTACAGAAGACAAAGAAAGTATCTGCAAGCCTGAATTTCAGAATTTCCATAATGACACTTAATATTCTAGTAGGTTAATGTTTTATTTAAATATGTGCACTGCTTGGAACCACTTGCAGCTAACACAATGTACAGATCAAACTAGAAACTTTCTTAAATTACCATATTTCTCAATTCACCCTCTCTTTAAACATGTTACTCCACATAATTCATTTGGGCAGCCTATGACCAAAGGGAATTATTTTATATCTGAAATATTTAAAAAAAAAAAAAAAAAGGAAGAAAATGTATCTGTCTGGCACTCAAAGGGTTAAAATCTACTTTTTCTTGGGGTCTATTCCCTAAACTCTAAATTTTGAAGAGCTGACAAAGCAACTGTAACATTCAGGCTAAAATTGCCAAACTGGAAAATTGCTGTTTGGACCATTTTTCCATTAACATTTACGATCGAAATTTTGAAATGTTCTCAGTTCTCTACAATTCTTGATTTTGTAAATAAATCACCTTGTTTTTAATTCATAATTATGGTTATTTACTAAAGTGAGAATTGTTGGGAATTCATTGTAAATTAAAAGTGAATTTCAAATTCGAAGCTAAAGTAGCAGAACTGTAAGCATAACCAACTTGGATATTTTGGGCTTTAAATTTGAAATTCACTTTAAATTCTTACTTTGGTAAACAACCTGCTTAGTGTCAGATATGTGCAGGATTGCTTTGGGCCAGTTAGAATGATTGTCTGTGAAATTATTGTGTATTCTCGTGGTTCTTTCACAGATAATTATGTTTTACTGTGGAATCAGAAAGTATAAAACGTGATGCATTTCTTCACAATCCTCTTCAACCCTTCCCAATTATATACCTAAGCAATCTAGCTCTTTATAAACCCTTTTAATACATTAGTTACAGTTTGTAATATCTGTTTACAAGAGGTTATTTACTAAGCAACTGTAGAGAATTGACAGGGAAATCAAACATTTAGACCAAAATAGCAAAGCTGCAAAAACAATAGAATTTAAGTTTTGTTTTCTTCTTTTTCATATATTTTGGCCTTTATTTTGTAGTTTTCTTGTTACTGACTCTGTGTACAAGCCCCTTAGTGTTTAGTATCAACCGTTATTTCTATTCTGCTTGTTCAAGAACTGGTCTTTATCTCCCTTATTTGTTAAAACACAATTAACTGCTATAAAACAAATATAAAATGTACACGTCTGTATCACCCGTGAATATAATGTTGTATCGGAAATGCAGATTAGGAGATAGAGTTCTGTAGTTTGACACATGGCAGTGGATTTTGGAAATTGCAGGAAGTTGTCAATTCACTGCGTTCTGCAGAACTACAAAGACTTTCTTAATGTCTAATTAAGATAAAGTTTTGCCCATATCCCACACACTTAAAATGACACAAACAATATCCTCTTTCCTTATATGGGCATAAGTTCCTTTAACAACTACAAAGTGCAATTGTCTCCCTGAGCCACCACTTCCTGATTGAATTAAGCATTATGGGTGCCGAAATAGACATCAGCTGGGAAGACTTGTTATTAGCAGGAAAATTTATTATGGGTAATTTTGGAGAACTGACAATTAACCAAAATAGCACAGCTACAAAATTTGCAGTCCCTTTTTCAATTTTCCAGCATCTCTGCTTTAGTAGATAGCCCTGACTTTTGCATGCATTATACAGGAGTCCACATTTCTGAACCTTTGGAATCAAAACCGTTAAGTGACTTTGCCTTCATGCCTAAATTTGTCCTCCTTGGTATAACTCTAGTGCATGTTGGTTTGTTTAAGATTCATATTTGGTGGCAACATATGCAATAAAGACCATCTTACATGTATTTTTCCACATGTCTAGAATGGATCACTTCCTCATAGATGTTGAGGGTTCATGTTTTAATGATCACTCCAATGTCAAAAATAAATGTATTTTTAATTATGGGGTGTTCATTTTTTTCGTTTTAGGGAACCCTGTTTCATTGTGTTATGTAATCCTGTGCTTCTCATAAAGAAGCATTGGTTTCAAAGCTTTTCTGTATGTACTTCTCAACTATAGTTTAAAGTTAGTGAGGCTGGAAGCCGTCCTGACTGTTTGATTGACAGCCAGGATGGTCTACAAAGGTTTTTTGTTTTTTAAAAAATAAAACTGCAGAAAACAGCAATTTTATAAAATAGGACAAAGAGGACCTGCATTTAACGCTGAAATGCTTTAGAGGACTTCAGTGTAAAATAGAAAAATGGTTTCTATTGCTGGTATAACATGAACTCTGTCCATCAAAATATAGACTTAAAAACATTGCAGTTGTCGTCATTCTTTTCAATAAGTACCTTATTTCTGACCACAATACATTTTCTGTAGCAGCAATCACTTACTCAGGGCCGTGGAAATCCATTTAATTCTGGAAATGTTACCGGACTAACTTGCAGAAGCCAAACACAGAGAGATGGAGGCAGGACTTCAGGAAGTAAAAAAGGTCTTTATTTACACACCAATCGGGTCTCACACTGACCTTGTGTTCAAAAGGTATGAGCCCAGAGCATAGTTTGCACAGGCTATTTATTAACAATAACTCCTCCCATTCATAGCTCCACTCACACATACCCTTAGACCAATCAGTGAACAGGATATTCAGGATCACCTAATATGGGCAGACCATATGACTCCTTTTAAGGACAAAGGAATGTGACTACAGTTGATGCACATGTTTAGTACATTGATGACAGTATCTTAGCTACATGTTACTAACTAACAGATACAACAAACACCTGTACTTGTATATGCCACATGGAGATTTCAGGCCTACTAAATTTTGAACCATGTTGAAATCCCATCACATTCCCCCTTTGATGCTTCTGATACAAAGTTATTCCAGATGCATCACTAATCATAATTTGCCAACACATTTCAAGTAACCATGAGCCGGACAGACCTTATGAGCATTCTAACTTAACTCTATTACCTCTCAGCACTCATCGACCTGATTATTAATAGTCTCTCCTGAGTTAGGGGTTCATATTTTCAGATGGCCATTACATAAGCAGCTGTCTTCCTTTCTATAGTGCTCTCAATAACACTATGTATAGACCTAACTACTAATGGAATCAGACAGGGCAGGAAGAGGTATAAGAAAATAATAAATACCACTCCTCCTACCAATACCTTAATCCCACCAAGCTGCTCATACGAACTCCCAAACCAACTATTTGGATTATACCTGTTCCAAATCTGAGTGGGTACGTGTGCCAGTTTAACCATGTGTTTAGTAATATCAACCACTGCCTGCCCCTCATCATTTATATTCAGACAACAATTACTGAGGTTAAACTTTCCACACACACCTCCTTCTATAGCCAGCAAATAATCAAGAGCCAGCCTATTTTGGTAAATGGCTGGTCTCATGCAGGTATTTTGCTTCGCCTTAGCTGTCTCATTGGTTATGATCTCAACCACCGCCTGTAATCTTATAATGCGGTTGAGCATATAAATATGGGGGTTCGGTAACCATAAGTACCATCTTCAGCCCAGGTAGTAGGTCCATAATAATTAATAATACATTGGCGAGACCACTCATCATCTTCCCAGTTACCTACATTCAATGATGCTCGCATCTTTTTATGATTTACATCATAAACCTTAACTCCCAAGGTCTCTCCCGTTTCAATTGGTAACAAGAAGAAGGATGGTTTGAGCATACCTAGCACACATGCTCTCTTCCAATCTTGTGGCAACTCCGAGAATGCTTTCTTACCACAGATCCAGTATAAATTCACTGGGGCTTTCCAATTGGATGTAACAGATAAGTCAAACCATACCTCTTTGAAATTGGTGTAATTGGCAAAAGGATTAGTAGGTTCTGAGACATTTGAAGCTGACCACAAGTAGTATCTTTTGTATCAGCATTATAGGCCTTCTGTCCCAGACATGTTAACTCGCCAACTAGTGTATTATACAGTGGCCCTTTCCTGGCTAAACATACATATAATAATGTTTATATAATAGATGTTTTTAACTGCCATTCTGATTTACCTCTAGTACTTACTTGATGATCAGACTGAGCAGGCATCTGTTGTTCATCTGTCTCAGAACCAGGGTACCAAATCTCTTTTGTCTCCCATGGCCATTGGTCTCCCATATTAGTACCTCCACATACAAAGCAGTTAGTTATATTAAGACTACCTGCAATACTCTCAGCCAAATCAAAAAATAGGCTCTTAGCATTATGGGGAATTTTATCCTCAACACTCATCTCCTCATAAAAGGAATGGAGAACCTGATGAGTCTGAGCAGCTGTTGTCTCGGTTTCAATACCTACATATAATATGGCTCCCGGATCTGTTCCTGTACCATGTATCTGAAACCCAAAAAGACTCCCAAACGTATTATTAAATTGCAGTGGATTGGAAATGGTCATATGTACGGGATTACATTCCATGGTTTTACAATACAGTGTAGTGGGCAAGCTTTGGATAATCATGTCTTGATCTACTATCTTTCCCGAGGTCGCCCACCCTACACATGACCAATATGGGCAGCAGTTAAAGTCTCTATTTGGGCAGTCAGGATCAGTAGATCTTTTACTAGGGCATAAATATTTGTCGTTGAACCCATAAATTCATTCCCATTTAAGATTACCACATACATTCCAAGGTTTTCTACTACCCGAAATCACCTTACATGCATCAAATAATAGAATACCCATAGAATGTATGGTGCTTATCAAAGTCCTATTTATCAATGTCCCCTGAGAGTTACTATTTCGAATTACCAACCAAATTGTACGGGGTTGGAATTGGGGATCGAAACACTTAGGCTCACCTGATATCGGATGATACACACTATAGTCAGTATCTAAGTACCTACACCTAGACACAGATCCCTTACATTCATATTGTGAGTGCCAAAATAGGGTCTGGGATATCTGGTTACCTGTTTTCGTAGTCTTAATACAACCAACACAGCTTGGAATATCCTTACCTTTACCCTCCTGAATAATCATAAAAATACTAAAGCACATAATTAAACACATTATTCTTGTGATCCTCATCTTAATTCTTCGACCGTGCGACAGCACCTCAGCTTCCCGCTTGGGAGGGCTGCAAGGATTGTAGTACTTCTGATCCTCACTTACCTTCACAGAGGTCCCTTCGAGATACTCTGACTATGAAACGTAGGCAGGTGGTCAGGCTTTATTATGGCTGTCAAAACACCTACTTGTTGATCTCAGCAACTTTCAACCACGATTCTTCAAAAATCAGCTCATACTTCTCAAGTAACGCTCAATTCGACTGGGTCATGTGCTTCAACCGGATCTTGCAAGGATTCTCACAATCTGCAGTAGCTTGCCAGGAATCTGCCGCTGGTTTAACCCTAGAGTGATGAATCCAAGGTGTCACCTCTGGCACCTTTACAGCTCCTTCTTTATACAATGCTCCATGGGCATGAGTTGTTAAGAAGGCATATCTTGAATCCGTATAGATGTTCACTCTCAACCCCTCAGCTAGTTGCAGGGCCCTTGTCAGTGCAATTAATTCCACCTTCTGTGCTGATATCCCTTTCGACAATGGTCGTGCTTCTATCACCTTGTCTATGGTGGTTACCGCATACCCTGCATACCGAATACTTCTTTTACAAAGCTACTACCATCCGTATAGTACTGTATATCTGGGATCTGGATGGGAAAATCATGGAGATCTGGCCTGCTAGAAAATACTTCATCCATTATTTCCAGACAGTCATGTTGACTTTCAGCAGTCTGTGTCAGAAGGGTAGCTGGATTGAGATTGTTGACAGTCTCAAGATGTACTCTTGGATTCTCGCATAGCATAGCCTGATACTTGGTCATTCTGCTATTGCTGAACCAATGATTACCTTTGTAATCCAGTAGGGTCTGTACTGCATGAGGTACTCACACATAGAGTTCCTGACCCACTGTAAGTTTGTCAGCTTCCACTACCAAAAAAGCTCAGCAGCCACTGCTCGTACACAAGGTGGAAGACCACTAGCCACCGCATCCAGTTGTTTGGACAAGTAGGCTACAGGTCTTTGCCATGATCCTAAGTACTGAGTTAACACTCCCACTGCCATTCTTCTTTGCTCATGCACATATAGGTAGAAAGGACGCGAGTGATCTGGTAGGCCTAGGGCTGGGGCTCTCATAAGTGTTTTCTTGATATCTTCAAATGCCTTTGTTGTTCTGTGGTCCATAGGAAGGGATCATGTTCCATGCCTTTTACAGCTTCATACAAGGGTTTCGCCAATATCGCATAATTAGGAATCCATATCCTACAGAATCCTGCTGCTCTAAAGAATTCTTGCACTTGTCTTCTATTCATGGGTACAGGTATTCGACACACTGCTTCTTTTCTTTCAGGTCCCATTGTTCTTTGACCTTCAGAGATATGGAATCCTAAATACTTGACAGTTGGCTGACACAATGCGCCTTCTTCCTTGATACCTTGTAACCTGCCCTCCAAAGAATATGGAGTAGATCATGGGTTGCTTGTTGGCACATCTCTTTAGTAACTGCAGCTATCAAGAGATCATCCACGTACTGAAGCAATACACATTCCCCTGGGATGGATTTGGAGTCTTGTAAATCTTGACTCAGTGCAGATCCAAATAGGGTAGGTGAATTCTTGAATCCTTGAGGCAACCTGGTCCAATTCATCTGACGCTTTGATCCCATAACAGCATCTTCCCATTGAAAAGCAAAGATGCACTGACTTTCAACAGCAAGTCTAAGGCAGAAGAAAGCATCTTTAAGATCTAGGACTGTAAAGTGAGTTGCCCCACCAGGAATTAGGGCAAGCAGATTATAGGGGTTGGGTACCACTGGGTGTATATTAACTACTGCATCATTAACTGCTCTTAAATCTTGAACAGGACGATACTCATCTGATCCTGGTTTCTGAACAGGTAATAATGGAGTGTTCCAAGGGGAGGTACAGAATTTTAGGATACCATACTTTACGAACTTATCCAAGTACGTCTGTATGTTCTTCTTGGCCTTCTGAGGTATGTGATACTGGCGTAGGCTCACAGGGTAGGCCCCAAGCTTTAGTTCAATATGTATCGGTGGGATATTACGAGCAAGTCCTGGAGGATTATTCTCTGCCCAAACTCCTGGAATGTCAAATAAAGATCTATCACTCTTAGGGTTTGCATTTGTTATTACAGAGTAGAAGCGCCATTCTTCTTCTTTCGGTACCAATACTGCTATCATGCCTGGTGATTTATTAAACTTCAGAGACGTTCATCCATTAGGTAGAAAAGTTATCTGAGCTTGAAGCTTTAATAATAGATCTTGTCCTAGAAGTTGAATTGGACACTCTGGCATATATAGGAACTGGTGCTTCACAAAATGGCCCCCTAAGATGCAAGTGCGACTCCTGAGAACCGGTCTAGCAAGGCTTCTCCCAGTAGCTCCTATTACAGTTACAGTCTTTCCAGAAGGAGGAGCTACCAATTTAGTCACCACAGAATGTTCAGCACCTGTATCAATCATGAAAGGACTTCTCTTTCCCCCTATTGTTACATCGACCATAGGCTCCGCTCGGCCAAGGGGGATGGAGCCCGGTCGGTATCAACAGTCTTCCATGACAATGTCAGCCAGACCCACAAAATCTCTATCTTCCCTATCCCTAAGTCTCTGAGTAGGGGGATAATATCTTCCTTCCTGAACACCCCCACTGCCATTAAATCCTCCAAAACTTCCTCTTCCTCGTCCTCTAAAGCTCCCACCGTAACCACCTCGCCCCCATCTCTCATCTTATCTACCACCTACAATATATCCCCTCTGTGGGCAGTCACTCTTCCAATGTCCTTCCTCTCTACAACATGCATATTGATCTCTGCCTAGTGGTACCGTGCTCATCCTAGCCTCAACTCCTCTATCAATCTCCCTCCCTGTCTCGCTACACCTGTGATAGCTACCGCTAACATGTCTGCTTTCTTCCTCATTTTACATTTCTTCTCACGCTTTGTCTGTTTCCCTATTCATATATACTTTATTTGCAACCTCCATTAACTGTGATATGAACATCCCTACAAATCCCTCTAACTTTTGTAATTTTCTCTTGATATTGTTCTGGGCCTGGCTGACAAATGCTGAGTTAATCATTCGGGCAATATGTGGTGGACCAGGGCTAAGCCAGAGAGGCATTTGTAAATGTCGGGATTAACGGGTACCAGTCGAGTTAGTATGGGTTCGATAGGGTTGTTTAGTAACAGGTTCCAATCTGGGAGTAGTAAGGTAGGTGAAAGGGGGTGAGTTAATTTTACTGGTCAGCATTAGGTGATTGAAAAATAAATATGTGTTTAAACCAAAAACCTGCCAGTAGGTGTCACGAGAGGGTAAGTAATTGTATCAAAATAGTCTTTATGGGTTTAACAATAAAACTTGACTTTTAATATATTTAACTTGGCTTTTAATATACCTAAAATAAAACCTTACAACAAGAAATATTAAAATAGGATAAGCAGTCCTACTCCTGTCTGTTGTATGCCAGTATAGAGTTAAGGATGATTAAACGGTCATGAATATTTTAAACAATGTAAATCAATGTAACTCCCGAAGATAGCCAGTAGGTGGCCCTAGAGTGCATCCTAAAGTCTAATGAAGCAGATAGACTTTAATTTTGTGAGACAGGTATGTGGGTAGGCGGGGACAATAGAGCAGGGGGAGTGCAAATACCAGCTATACCAGTTTTAGCTTGGGAGGAAGAGTAGGGGGTTGGGAATCAGATGCAAGGGGGGTGTCCAAATTAGGTGGAATTAAGGCCTTAGTGGACAAACAGGTTCTGGCTACCATGGACTCCATTGTTCCTCTTAGCACAGCTTGATCCATTTAGCAGTGTTTCAACAATCTGTATACAGAAACTACTCGTATAGCCCCAGCATATTATTTATAACAATGTAAACCTGCTGTATTAAATCTGGATCAAGGATCCACAGGAACACTGGTTACCAGAACAGGCCGTCCTCTGCTACACAGAGTATTTTAATCTTTTGGGGGACAGTGTTACACCATAATCACAAACAGCATATCCCTTAGAATTTTTTTTTTTTTTTAAACATACAAGACAAAGGACCGTTTGTCAATCAGAAGCACCCATGATTTCAACAGAGTGTCTGATTCAAAGCAATACAAATACACAAACCGTTTCAACAGTCACACCAGTTACCTTAGCAATAGCACCACGCGGCACGGTTACTAGGCCCAAACATACACGTACACACACGCACAGGATCCTCTCACGCTCAACAATATCACAACGTCGCACACACAAAATTAAATCAAAAACCCACCAAAGATTATCAATGTAACTTTTATTCAAACCATACCATTATCCACACTATTAATCCACATAAACTAACTGATCACATAACATTTCAACAATTTCGTCTCTACAGTCAGTGGTTATGGTATGGTTAGTAACTATTGCACAGTTAGATAATTATGGTGTTAGAGTTACAATACCAATTAGTAATAGTTAAGGTGTTACACATACAATGTCAAACAGTAATTTTAGTGTTGTTAATGGAATGTCAGGTATTATGAAGTAGTTATGGTATTTTGAAGTTGTTCTGGTAGTTTGAAGTGGTTATGGTATGATGTAGTTGTTATGGTATTATGTAGTGGTTATGGTAATATGAAGTAGTTATGGTATTATGAAGTGGTTATGGTATTTTGAAGTATTATGGTGTTGTGCACAATTTTACACTATGCACACTTTTTACAAGTCTGCTAAACGGCAGAGCTCAAGCTTTCTAGCAGGACATACATTTCACCAATTACAACGTATTTTACAACTTTTACAGCAAACCCAACTATTCTACCTGGCCAGCTCCTTGAAAGCTACTGAACGGAATATACACCAAAATTCGGTTAGTTTACGCTGCCCAGGCACCAAGTTTGAGATCTAGCAGATCTAGTTCCTCTTTCAATAAGCTAGTGACCACATTTACACCAAAAATCACTTAGTCTCCCCGGTATCCTTGATCTAAGGACCGAATTTACAACAAGATTCCACTTAGTCTGCCAGGATACCGGTGTCTGGCTAAACATATATATACCCAAATTCAGTCTGACTACAATCCTCCTATATTAAACAGGCTGGCTACAGGGCGTTTAATTTCAAATAAGCATTGCACTGAACTTGTGTTCAAAAGGTATGAGCCCAGAGCATAGTTTGCACAGGCTATTTATTAACAATAACTCCTCCCATTCATAGCTCCACTCACACATACCCTTAGACCAATCAGTGAACAGGATATTCAGGATTACCTAATATGGGCAGACCGTATGACTCCTTTTAAGGACAAAGGAATGTGACTACAGTTGATGCACATGCTCAGTACATTAATGACAGTATCTTAGCTACATGTAACTAACTAACAGATACAGCAAACACCTGTACTTGTATATGCCACATGGAGATTTCAGGCCTACTAAATTTTGAACCATGTTGAAATTCCATCACAGGAAGATTCTATTAACTGTACTCTACAATATTAGTTTTGACTTTAATCGTGGTACTTAAAGAATTTATCAAGTCACTATTATTAAATAAGAATGCACTAATATACGTAACTTGGGTTCCTGGAAAAAAGGTCAAAAGCAACTCTAAGCACCATAACTAATACATAAATTTAAGGAGGGACAAGGAGCTAGACTTTGGGTGCTGGGAGAGCCCTAGTTTTTGTATAAACCAATAGAACGCTTTTGAAAAAAGCAGAATGATGGCACCCAAGGAATCTTGTACAGTGCTGATTGTGTCCCTTTAACAAATAATTTTTATCACCAAGAAAAAAGAAGAAAAAAGAAGATCTTCTATTATTTATTAGTATTTCTATATTATTGCTGCAATATCTGTGTCCTATATTAAAGTCTATAAAATGGAAATAAAAATCTTCACTAAAAGAGACCAGTATCTTTTGGTAAAATATCTAATGACCTTGAACCTTTATTCCTAATGAGCATATCTTTACTGAGACCTCTTTATCATTCAAAGAAATCATGATAAATAACACCATGTACTATATTGTAAATTAAATATTGTAAATATTGTAAATTAATATTTATACGGCTTTTAAAATGGATCTCAATTTATATTTTTAGAGAGAAATATATGGAATACTTTGAATCCCGAGACCTGAAGGCCTTTTCAGCAGAACCATTGCTTGTATACCCAACGCATTATACAGGCCAACCGGGGTATTTTAGTGATACTGAAACCTCCACTATCTGGGACAATGATACCCTTATTACAGATTGGGACAGGAGATACTCAGGAAAAACAAGACAGCAAGACCAGATACACAGCGATGCACAAAACACGGACGCATTGCCGCCACAGACAACCCTCGACACATCCTCTCGTGATGAACTATGATTTATGCTTATGAATTGTACAAATTGTACTTAGATTTTGTATAGAATTTTTTTTTTACTGTCAAGTTTCTAGTATAATAAATGACAGACTTTTATAGAAATAAAATCTGTGTAAAGAAAACACAATATGTTAAGTTTACATCTTAAACAACCAATGCCCAAATGCCATTTACCATATACATACATTGAGCGAAAGTTTCTGTAAAATACTATTTATGTGTATGTTATCAAAATAATATATATTTTTATGAAGGCAAATTTGTTGGGGCGTTTGGTAATTAAAAGCATTAATATGTGTTTTTCTTTTCTTTTCAAACTGGTGAAATAATAATAAGGACTTGCGTACAAAATTTTGTTCCTGTCTTGGCAAATCTGTATGCAGATTTTAGTTATTTAAATGCATAATGTATAGCTTTTTTACATTCATAAGTCATTGAGAAATGGATTATAAAAAAGAAAACAGAATTCATTAAAATTATTTTGGTTACTGAAATCCTGATATGAGTTTGTTCATGTTTAATTCTATTTTAGAACATAAATCTTGACAACATTAACTGTTAACTATGCATTACCCAATTATTCACTATCCAGTTTTCCTTTCCAGAAATGATTATTTATAAAGATACAAGCCATTTTAAAAGAATGTTCTGTAGCAACATTGCATCAATGCAAAGTTATGGTGCAAGAAACATAGAGTGTGACAGCAGATAAGACCCCTTTGGCCTGTCTAGTCCGCCCAATTTTCTAAATACTTTTATTAGTCCCTGGCCTTATCTTGTATCTAGGATAGCTTTACTGTGTTAACCTCTACCACTTCAGCTGATATTATTCAAACCTTTGCCCCTCTAATTTAAGACTATGTCCTCTTGTTGTGGTATGTTTTCTTCTTGAAGAAGAGGTAACTGTCTCTATGTCCAGAGTGGCTTATAAGTGGCAATAATTTGTAAAGACTGCATGAAAAAGACCAAAAAGTATCAAAAAAGAAAGAAAACTACACTTTAAGGTACATTCGTCGATGCACAAACAGTAGAGCCTAGTATCTAGAAAAGGAGTGGTAATACAAACATTTCAAAGAAAGCACAAGGGTGTATTCACCTGCTAACACTGCTTAACAGTAAAGGTGTGTTCTTAAGGAAGGCTGTCCATAGCTTGACAGTCTGTTAAAACATATCATTTATTTTATTTTCAAATTTGTTAAGAAAATATATTTTGTGATACAGCATAAAGCAAGTCCTTCTTTTATTACAGATTTCAGTTTACAATATAGAGAAGTCTGTAATATTGTTAAGAAGTATTTACCAGTCTTAGTCATTGATCAACGAAAGTAGCATATTGCTCGTTCTGGAACACCTACAGTATATGTACAGTATCCAGACGAGCCTCTATTATGTTATCTCCTTGTTTAATTACTTTGAATTTTGTTCAAAAACCCACTTGGCTTTGTAATGTGGGGATTTTCAAGTCTTGAGCCTTTAGGTGCAGAGCTTGCTCTGTGATAAAACTTAATACATTTAACTGTTCAATTACTAATGAGAATGATCAAATCAGGCAATATATTAATTGTAAAACTGCTTTTGCGGGCTGTTTAGTAACGTGTCAGACCTGTTCCATATAATATGTTGACGATTGAAAAATAGAGTATGTGAACACATAAAAGCCATTGAACTAAATGATGTGAATTATCCTGTAGCACATCACTTTCTCACATTTAATAATTTGTGTTTTTCACAACGGTCAGTGCAGGATATTGATAGGATCATCAAACCACATAGGGCTACGGTCTGAGTTGGCCCATTGTAAGAGCAAGTGGATCTGTAAACATCACGCTCGTAGACCAAATTATTTTAGATTTTTACACCTCAACTATGTACACAAGGAATGAATAATGAAACACTAAAAGATTGACCAATTAAATAAATTGATCGAAAAAAGAAACAATATCACTTATAAAACAACATCAATAAGCTTAATTTATTAAAATATGAATTATGATTTAATTCATTTCCATAAAATTTACACTACTGGTTTACTGGATTAGTCCTAAAGGACAAAAAAAAATGTTCTTTCAGTCTTCTAGACTTTGATGTGTACAATTGTCGTTTGTCTTGTAACAACTTCTATCCTTTTTTGGATTGCTAAATTTAACTTACTGCTTAATTGATATTTCACTTTCCTGTTACTAACTTTCAACTTAATGTATACATTTCTCCATGCAGGCATTTTCTGACACTTGATTTGTTTATATCATATATATCTATGTATTTTTATTTCACATTTTCACAGTATTTTAGTTCTATTTTTTATTTTCTATACTTTTTTTCACCAGGTTGATATGTTTATGGCAGTTTTTTTCCTCTCCTCCTCAAAAAGCTCTCCATTGCTTTAAGGGTTTAAATTTCACAACAGCATGTCAGCATTTTGTACCTAAGATTAAGTGCCACGTCGCACAAAATGCGTTTAATAATTGCTATGGGGATATTGCATATTTTTATTTTCTCTTTTTTTTGTTAAAAGCTGCAAGATTGTTGTGTTATGAAATATCATTTTTTTTTTTTACAAATTTGAAAATAAATGCTATGTTTTAATGGATTATCAAGCTATGGACAGCCTTCTTTAAGAACACACCTACACACCCTGGTGCTTAATAAAGTCTTTACAGCATAAAAGTCAATGTTTCAATGTTTCAGTGACCCAACAGAGCGTCATCAAGAAAGATAAGATCAATATAATTAATTATTGCAATAAGTATAGGAGAATATGCATTTGGGGGTTTATATATAGATATAGAGAGAGAGACAGAGTTACATAGCTGAAAAGAGACATGTGTTCATCAAGTTCAGCCTTCCTCACATTTGTTTTTGCTGTTGATCCAAAAGAAGGCAAAACCCCCACTTGAAAGCGTTTTTCCAATTGTGCAACAAACTAGGAAATAAAATTCGGATATCTCCTTGGATCAATAAATAAATATATATATATATATATATATATATATATATATACACACACACACACACAAAAATTTTGCAATATTTTGTTACATTTGGTTTTAATTGTCCTGAAGAAAGTTCTACTGAGTAACTAAAACTTTGACTTTACTATACTTTAAAACAGGGGTAGTCAACCTGGTCCCTACCACCCACTAGTGGGTGGATTGGGATTTCAGGTGGGCAGTGGTGGGTTCTGCAGAAAACGCCTGGTTGGCCTTGATGGCCGTTGACCGAGGAGGAACTGCAGGCTAAAGTGAACATGCCACCACTGGACCACGAGAGCTTGCAGCATTATGTCCCCCCTTCCTGGTAAAAGGGAGGGGGGACATTAATCTAGATTTTCACATCTCATCCACCTACACACAGTATAGAGCCTATGCACCCTTCACACACACTACATCCCTCACACACTTGTGCTCTAAAATTAGTTATTATGGCACTGGTGGGCGGTAAGGAAGTTTTACCATCAACAAAGATGCAAAAGTGGGCGGTAAGTATTAAAAGGTTGACTACCCCTGCTGTAAAGACTTTATGCTGCAATAAATTTGTTAAATGCCCTGGAGTGCTGGTAACTTTTCCGTGTGTGTGTGTGTGTATATATATATATATATATATATATATATATTTGTGTTTGGGGCATTCTCGGTTGAGGTGTGCCGAAAACGATGTATGCTGTAGGCCGGTAAATAAAGTGGACTTTCATAGAGGAAAATATAAATAATGGGAGTGGAGGGTGGGGCTGTTCGTCTAGACCAGTGATGGCGAACCTATGGCACGCGTGCCACATGTGGCACGCCGGGCCCTTTCTGTGGGCACGCGCCACAGGTTCGCCATCAATGCAGAGAAGGCGCCTGCCTGCCCAAAACGGCAGGCGCCTACTCTGCTCAGGCGACGCTGCTACCAGCGGCAACGCCGCCCACACAGTACTGGGCGCCGCGGAGGACAGGGAGCCGCCTCCCGGAGCCCTCCCCGCAGTGCTCTACCACCACCGGACCACCAGGGACGCTGTCCCCACTTCATTGTGTTGGGGTAAGAAGGGGAGGGAGGGGGGGTATACTGACACAGCAACCCCACCCCCCCAGCAGTAACCCCCACCCCCAGCAGTAACCCCACCCCCCAGCAGTACCCCCACCCCCAGCAACCCCCACCCCCAAAGCAGTACCCCCACCCCCAGCAGTAACCCCCACCCCCAGCAGCACCCCCCTACCCCCCCAGCAGTAAACCCCCACCCCTGTGCAGCACCCCTACCTCTGTGAAGCACCCCTACCCCCAGCAGTAACCCCTACCCCCAGCAGTAACCCCTACCCCCCAGCAGTGTACCCCTACCCCAGCAGTAACCCCTACCCCTCCCAGCAGCACCCCTACCCCAGCAGTAACCCCTACCCCCCAAGTAGCAGCACCCCTACCCCCAGCAGTAACCCCTACCCCCAGCAGCAACCCCTACCCCAGCAGCACCCTACCCCCAGCAGTAACCCTACCCCCAGCAGCACCCCTACCCCCAGCAGTAACCCTACCCCCTGTGCAGCACCCCCTCACCCCTGTGCAGTAACCCCCTACCCCTGTGCAGCACCCCTACCCCCAGCAGTAACCCCTACCCCCAGCAGTAACCCCTACCCCCAGCAGTGCCCCTACCCCAGCAGTAACCCCTACCCCCAGTAGTAACCCCTACCCCCAGTGCAGTAAATCCCTACTCCCAGCAGCACCCCTACCCCCAGGTACCCCTACCCCAAGTAGCACCCCCTACCCCCAGCAGTAAACCCCCCTACCCCAGCAGTACCCCCTACCCCCGTGCAGTAACCCTACCCCAGCAGCACCCCTACCCCAGTAGTAACCCCTACCCCCAGCAGCACCCCTACCCCAGCAGTAACCCCTACCCCCCAGCAGGCCTCCTCACCCCAGCAGGCCCCTACCCCCAGCAGCACCCCTACCCTGTGCAGCACCCCTACCCCCAGCAGTAACCCCTACCCCCAGTGCGCAGCAGTAACTCCCTACCCCAGGAAGCACCCCCTACCCCCAGCAGTAACCCCTACCCCCCAGCAGTACCTCTACCCCCAGCAGTACTCCCCTACCCCAGCAGTAACTGCTACCCCCCAGCAGTAACCCCTACCTCCCCCAGTGCAGTACCCCTACTCCCAGCAGTGTAACCCCTACTCCTCCCCAGTGCAGCCCCTACCCCAGCAGAAAACCCCACCCCCAGCAGTACCCCCACCTCCCCAGCAGTACCCCACCCCCAGCAGTAACCCCTACCCTCCCCAGCAGGCCCCCTACCTCCCAGCAGTAACCCCTACCCTCCCCAGCAGTACCCCTAACCTCCCTAGCAGTACCCCTACCCCCTAGCAGTAACCCCTACCCCCTAGCAGTAACCCTCCCAGCAGTAACCCTACCCCCAGCAGTAACACCCCTACCCCCAGCAGTACCCCCTAACCTCCCAGCAGTACCTCCCTACCCCCAGTGCAGTACCCCTACCCCACACACAGTACCCCTACCCCCCAGCAGTGTACCCTTTTACCCCCTACAGTGCAGTAATACTCCTACCCCCACACAGTGTACCCCTGCCCCACAAACAGTACCCCCAACCCTCCCAGCAGTACCCCTACCCCCAAGGGCCACACACAGTACCCCAACCCTCCCAGCAGTACCCCTACCCCCCTCACACAGTACCCTACCCCCCAGCAGTAACCCCTACTCCCCAGCAGCACCCCTACCTCCCCAGCAGTAACCCCTACCCCCAGCAGCACCCCACCCCTACCCCCCAGCAGTAACCCCCCCCCAACCCCCTACTCCCAGCAGTAACCCCCTACCCCCAGCACCCCTCTACCCCTCGGGCCAGCAGTAACTCCTACCCCCAGCAGTAACCCCTAACCCCCTACCCCCAGCAGTAACCCCCCCCCCCAGCAACCCCCAGCTCCCTAACCCCCACCCCCCAGCAGTAACCCCTACCCCCAGCTACCTAACCCCCACCCCCAGCAGTAACCCCTACCCCCAGCAGTACCTCCCCCTACCCCCAGCAGCACCCCTACCCCCAGCAGTAACCCCTACCCCCAGCACCCTACCCCTACCAGCACCCCCCACCCCCCAGCAGTAACCCCTACCCCCCCAGCAGCACCTCCCTGCACCCTAGCAGTAACCCCTACCCCCTAACCCCTACCCCCAGCAGTGCACCCCCACCCCCAGCAGTAGCAGCACCCCTACCCCCAGCAGCACCCCTACCCCCCCCCTAACCCCCTACCCCCAGCAGTAACCCCTACCCCCCTGTGCAACCTCCCCTGTACCCCCAGCAGTACCCCACCCCCCAGCAGTACCCCTACCCCCAGCAGTAACCTACCCCCCAGCAGTAACCCCTACCCTCCCAGCAGTACCCCCCTACCCCCAGCAGTAACCCCACACCTCCCCAGCAGTACCCCTACCCCCCAGCAGTAGCCCCTACCAACCAGCAGTACCCCCCACCTCCCCCAGCAGGTACCCCCCACCCCCAGCAGTAACCCCCCCCTACCCCTAACCCCAGCAGTAACCCCTACCCCTCCCCAGCAGTACCCCCTAACCTCCCTAGCAGTACCCCCTACCCCCCTAGCAGTAACCCCTACTCCCCCTAGCAGTAACCCTCCCCAGTAAACCCCAGCAGTACCCCTACCCCAGCAGTACCTCCCTAACCCCAGCAGTACCCCTACCCCCCAGCAGTACCCCCTACCCCCACAGCAGTACCCCTACCCCCCAGCAGTACCCTACCCCCACAGCTACTCCCACCCCCACACACAGTGCACCCCCTACCCCCACAAACAGTGTACCCCCAACCCTCCCCAGTACCTACTACTCCCCCCATACACAGTACCCCTACCCCCCCTCCCAGCAGTACCCCTACCCCCCTGCCAGTACTCCCCTGTACTCCCCCCAGCAGTAAACCCTACCCCCAGCAGCACCCCCCACCCCAGCAGTAACCCCTACCCCCAGTAGCACCCCCCACCCCAGCAGTAACCCCTACCCCCAGCAGTAACCCCCACTCCCCAGTTAGGGGTACCCCCTACCCCCCAGCAGCAACCCCCATCCCCAGCAGCACCCCCCACCCCCAGCAGTAACCCCACCCCCAGCAGTGCAACTCCTAAATCTCCAGCAGCACCCCCACCCCCAGCAGTAACCCCCTGCACCCCCCAGCAGCACCCCTACCCCCAGCAGTAACCCCCACCCCACACACAGCACCCTACCCCCCAGCAGTACCCTACCCCCACAGCAGTATACTCCTACCTACAATATCAATAGTACCTCTACCCCCACAAACAGTACCCCAACCCCTCCCCAGCAGTGCTCCTACCCCCACACACAGCACCCCTCATATAGCCAACACTCTCAATACCACACATGCACCTCGCGACCTCAATGCAGTATGTGTATTCAGCAGTGTTTGTGTGTGTGTGCGCAGTATTCAGCAGTCTGTGTGTTTGCGTGTATTCAGCGGACTGTGTGTGTGTACTCAGCAGTCTGTGTGTGTGTGTACTCAGCAGTCTGTGTGTGTGTGTACTCAGCAGTCTGTGTACTGTGTGTGTGTGTGTATTCAGTAGTCTGTGTGTGTGTACTCAGCAGTCTGTGTGTGTGTGTGTGTGTGTACTGA